TGAAAGTCATAAGAAAAATGGGACTTGGAAATACGTGAAGAGGCCAGCCAATGCAAGATTACTTGACAGTAAATGGGTATACAAGCTTAAACGTAAAATGGATGGAACAATTGATCGATTTAAAGCCCGGCTTGTCATACGAGGGCATAGACAGAAAGAAGGCGTCGACTATTTTGAGACATTCTCCGCCGTATCTCGGTACGAGTCCATAAGACTTCTACTAAGTATAGCTGCAGCAAAGAAAATGCATATCGCACAGCTGGATGTCCAGACAGCCTATCTCTACGGGATTCTAAAGGAGACCATATACATGTCACAACCTGAGGGTTTCCACAATGGAGATGACTCCATCGTGTGCCTCCTGATCAAGGCTTTATATGGATTGAAACAGGCTGGAAGAACCTGGAATGAAACATTCACCGAATTTCTCGAGAAATTCGACTTGCACCCATGTTACTGCGATCCCTGTATATTTGTTGGAGATGTTGATGCAATAATCACTTATCTCAGCTTATGGGTGGATGATTCACTGGTCATTGGAAAAGATAAAAATGCCGTGCAGAAGATCATCAATGCAATCAAATCCTACTTTGAAATAACGATAATGGAGCCCACAGCCTATGTTGGGATGCAAATAATCAGAGATGGAAATGATGGGTTACTTTTGTCACAACCTTTTTACATCCGTAACCTGCTTGAAAAGTACAATATGCTGGAGTGCAACCCGACGAATGTGCCGATGCAACCTCATGCAGGAGAACTCGTCCCAGCCGCAACAATAAACGAGACCCTTCCGTATCGACAGCTCGTTGGATCATTAATTTACCTAGCCAAGTGCACACGCCCTGACATCTCATATGCAGTGTCCCGCCTGTCTCAGTTTATGCACGCATACGACGAAACTCACTGGAAAGCTGCAAAGCAAGTCCTCCGCTATTTAAAAGGCACCGAGGAACTCGGAATCAAATACAAACCGTGTGAGGATATGATTCTCAGGGGATATACAGATGCAGATTATGCTTCCGACAAGATGGATAGAAAATCTACAACAGGTTTTGTCTTCATGCTAAATGACAGCGTTATTTCATGGTCAAGCCAAAAGCAACCCATTGTCTCAATGTCATCAATGGAAAGTGAATATATATCTCTCGCTTCTGGAGCGCGTGAAGCCGTTTGGTTACGACGATTTCTAGAAGAATTAGGATTCCCACAAGAGTCCCCAACAATAATTCATGTTGACAACCAGAGTGCAATAAAATTGGTCAAAAATCCAGAGATGCACTCAAGATCCAAGCACATCGATGTCCGGTACCACTACACAAGAGAGCTAGTTAGTACAGGACAGTTGGCAATTGAATATGTACATACCAGTGAACAAATTGCTGATGGATTAACTAAGCCACTACTGAAGACCCAGCATTTCAAGATGAGACACGATCTCAGTATTGAAAGAAATGAGACAAAGGAGAGCAAGGACAACCCAACTAAAGTAAAGAGAGGTCCCCTCCAAGCCAACTTCTCACTGATGAGCCTTCTCACCATCCTTCTTATGTTTATTACGCAAGCTTGTGGGGTGACACATCAGAATGCGATCCCTTTACTATGGAAAAAGAGTCCAATCCCAGTTACAACGGGATATAACCAAGTCCACTTGCTCGTCAAATTCATGAACCCGTGCGAAATTTTAACACAGGATCTACTCCATAAGGATTTAAGTGCCTATGCAACCGAGAAATGTAACAAAATATACGACGAAATGTTCCTGGATGAGCTAGAAAAAATGTGCCCTAAAAGAAAATTCTCCGATCATATTAATTCGCGACATACCAGAGAGATTGGACGAAGAGTGAAGAGTCCTCCCATTACTTGCAGTTGGAGTAATAATTGGTGTGACTGTCCTTGTAGCCGGCTTATCAGTTGGTGGAGCAATCAATTCGTTTGTTCAAACTGGAAGAATCTCTGCTTTGCAAGGAACAGTAGCGGAACAAAGGGAGATGCTGGATGAATTGGAACGTCGCGTGGAAATATCGGAAAGAGAGATTGAGAAGCTTAAGGTTAGCCTAAATGCTACACTACAACAGCTTCAGCTACATCAGCTTGATCACGACGAACTCAAGGGAAAATCCATTGACACCAATTTCGCAATTGCCTACCTTACCAGTCGCCTCATGATAGGTAGAAAAATAATTAGAGAAGCAACAAGACAGTGGCGGCGAGGAAAAGTTTACGCACCACTAATGGATTTCTTTAATTTCACGTTACCCTGTGGTGATGCTTGCCCAGTCAGCTTCGCACAATCTCAAAAGTGCGAAATATCAGATGACAGAACCAAGCTGTATGTGGACTTCACAGCAACTGAAATTAACAAAGATTTGCAACTCATCGAGGCAGACTCCTTCGATCTCAAAGTTGAAAGGAAGAATGAAACCTGCGTTCTAAAGTACAAGGGACCCCATAATGCCATCCTTTCTACGAAAGATGACTGCGTATACTCCATCAATGTTAAGGAGCCTACAACCCCCGATCTAATTGTTTCGCCCACTCGAGGATGCACGCCAACAGCGAAAACAAAGAACTCCAATCACTTTGACATAGACCACTGTTATGACAAGAACCTTGCTGAACCATGGGATTTTGTACAAATCAAACTACACCATGGACAATATCATATCTAATGCCCTGGGTCCAATATTACCATTGAGAGGAAGCTGCAACAATGCCCTGCTAGCGTGTTCATCCTTCCAATGAATGCTAATTTTAAAATAAATGATATTGAATTTTATGAGGGCTGAGCATTTTCCAACCTTTTTCCCAGGACAAGGGATTAAAAGGGTCCTTTTGTTTTTATGCCTCATTAGAAGGGACACTTCGTTTGAGCATAACTCTGCGTAGTTTGTATGGTCACTTCTGACCACATATTATTACATATGTATGAATGTCTCCTATGTACTGTCGAAACCTTAAAACCAAGTTGTTTAATAAAAATCACCATCAGTCTAAAAATATCTTCCAGCGAGATCATTTTTACTTTCATTTAGAAGTATGAATGAAACATAATCTGATAGTGTTCAATATAAAAGTAAGTAAGCTGCAGAAATATTAATTATTAATTAAGCCAGATACATATTGCCCGAATTGCACGATATGTTCCATCCGACTCATACTACCACCACACGCGACCATAAATTGATTTATTCTTAAGAATAAAGACGGGCCTCCTGCAATATTTTTGAAAAGCAGGAATAGCGTTTTTCTTTAAACTCCGGAAGCTGACAAACAATGAAATTTTCACAATGAAAGGGTTGCGTCATTAACGATTTAGAAAAACAATGCATTGGTCAATAATTATCGATAATTTAGCACTGATGAGAATTTCAGTTTAAAATATATGAGCTTCATGTTATTCAGGAATGTGATTTAAATATTATTTAATGCCAACCTTAAGAAATCTTACATATTTACATATATGGAACGCTCAATCATGAGAAAGATGAGAGGGAATGTAATAAAAGCAGTTTCGATTTTCTTGAAGTTGCGGAAATTGGCAACAAAATTGTACCTGTTGAACGCCATTAACGTTTTGAACATTTAGTTGCATTTAATTTACTGTGAATGGGAATTTTAGCTTTAATTTTACATACATGATTTACATGTCAAGTAACTTGACTCAAGTTGTTCATAAAGAATTTAATTGAACATTTGCTGAAATACATTGAAAGATCAGCCAAAATGGTGCATGAAAAAGACTGGTTACTGCCGGAATGCAGTGTTGACCCATTCGTTGTTGCCAGTTCTGGAACATACATAAATATTAAATGAGAATACAAATGGAGATAAAATCAGGGTGAAAGTTGTGGAGAAACTGACCTGCGAAAAACATGGAATAGAGTATCGTCGTCCCTCATCGTATCGTAGTAAAACGTCTTATCCGCATATTTATCTTTGAGTATAGGTAACCAGCAACCTTCGCATTTAGGTACCTTTCCGGATTTGATAGCTTAAATAAATTTACGTAATTTACGTAATCAAGTTAATTTACTCATTGAATCTGAGGCTACTTTCAATTACCTCTAAAATATTTTTTCTCGTGCAAATCAATGCAAGCAGGACTTATTCTATTGGGGACATGGCCATATCGCGAATTTTTACAATATTCGTTCACTCTGGCGACCTTGTTAGGGCTGTTGGTGCACTCGTAGAGCGCATGGGTCATACAGTCTGGATTTGTGGTAGAAATTTCGTGCCCACAGTAGTAGTACTTATCTGGGCTTCCAGAGGAGGGGCAGATGCAGAACGAGGTAAAATTATAACTCGCGTTATCTGAGTGCACAAAGTCAGAATATAAGAAGACAGAAAGTATCGTCAGAAACATTTTATCGAATTTTATATAAAGATAAGTCCCATGTCAGTATTAATATATTATACAAATAATTCAAAGCAAAAGGTCAAAATGCACTAGTTTAATTTCATAGTTCAATCCTACTCTACATTTATGCACAAACTAAGAATTAATGCGACAGCAATAAAATTCTGTGATAAAAGAATGTTGAACAATGCAAAATTAGCAACTTTATATTTTGACCCGACACTCTGAATCTGGTTCAATTATTCAATATTCTGTTTGTTGTGCTGACTGCTAAATAAATAATTAGAATTTAATAAGCTGACAATAAATTCATACCTTTGCACAATGTCTCATACCTACGTCGTAGGTAATAATGTGGAACAAAGGATGCATAAAATGAGGATGGAGAAAGCATAACCTGCTGATAGGGAGAAAGTGAGCGACTTTCTCATTCACATTTTCATCATCTTCGTCTATGCATCGTGGATTACATAATTGGTTAAATATCCGCATTCGCATGGAACTTGATATGAATTTCAACTCAAAATAATTTAATTTCAATATTATTGAGAAGAGAAATATTTGTTTAATCATGTCTGAAATAACAGAATTTAGAAGTATGCAGGTAGCTTAAATTAATTTTTATGTACATATCTTCTAGTCTGCATGCACATTTAGTCAAATTTATTTAGCAGTTTATGAATACTTATACATCAAATTTTATTTAATATACAATGTTTCAGCTTTTTAAGGAACAACAGTCTCATATTTTTCATGTAAGAAATAGGAATACTTATTAATTTAGGCGTCTTCGCTCATTCATATAATTTGACCCAATATCTTCCAAATCATATGAGCAACACATGGGATCACTAATTGCTCAATTAATTGTTATTAAATCTTAACTTTCACTATTAAGAACATGCGCTGCAAAATTAATTTAACTGCAGTATCGAAATAGAAACGGTTTTCCTGAAACTAAGAAGTTGGCAGTTAATTTTGTCACAATTGGGAATTTAGTTTTAAATTGTAACACATGCGGGTCAAGTTATTCATAAAATATATAAAGAATTTCAATAATTTCCTTTGAGAAAACTTAACATGTAATTGCGTCCCGAGGAAGATAGTGAGTGAAAAAATTGAAAGATTAGCGGAAATGGTGCATGAAAAAGATGGGTTATCGCCGGAAGGTAGTATTGACCCACGTATTCTTCCCAGTTCTGGAATATAAATATCAAATAAGGTTAGAAATTAAAATAAAATTGGGGTGTAAGTTAGGGAAAGCGAAATCTCACCTGCGAAAGATATGGAAGAGCATATCGTCGTCTCTTATCGTGTCGTAGTAAAACATTTTGCCCGCATATTTATATCCATCTTGGAGTTTAGGAAACCAGCAGCCTTCGCATTTAAGAGTTTTTCCGGATTCAATATCTTAATAAATTTGAGTGATCGACCTTAAATGAATTTATTCAGTTTAGCTTTCAATTACCTTCAAAATAATCTTCCTTAAACAAATCCATGCAATCAGAAGTGAATCTATTGCCGACCGGAACTTTGCCACATCGGGAATTTTCACAATATTTTAACACTGTGGTGGCCTTGTTGGGACCGTTGATGCATTTGTAGAGTGCATGTGTCATACAATCTGTATCTACGGCTGAAATTTCGTGACCACAGTACGACTTACGAGGTACTCCATAAGAGGGACAGTTGCAAAACGTGGTAAAGTTGTAGCTCTTATTTTCTGAATGCACAAAGTCAGAAAATACGACGAGAGAAAATATGGCTAGATACATTTTCAAAATTTTTCTGCAGCGACAAAAAATAAATGTAGATAACTTGTCTGTAAATAATTATAAAACTGCTAAACTCAAGGCAAAACTGCACTGGCAAAACTGCACAATTTCATATCTCAACCTTAGTCTATGTTTAAGAATCAACTACAAATTAATTCAATAGCAATAAAAGTCAGTCAGTCATAGTCCTACATAACTAACTGTACTTAAAGAAAAATTAAATAGTGCTGATTCAGCACTGCTGAACAATGCAAAATTATTAACTTTTTAGTTTGACGGTCAAACTTAGACCCGACGCTCTGAATCTTTTGTCAAATTCTTTTATATTCTGCTTCTTATTTTCGGAAACTACAAAAGGCGTTAGGACATGGTTTTGACGAATTCATATTTTAATTGCGGGATGGTTTTTAGTTGTAGAGATTTCTAACATTTTTTATGTGAAAGCCCGTGTCTCAAACTATAGGTAAACATGTCTGGCTTCCGGTTTTGTGTACTCTGCGAAATGAGGGAAGGTCAAATATAGAGAGGTGTCCTTTTTTAGTTTTCCAAACTAGTGTTCTTATAAAATGGCGTTGAACAAAAGATTTTTTTCTTAGGTCCTGATGCAAAAATCGTCTTTGCGAGTATTATCAAGAGACTTAGCATACTTTTCACTATATAAAACCATTTTTGTCTCATGCTTATCTTTTAAGTCACTTTTGTAGTCTAGCTTCATACTTGTCCTAATGGAATGCTCTCGTTAACGCAACTCCTCGACTTTTAAGGCCCCCACATTTTAGGACTTTGATTCTAAAAATCCCTAACGTTGTTTTTATCCAAGGTACATATAGTATATTGCACTGTAAATATTTTTGATTAAATTTTGATAAGTGGTTACACCCCACGAAATGAGTTTTCATCAAACCCAATAAAATTTTTGGAAAAGTTTCCGTCGTCATCAAGGTTGAACTTCAAAAATAATTTAACTAACCAAAACTTGGTAATTTTATTATTTTGTCACTTGTACCTTGTAGATAAAATAGTTCTGTAGCAGGGGACACAAAAAAGTTATTAAAATTTATTTTCAACAAAATTTGACCATTAATTTTCCAAATTAGTTTACGAGTTTTTTATGATTCCCCGTCAGCTGATTAGCTTGGGTCCTCCTCCAAGACTGTTTACTCAAAATCTTAACTATTTTGTTTAATATTACTCAGGACACTTCCAGCTTTACCCTCAATCTTCATTTGACCCAGTGGGCCTGCATTCAAGGTCAGCAGGTCAATTTTCCCGTGCACGGTCCGATTTATCACTTTTCATGGAAAAATTTCATTGACAATGGAAGGCCAACGTTATGTAATTCATTGTGGATTCTTTTATTATTACATGCAATGATTATCTAGGGTTAATATAATATTAAGAATAATTCACCTCTGACCTCTTAGGTTATTATGCTATACGAGTACTTAAGTTTGGAAAGTGTTTTTACGGCACCCTCCAACTCTGAGGACACTGGAGGTGTCATTTTTGAAGCTATCACCTTAAAATTTTGGAAATACCTTTTTGAGAGTATTATCGTGCAGTCTACCAAAAATCACTTCAAAATTCTACTCCCTGCCAGAGATATTCACCCGCGAATTCGTCAAAACCATCACCTAACGCCTTTTGTAGATGCTTACTGAATAAATTATGAAGGATTTAATAAGCTGACAACAAATTCACAGTTATGCACAGTGATACATCGTAAGTAATGTATAGTATGGAACAAAGGAAAAGTTGTGTATGTATAAAATGCGGCTGGAGAAAGTGAGCTGTTTGGTCATCATGCACATTTTGATCACCTTCGTACATACTTCATTCATTAGTTTGTTACACGTTCGTGTTGAATTTATTGATTTGAATTTGAATATACTTTTATTTAATTTTACCAGTAGTGAGAAGAGAAATATTTGTAAATCATATGAGCAACACGTTCCATCATTAATTACTTAATTGGTTAATTAATCATATTATATTTAGCCTTCATTTTTAAGAATACAAGATTTGTGCAATATTAGCAGCATCGCAATGAAAGACGATTTCGCTGAAGCTGCGGAAGTTGACCATAAAATTTGTAACTGTTAAATGCAAGGCTTGCGTCATTAGCGATTTTGAGTAACAATGCGTTGTTATTAGTTGGGAATTTTAGCTGTTGAAGAAAAGCTCGTTCAATTTAATACAGTTGGGAATTTAGCTTTAATTTGTAATACATGTAGGTCAAGTTATTCATAAAACAAATAAAGAATTTCAATAATTTGCTCTGAGAAAACTTTCTAAAGCTTAAAATTCAATTACATCCTGAGGAAGATGTAGGAAAAAAATTGAAAGATTAGCGGAAATGGTGCATGAAAATGACGGGACGCTGTCAGTGGGTTATTGACGAAATGTGGTATTCACCCATTCATTGTTGCCAGTTTTGGAACAGAAGTAAGTATTCAAATATTATATAATCAGGACGAAAGTTAGGGAGAAACTGACCTGCGAAAGATATGGAAGAATGTATCATTGTTCCTTCTCGTGTCGAAGTAAAACGTCTTGTCCGCATATTTGTATCCATGTTCGAGTACAGGAAACCAGCAGCCTTCGCATTTAGGAGTCTTTCCGGATTCGATATCTTAAGCGAATTTACGTGATTGATTGACCTCAATTGAATTTACTCAATAAATCTGATAATTTCAATTACCTCTAAAGTATTCTTGGTCGTCCAAATCTATGCAAGAAGTAGTTGCTCTCTTCCCGTATGGGCCACATCGCGAATTGCTACAATATTCGTTCACTCTGGCGACCTTGTTAGGGCCGTTGACGCACACGTAGATCGCATGTGTCATACAGTCTGGATTTGTCGTGGAAATTTCATAGCCACAGAACGGCTTATACTGCTTTGCAAATGGGGGACAAATGCAGAACGAGGTAAAATTAAAACTCCTATTTTCTAAATGCACAAAGCCAGGAAATAAGAAGAGAGAAAATATCGTTAAAAACATTTTATCAAATTTTCTACGCTATAAAGATAAATCGGTCCGGTTTCCTCTGTCAATAAATTATACAAATAGTCAAAAGCTCAAAATGCACTTGTTTAATTTCATACTTCAGTCTAAATCAACATTTAAGCATAAACTACAAATTAGTGCATGAGCAATAATGCGGGAAAGGACTATTATTCGCATGCAGTACATTTAACCCGTCATGAGCCAACGGATGTGGCCAACGTACCAATGGCGGCAGTGACCCTGTGCCCGCATTTTATGTTTAAGGAGGAGAAGCTTGGAGAAGCTGAGAGGTATGCAAATTGAGTCACATAAGAATAGGACAAAATAAGGAACGCTATGAAAATGTTTTCATAACTATAAGCATTTGGGAGGCAACCAAGCTCGGAGATGCAGAAATTAATGGATGGACCCATGAAGACGCGAGCAAGCTTGTCAGTTATATATACCATACTTGTCAATCGGGACGGACTTTCCTAAGGAAATCTGGAATTCTGGAGAATGAAATTGATGTCGGTAATAACTTCGAAAAACTCGTGGAAATATACGACAACCCCAATGACAGCGCTCTGAAGGATAAAATAATTCCGTTTTTGGCCCAAGTATTAAAATAATATTAATCCAATTCTTTTATTTCTTGCGATATGTAACCGAATATTTGTAAATCAGGGAACTGTTGACTGCACGAAACTAATTCTTATATGTTACTGGAATGGAGTTAAGATGAAGGATTGTTCCAAATTGTTCCGTCCGACGCCGACTGATGTCGGTCAGTGCTGCAGTTTCAACAAGGTTCCGGACTACATTCTCAGAAAGTGAGTGCATTTTTTCAGCATTGTAAATTGCACACTTGCACGTTTTAATTTAATCGCGAACTGACAGGAATGACAGTTTCGGAGCATTAATGGTTCTCCAGTCAACCGGATCGAACAAGGACAACAACGAAGATGTCGCGTGGACGAAGTGGAATATGGATAATGACGAATCTCTGAAAGATAAGAACGCTGAACGAAATGGTAACGGTGTTCCCAAACGACAACTGCAAGCTGGGCAAGATTATGGTTTATCGATCGTGGTCAGGATGGACAAAGGATCGCAACTTTGCCCACTAACTGATGGGAAAGGATTAATGGTATGATTCGAACTTTGTGAATTGAAAATTGGAGGATAAATTAATGATCTAGTTTTCTTAATTCAGTTGAGCATTCAAAATCCTGCTGAACAACCGCAAATCCGAAGATATGGATTTTTGGTCCAACCAAATCATGAGACCACTGTCCAACTAACGACAAACTTGGTCAAGTCGACGGATAAGATGGAAGGGATGAAAGTGGTAATTTCCTTCACGAAAAGTGTTTAGATTTCAAAGATGACATAATTTTGTATTATCCAGGCTGAAAGAAAATGCTATTTGAACACGGATTATGGCGAGTTCAGTAAATCAGAATTTGAATATTCCAAGTACACCGAGGGCAACTGTCAGGAAGCCTGTTTTGCTTTCGCAATTCAGATAACATGCGAGTGTGTCCCTTTGTCCTTGAGTGGTGGGTGACAAAAATTGCTAATTTTTTAAACAACAACAATTTTTTTTAAAAACAATTTTATTTTCAAAGCTGGAAATAAAAGTGTTGTTATCTGTGGACCCGAAAAGGAGCAATGCATCCGAGACACTAAAAGTTCGTTTATGAACTTAAATAATAACCTGTGTCAAAAATACTGTATGCAAGTTTTTTTAATTTCAGATAACGTTGTGGCAACCGGTTTTTCTGAGAAGACTTGCAAATTGAAATGCTACCCGGAATGCAATCGAGTTTCGTACATTGCGGAGAGGTCGTCCGTGCCATACGACGACTTTGTTGATGAAACAGCAAGAAGAAACCTTGGCATTTCGTAAGTTTTAAGTAAATACGAATGTATTAAGAATTAAATGAACTTTGGAGTCAATTGAGTCGATTTTGAGTCATTTTTGAGTGAATTTTGAGTTTTTGGTTCAATTTTTATCGTGAATTTACTTGAGCAGGGAGGATGAGGAATTCACCACGATTCATGTTTACCAAAAGTATGACGACATCGATACCGAAGAAGCGCAGGGTCTGCGCATCTTTATCATCTTCATTGGTAAATTTGTCAAAATATATATTTACATAATTCAGGGTAAGATGATCAGTCTTTTAAAATCCAAATTTTTCAGGAACAATCGGTGGAATTCTCGGATTGACGAGTGGGTTCAATTTGATGACGCCATTCAATCTGGCTGAGGGAATTTTGCACATCGTTCTCTCATATCTCATGAAGATTCCAGGCTTTAAGAAATTTTATGAATCAATTTTTGGACCGTTTTCAGAAATTACGGCGAGTGAAAATGATGATGCCAACGCGACCCCTCCGAGTCCTGAGAGTCCACAGAGTGAGCATGATGACCACGCTAATGATAATGACGCCAATGGATCGGGGCAACCAGGGGGCGAAAATGAGACCACCAATAATGATGACGACACGGCCAACCAAGTCCGACAAGATCCCATCGTTCCATTCGATGCCATAACACCAGTATCATATCCATGGACGTCCACTCCCCGAAGACAAATCTCATCTGCCCCCGCGGCTGGACGATAAGGATCTGGAAGATTCCCATCTTTCAAGAGAATGCTGAACAGTATAAGAAGACGGAAGACTCTCGACTCTGGCGATGACCCACGTGACATGATCCCACTCGTACCACTCGTCCGATCCGAGACCACCAGCACCATCGTCCCACCAGCCACACCTTCTCCAGGAGGCGAAATGGGGGAAGAGGTGGAGGAGTTGGGACCACTCGAATCTGAAGTGTTGCCCCCGATGAAGAGAGAATCTGGATCATCATCATCTGACGCTGACCATGACGCGACTCCACCACTCAAGCCGAGGAAACCAATGGCACCATGGACTTTGAAGCGGTATTCTTGGCGCAAGAAGGTCAAGCCGGTTAATGACCCTACAACATCAGCGTCATCCACAACACCAGCCGCCCTTCTTCCCGCGATTGATCCCGCATCTGCTGCAGAACCCATAATTCCGGAACGGCAACAGCTTGAAGAGGTCGTCATCGTGCCAAGAACCGCACCCCCGTCGCCCGTCCTCTTCATCCCCCCAGTTCCGGCCACCCTCCTCTACTCCCAAATTCCACCCCAACCTGTGGAAGGGGCTGAGGAAGGATCTTCGACTTCTTCTGGTGAGATTGTACCAGTCCCAACGCCACGTAATAAATTGCCATCTCCACCACGCACTCCCAAAATCTCGTCCAGTTCCTCCTCCGACTTCATCGACTGGGATGAATATTTGTAAAATTGTGAATAAAATTGTGCATTTTGGATTTATAAATCGTATTTAAAAGAATGACAGCAATTGCTAATCTGCAAATAATCCGTTCTTAAATTATAGAGCTTCTAAACGATATGCAATAATGTTAACAGCTAAAATTATTTGATAGAATATATTCATTGTACATATATGTAAATAGAGAGTTTAAGAAGTGCCATATTATTAGGCGAGGAGATTGTGAATGAAATTGGAGCTTTATCGTACAAAAGTTTATGAACTTGCTCAAAATTATGCCCAATGATCTCAAAACTTATTTACCGATTGTGATCTCAAACCTGCCCTTTTTGCACAAAAAATATACTTAAAAGAATGACTGCAAAAATCTGTTCGTGAACTATAGAGCTTCTAAATAACTTGCAAAAATGTTAATGACTAAAATTATTTGCTAATTGTGCATATTAAGGAAGTAATTGTATATGCATACATAGGGAACTTAGGTATAAATTGTACATATTTATTACATATATTAGACCAAGGAGATTGTGCGAAAAATTAGAGTTTTTATCGCACAATGTTTTGCGAAGTTTCGCAAAAAATATCTGTATTCCCAATGATCTTGAAACCTATTTATCGATTGTGATCACTAACCTATACCCTTTTTGGATAGCAAAATTATATTTTAAAAATTACTGTAATTGCCATTCTATAAATAATAGCTTCTTAAATTATAGAGCTTCTAAATGATATGGAATACTGTTAATGACTAAAATTATTTGGTGATTATATTTACATGTATACATATTAATTGTATGTAATTGTAAGTTTAAGAATTGTACATATTTATTACAGATATTAGACGAAATGGCCCATGGGAGCTTTTCTCGCACAATATTTTATGAAATTGCTCAAAGTTACCCAATGAATTGATCTTAAACCCGATTGTGATCTCTAACCTGCTCTTTTTGCACAGAATAATGAGGATGTACATATGCACATAAATTCAATCGCTGTGAAAGATTAAGGATTAGCAAAATATGTGTATGGTGTATATATGTATAAAATAGATTGTTGGACAATTTGCACAAAAAAATTGCACAATTTAAATATATCCACCATTTGCATTTTATTAGAGTTAAATCCTTGCAGGATGAAAATCCAAATTTAGTCAATTAATGACATATGTATAATTAAATAATCGCTTGTTTTATAAGTAATAATTTTATGGAATAACTGTAAGAAGAATGTGGACAATTTAAAATTGAGATTGAATTGAAAGTGCCAAAGAGCAACAAGACGATGAGCTGTGTACATATTAAATGTTGAGAATTTTAGATTTTACTTAAACTATAAAAGTTATAACACGCTTAACAAGTAGGAATTACGGTAGTTTGATAATAAATATATAAAACTAAAATTGTGATCATGCATGATCACAATCCAATCTAATGCAATCATTAAATGACATGTCATTTAATGATTGCATATGTACAATTTTCGGAGAAACAAGATATCAAGTTGACATGATTAAACTCTGTATTATCGAGCTTTATAAATATGTACATATGTAAATAGCTTATAGTCAGAAAATTCTAGTCTATTGTTTACTGTTTACTGTTTACTGTAGTTTATTCAAGTGTCGCGAATCATCAGTTATACACTGCTTTTCAGATCAAGACACAATAATAAAAATTTGTACTAATCTACATATAACTATATATAAATTTGTTGTCATAATATTATAATTATAAATTGTTAACCTCTGGTCCATTGTGATTTATTTGACCAGTTACAAACTCACGTGCATTTGATTGAAACAATCCGTAGGACATGTTGCATAATTCCCAGTCTTTAGGTAAAGTATTCCATAAACAGTATCTTCTAAACAATGTTGAACGCTTAAATACTTCTGTTCTATGGGTCGGGGCGCACATATTCGGGCGCTTGTTGTTCAACGTTCTCTCGGAGAAAATTAATTTGTTACTTTTCTACATCTTATACGCGTTCTTTAATAGTACGTATTTCGATCGCTGTTCAACCGTAAGCATTTTGTTATCATTCCTGATTTTTTGAATATCGATATTTTTCCGCAGACTTTTTAAAGTGATTTTCTTAGTTGACCGTAATTTTGCGAGCTTAGGATAATAATAACTTAAGAGGAAGTTGTCAATGACTTCCTGAATCTTGCTAAGTGACAGGGATGTCTGTACCGTCCATATGTCAATACAGTAATCAATAACCGAATGTACCTGAGTGTTAATAATTACACGCATTGCCTGCTCACTAATTGAGCGTTTTAGACCATGCAGGATTTTTATCCGTTGACAGACTTTCGAACAAGTGCGTTGCTTCATTTCTAGCCTTTCTGTAAGATTTCCAGTCATTATTTATCTTGGCTTGCTCTCTTAATACATTACGCTTTTTACAAGCTTCATTCACTTCTTCAGTATACCACCAACATTTCCTTCTCTTAACTATCCTTCTACGGAGAGGAGCAATAATATCTAATTTTGACATAACATAATTATTGAACCGAACCGTTTCATGATCGATGGTTTGTTTACTGTCGTCTAGGTTAAATTTGAACCCCCAAATATATTTTTCAAATTCATCCCAATCAACATCTTTGAGAGTTCTCGTAAAGCAATGTAGTGGAGGTAACTTTACTCTGCTTTTTTCACCTAGCACATAACACAGGTCGTGATCAGAACCAGCAAATGATAAATGTCCTGAAGTGTGAAATTTTGCTTTATCTGTCACATAAATGTGATCAAGTAAAGATTTACCTTGAAAGGTTGGACCAATTATCAATTGCCATAAGTTCAAAGATTTGCAAAGTAGGAAAAATTTGTGTGTATCAACGTCAAAATTGGACTTAAAGTGTAACAGATTATAGTTGAAATCTCCCATAAATATTTTGTCATACTTGTATACACTCAAAAAGATATTAAGTTCTGTGAACGAGTCAAGGAATTTCGTTTTAGACGATTCTGGATGTCGATAGATAACAGTGAAAATTATTGGTTTTATATACTGCCTATATACCTTTAGGATTAACACTTCAACTAAGTTTGGAAAGTTAATGTTACATTCAATGATTTCGTACTTAAATAATTCATTAATGTAGATTACCAGACCTCCTCCATATTTTTTAACATTATTGACTCGATCTACCCGTATTGATTGGTAATTTGGAATGGAGAATTGATTGGCTGGAATACTACTGTCAAGCTTCGATTCAGTACAAGCAAATATAGCCACATTTGAATGAGTCTGAAGAAAGTTAAAAATTTCAGTGAATTTTCCCCTCATACTATTAATATTTACATGCATGTACAAATGTCCCTTAATTAAATTTAACTTATCCATCGTGTGACGAAGTCTAATTGACATATAGTTTTAATTGATACGCCACTTACAACTAAAAATTATTAATATTTACCTAATACTGTAAATTGTGTCACTGTCAAAGAAAGTAGATACCTAATTGTATGTAAATAAGTATATTATTCTCCACCATTAAGAGATTCCAAAGCGGTCGGCAATAATTTTGATGACCGATATTTTAAAGTTTGATGCAGCTCACTTTAATTACACACGTAGTTAAATATGTATATACATTGGCCTGTTTGACTTATTAACTGTTATTGGTCGGTTTTCACCGACATTCTTCAATTATGAAGTCCCCTGGTCTCAAAATAAGGCTTGCAGTCCGGAAGGTGGTGATGACTTGTGAAGGCGTCTGTCCGTGGAGATTTGAACCAATTTCAAGATTAGAAACCTACAAAGCGTAGTTCGAGATAATTACTCTTTAATTATAGAACGCACTTAGTGTTATTTTAAAAAAAATGAAAAAAATGATAAAAATGAATTATTTAAAAAAATACGTAATAAGAAGTGTAACAATTAGGCTCCAATAACGTTATTAAAAAAAGTAGAAGGTGTTTGTAGTTGTAAAAGTAGAAATATGCCAAATTGTCTTGAAATGAAATTCCATTTTAGTGTTTGTGTCAAGATGGTGTCAAGAGTGTGAATTTGTTAGTAAAACCCTGCTAGATATTAATTTTTACCAATATGCAACATTACCAAAACCGGAAGTTGATAGAGGATGACTTGTGAAGCACAATTCTGTCCGTGGAGATTTTAGCCAATTTCAAGATTAGAAACCTACATAGCACAGTTCGAGATCCTCACTCTTTAATTACTTCATTGACCAATTAATTAATTAATTCTTTATAAAATATGTAATAAGAAGTGTAACATTTAATAGGTTCAAATATGTCAAACTTTCATGAAATTGCATTTTAATGTTTGTCAAGAGTGTCAACTTATCTTATAGCCAGCCAGATTTTACCAATATGCATAAATTAAGTAGGTTTAATTCTGCACTTACTAATATTTTTAATCTGTTGTTCAAAATATGAATTATTTTCAATCGAAATTATCTATGTTGTGCCTCAATTTCCTGTTTATCAGCAATGATTAATCTTTATGAAATACTAAATAGTAATCAAATATTAACAATTAATACTCGTCACATCATGGAAATCACTTATAGAAATTATATTATCTAACACTTGCTCCACCACATTTATGAAATTTAATTGTATTTAGAACATTATCTAACTAACCAACTGCAGGATAAGATAGCCATTTAAAAATATGCATTTAAAAATAAGTTGCTTTTGTCATTTGTAGTTAGTTTTTCACGAAAGAAATTGCATTTTTTTCTCCGTTGTGTAGGTTAGCTTTGTTTCAGTCGTTAATTAATAAGCAATCTAGAAATGCAATAATTCACAAGTTTATTTAATACTAGCAAGATTAGTGACTACACTTTATGACTTCACTTATGCTTCAAATAATGATTTCAAAATGTCACGTAATGCAATTTATGTAAATAAAAATTTTGCAAATGTATATAAACTTAGCACTGGAAATCAATGAGCAGACTAAATAACTTTGTAATGCTTATTTTTATTGGTAATTAATCATAATAATTCGAGGGGTCAAGGTAGTGCATAATTTTACATCTTTTTCAGAAGGCACACGCACACCAAATTGAAACAAGACAAGCATACACAATTTCAAAATTCATTTCATGTATTTTCAAATTTCAATCGGAAAGTCATTTTTTTTACTGAAAAGTCACACTATCAATGTAATTGTTCAGCATTTGGCGCAAGTTGCCGATTTATTTTTCCAGTGTAAAAAAATCCTTGGCTATATCTTCACTTTGTAATAATTGTTGGTAAATTAATGATAATTCGTTTAGTCATGCCGATCAACCGTGGCATAAACAAATTGAAAGAATGATTCAAAAATTAGTCTTATGTAATTTCATCCCATCTTTATGCTCACGTAGCTCACTGACTTTACATTTCATGCATCAACTTTCTCCTTGAACTTTCACTGCAGGGTTGTCCAAAAATTACATTTCTATGGTCAATTAAGAACTAGAAACATATTAATATTTCAAAATAGAAAGCTTCCTTTCAAATGACTTTAATACTAATTTTATGCCAATTATCGTCCTAAACTGATAAGAATTCCTTGTTATGTGCTTGACATTATAAACCGCAATGGACATCATCTACTCCACTGGATTGAAACCTCATCTCATAAAATCGTACAAAGATGTTGACGGGAAGACACGCTCGGGGGTACGAATCTGGGGGTGGCGTTTGATCCAAATGGTATATAATCCAGTAAATCAATTATATGTTGTCCTATACTTTCTCCAACTTTCTCTACTCGTAGATTGCAAACATTTGCGCCTTCGTCGCCGTGACGGTAGCTTTTTGGTTTGTCAGCAGCAATCACAAGGGTGGCGTCGATAGGAAATCGGTCATAAAGGTGACGATTTGGTTCGGTATTATAACATTTTTGACCATCCTCACCCTGTCCGGACTTCCCCTCTTCCTTTACGCCAAGTACATCAGGTCAAAGTTCACATGGGAGGTCACGGTGAGTCGTGAGTGAAATATTTCTTCAAATTTACTACTCATTTCCACTTCTTCTCAAATTTTCAGACAGGAATTTACAACATGGTTTTTTGCCACGTAATCTTTTACGCCATGGTGTTGGGATGTACTGATTTTTTCGTGCTGGACGTGACCGATGTTAATGGACCGCTGGGCGAAGATCTCTGTGGCGTTGAAGTGAACAGACCCAGAGATAACATAACGACCACAACGACAACGACACCCAGACCAAGACCAAGAATAACGGGAATGTCAATCCATACTGTCCCAAGACCAGTGTTTTGGACCGTTTTTGCTGCAGGGGTGACAACAAATAGAATAAAATGCTGCATAAAAAAACGCTCCTGGGGTTCTCAGTAGAATTAAATTATTTTGGAAAATTTGATTTTACGGAGAACGAGGAGAAGTAAAAATTTTGGCGTCGGATTATCTTTGAGTTTGATAAGTCAAACATTTTACAGGCCTTTTGCCTCATCGCATCCCTCGTCCACTTTTTCTCAGCCCTGTATCCGACCCCGGTTCCGGATAAGCTTCGTCTCCAAAAGGTCGCGCCGTCGAACGAAGCTCCGACAAAGGTCGAACCTGGGAAAGACAGTGGAATCAGAGGAGTTGACGACATGGGGGGCGAAAGTGGAACCACCACCGTCACCGAGGCCACGATGGATGAGAGTGGGATGTTATCAACGACGCCGAGTGATCAACGAGGGGTGCCTACGACTTGAATTATGTATGAAATTATCAAAAACTTGAAAAAATTACCGTTGATTCATTTTATGAAATTTTTACTTAATTTTAAAATGGATCAAATTAAAATTTGGAGTATATAGTTGATGACTTGACTGAAGTAATTTCGAATCGTGTGGGGAAATTTATTTATTTATTTTGGCAAAACTTTACAGAAAAATTATGCAGGAAATTATTCATGTTATTAGATCATTGAAAAATAAGTACAATATAATTAACACAGATAATAAACTATATTATTATGCACTAATATAATTAATGCTACAAAACTTAATTAGTTCGTGATTATGATGCACAATTATACGAGGTGTATTGAGACCTCGGAAAAGCTTTACAAAATTGTCATGCATGTCGTTTGAAAATCAGTCTAAATATTTTGTTTCCACTGCAAACGACTAGCTATTAAATGGACTGATAAAGCTTAGGATTAGAGTTATAGTGTCACAAAACTTGTATAACAATTACAAAGCAGAGTATCATAATTATTAATTAGCCATGCAGATGCAGCAGAAAATATACAATTTTTCTTCCAATAGTTCTACGTAGTTTACAAGTGGAGATAGAAATTTGATTGAGGTCTAATTTTCATTTGTACAACGTTTTATGTATCTAGCATACAATTTTCTTGATAAGGCAAATATGATCCTGGCTGTTGTAATTTAAAGATTGTGAAACTCTGGGAAATGTTTGTCGAAAATATGCATCAAAATTTTAGTTTCTGCATTCTCTCCAACGGGAACCTTATTTCGAGTGACCCAAGCTCCACACTTGGAGCAGATGAGATGACCATCAGTTTCGGTAAAGTGGTGCCGTAATTGTTGTGCCTTTTGTCTAGAAAGATTTGATTATTACATATTTAGCCAGTGTTATTGCTACTCTGTTAAAATAGAATTTATGAAGTGCTATTTCTCTTACAAATGGGTGGGTTTAATACTTTCAAAATCTAGAAATTGACAGGAAAGGTCGTCATCTGGATCACTTTGATACCCAGAGGAACGATTTTCCTTAGCAGCTTCGTCTGAAGACTTGTCTGTTTCGTCTGCTTCCGCATTGTCAACACTTTGAACCGGCTCATCGTCGTCACTGCTGCTGCTGTCACTGCTGTCGCTGCTGATCAAGTCGACGTACTCGTGTACGTATGGCTCTGGTACTTTCACGATCGGATTTCCATACGTTTCAATATAATCTAATCAAAAATAAAAGTTTTAAAATTTGTGATAAACCAAAGTTTCAATTAACTGATTGCTGATCAATTACTGATCTCCTCCTCACTTTTGACTACTCCTTTTCTCAATTCAGCCCAAGGCGTGTCCTCCCCTGCCATACTGTCTTGGTCACTGTCGTAATCCTTATCTTTCTTTCTCTCTAAGGCCAATTTCTTCTTCTTTTTTGGGGGAGAGTCAAAATATCGGTGTTTTTCCTTCATCACAGTCATCAGTTCGCCCAAAGCTTCCAACTAACAAGAATAAAAGTATTTAATCCCATAGACAATAAGACATAATTAAATCTAGTATATGATCCTCACCTTTTGAAGCTTGGCTTTTGTCAGACATTCTATGTCTTCCTTCATTCGCCCGACATGAGCCAAATGTCGGACACAAAGCAGGCAAAATGCGTCATTGACTGGTAAAAAGTCCTTCACAAAGGTGCCCGTCTTATCGTCGAGAGACTGCTTGTTGAGAACAGTGTCCTGGTCTATGTGATAATAGGTGCACATTTCCTTGAGACCTTGTTGAGCCAGAGGGATGAGCAGGTGCAACTATTTATAAATTGGAAGATATTTATTTATAAATGAGGCTCGAATGTACATTACCAACTTAAAATTTTGATAAAATCTTAACCTACCGGAGTTGGAAGGTCATCATCCACAACGTATGTTTTGATTTCTTCTTCTGACAATGGAATATCTGGGACAAATGGCATCTTGCACATGTAACAGTGTCGTCGATCTGTGTTAGCATTGCCACTGCTACTTGCAATCTTTTTACACTTGGGGCGAGGGCGATATAATGATGCCATTTTCGAATGTTTTTTATCTAGACACGTATAGTGTTTCCGTTTCCTGTATAAAAGAGAAGGGGAATTAAGTAAAATTTAACATTTCTGAAAACCTGATTGGTTGAAAATTTTAGCGATGTATTACATCATATCTTTAAAAGATATGATTTATCTGTAACACATGATGCTAAATATGTTAATTGGCTTAAAATTATGCAACCTTGCCGGTTCACTCATATCATCACACGATATTTTTTACCGATATCAATTGTTTATATGTATAATTTCCAACATTTTAAAGTGTAGGTGAATTTCAGCTATGCTAAAATCTAATCAGAGTACAACTAAATTAATTAAAGAAATTACCTTCTAGTTTGTCTTGCAAGACTTTTGCTCAAGATTTTATAGAAATTTATCGAGGTCTGCGTACAAACAAAGAAAAGACGATTATTTATTTTAAGAAATATAAGTAACAGACAATTGTTGCAATTTAATTAAATATTACTCCGTACTAAACAAACACTCACTCGAATTTGGTTTGAACATTTTTTCTAAATGTTGCCAAGAACTGGAGTGAACTGGAGTTTGTGCTGTTGAAATGAAGATGGATGAAATGAAGAAACAATGAAATGCATTCATTTACCATGAAGCTAGCTGAGCTGACATTTCATATTTCACACTTGTGAAAGTTACATTTTTTCGAGTTACAAAAGACTTCTTGTACAAAGGTTAATTGCCTTTAATAAACTAATAGTGAGTCAGAAGGGTGAGAAAATGATGATGAATCACAAAAGTATGCCTGATGAAATTCTTATTAATTCATTCTCTTTATTTTATTCTTGAAAATATTCATGCAGCTAAATAACAACATTATGCATGGGTAACAAAATATTTCTGAGTATTAATCATATCACTCCTACGTACCTAACATTTCGATTAACCATTTTAACAATGGTGACTAAAATGGTGACTAAGATGGTGATTAAAAGATTGAACTATAATTCGGTTGGTTTCTGAACTCTGGATTACAATTTAATTGACTTATTTATACGAGCACCATAAAATAAGGAGTGAGTTTAGCGCACCTCCACTTCGACTAAAAAAGTTTTTATTGCAGATCTGAAGGCGTCATTGAATGAGTTCGCAACTTTTCTTGAAAAGGGTTTATCGATTGATTGAAGCTCCAGGCAGTAGTTGTAGGCAATTTTAGTAAAATACTGTCCACAATTTAAACATTTTCCGAATGATTTGTCCTCCTTCTTGGTAAATTCTTCGCCTGGAATTTTGTCGATCTCTTTGAGTAGTGGACCATATACGAGGACGGCTACTTTTGTGATATTTTTAAATATTTGGATGGGATCCGTTTCTTCATTCAGACATTTTGTTGATGGGCATAAATGAGGACCCTTCGCCCAGAGGGAGGTTTCATAAAAAAATGTTCGAGGATATAAACTGTGTGTGAAATTATTCATGTCGCTATATTCTGAGAAGATGCATTGCATATCTGTACCCAAGGGTAGTCGCAGTTTGAGCAAATTGTTTAAATGAAGGTCCCAGTATCCTTTGTCTTCATTAGGTATAGGAAAATTGATGTCTCCAATGTAAATTTTTTTCACGGAAACTTCAAACTTTTGATGCTGATAATCACAAATTTCGTCTTTCTTTGAAAAGCTTACATCATCGGAACTTATGTTGCCTAAAAAAGACCGTAATTTGTTAAACATCGAGCTCGTTTTGGCCACTTTTGTAGACTTGATCCAGACCGTGACTGCCGAGTAGAAGTCGGAGACAACTTGGTCTTCAAAATTTAGTCTAAGGGAAAGTTGTGCATGGTCATCATCGCCGACAAAGAAATTGCTGCAAAACTGAAACACGTGATATGGACTGTTCTCTTTGTTTATCGATTCATACATTGAGGACATTTGGAACGCCAAGCTTTCATCGATGCTTAACGGATCCAGCGTGTTTTGATATTCATTCGTCTTAATTTGACTCTGCGTCTGAACAGTGTCATCGTCCCAATCAGCACTATCGTCACTGATAGAAGTGAGTGGGGCGATGGAAATCCCAGAAATCTCGATGAAATTTGGGGTGGGAGGACTCCGCTGGACGAATGTGAAGGTGGTCGCGTCTTCATAATTGAACGAGGAAGGTCTGTTTCGATATCCGGAGCTAGAGTACAACAATTCCAGCTGTTTCTTGCTACCTGATGAGATTCTGACCCAAAAATCAGGAAATGATTCTGTTCGCTTCAGAATAAACGATCCTAAAGCGGCCTGTTCAATGACTTGCCATGAATCTGCCCAGTCTCTCTGCTTCTTTTCAACCTCATTGATCCCACTCTGTCCTGAACACAACGTCACTAACACTTCTACATCAGACTTCGCATTTTTCAGAAATTTGCCGGCGGATTGAAAAAAATTAGATAGCAAATTGCGATTCAGCCCTATATGCATTTTAGTTCGTTTCACATGTGGGAAATTAAAAATAATCTTGTCGATGGTATCTCGGTGTTGGAACAAGTAGTGGTGACGTTCTAGAGAAGTACAGTCCACATCAAGAAGAACGATCCCCCCATTTGCTTTAATTAAAGAAATATTTTCTTTGATCTGATTAATCTGTTTTTGTCGGGAAGGATCATTGGTTGGGTTATGCAAGAAGTCCTTGTTGCAATCTGTAGCAATAATTTGGAACTCGTGCGGAGTGGGAGTGGTGGTGGCGGTGGCGGCGTCGTAATCTTCTTCCAATAAAGATAACTTCTCTCGTAATGAAGAGGAGCTGCTGTACACTCCCGAATCGGTATCGGCTGCTGATTCCAATGCTTGGGACAGGATGTTCCCAAAGGAAAAATTCCCCTCTCCAACCAACAGAATACGATTTCTTGACATGGTCAGCCAGTCTCGTTCTCTACAAATTTAGATAACACAAATGATCGAATATATATGCACATCTCAAAAACTGTAAAACTAAATTACCGATTGTACAATTACTCTATATATGAATAGAAGTAAGACAAATTAAGATATGTAATTTATTCCACACAGAGTGCAAGATTTGATCGATCTGGAAAAAATAAAAATTTCTAAATTAGGTCCAAATTCTCTTTTAGTAGTTCAAACTATTTGAGATTGTATGTGCTCGAAAGACGCACAAACTTACCAATTCTTTCAATAACGTCGTAAAAAAGAAGAGCGGAGCGGACGACAAGAATGACCCCAAAGGCGACAGCGACGACTATAAGGTGCAGATAACAGCTTATCACTTGACTTGCTAAATGTGGACCATGGACAAGTGGCAAGGCTTGCTAACCCCTTGCCAGTTGTTGACCATCAATGACCCTACCAAAATTTTCCTACTTGTGCCCGGCGATCGATTTTGTTATTGACGGGGAAACAAGAGATCAATGTAATGAGATCAATGACTTCGTTTTTCAATAATTTTCTGGCTAAACTGAAATTGAAAAGTTTCTGAAATTTTGATCTACTTATTATTTGTTTGAACCCACCTTTGCACCCACAAAATTTAGCATGAATCGGGTAAGTAGTAATCGGGTGATAAGTTGTAAGTGAAAGGAAAACAAGGGGACAAGTGTACGAAATTGTGCAACAGGTTGCACAAAATTGTAAAAAAATTTGTGAAAATTGTGGAAGATGTCTAGAGTTTGAGTTTTAGATTTTTTTTTAGAATACTACGATGAACATTCAGTTCATCGTCCAGGTTTCGTTGTTGGGACAACTTGCGCAAAATAATAATTTTTTTTACAGGATTTTTAAATGTCCTCCCAAATCAAATAAATTGAATTATTTAAATGATGAAAATATGACCTAGCCACCCAACCATTTAATGAAAAGTTGTGATTGTACATTAATTTAATTCATGACCCTTTTTGTTACAGCTTGCCGTGCAATGTTTCCGCCTAGGTCAACGACAACTTGGGACTTCTGCCCCACGCCAAGCCGTGAAAGGGGAGGTGCACCCAGGATACAAAAAGATTAAGGAAAAGTATGCCCATTTCCAGGTGGGTGTAGATTTTATGATGCAGTGAAAAGTTAATTATTAGTTAATTAATTTATAAATTATAATGCATCATTGTCATTATTGAAATGACTAATTGTTTCAGATTGACGACGGAACACCCATCCACTTGAAGGGAGGTCCTTTCGATCGTGTTCTCTACTATGCAACCATGGTCGGTTGTGGGATTGGAGTTGCTGGTGAAATTTCGTTATTGTATTTCAAATTTTGTTAGAGTTATTGATATATGAAATATATTTTATAGGTTGTTTCGAGTACATTTATCGGGCCTCGTTCCCAAAGAAGGATTAAATTCTGTTCGAGTAGTTCATAATAATTGTCATTTGTTCCGAAAAATGTAAAAATTCCATATTGTTGATTCCACTTTACTACTAGTAAATATATTTGTGATGGATGAATTAAGGGACCAATTGATTTGACGACAGTAGATAATAAATATGAAGTAGTTTAATTGTCGGTTTTTGACTTAACTTTGTTCTTTATTTAATCAACAATCCATCATCAATTAAGTACGTGATTGACAATGTATAATTCTTTCATGAAAATTAATAACAAAACAAGTTTCCTCATTCTTTAAAGCTTTTTTCAATAATTCAACCATGTAGCCCGAGAATAATTAATAATTTTAGATTTATGTACAAAAACAAGGAACAACATTAACAAACGTTAGGATAGATAGTTAGATCTGAATCTGACCTCATAAACTGGACTCGCATTATTAATACTTTTTTCATGTCGTAGCAATGACTAATTACTAACAAACAAACTAATTAGTTAATTGCTACATTGTTACACCACAGGGAAACTGTTCTTAAATCAGAAGAAGTACTATAATAGAGATATAAGTACGACAATGAACAATCTTGAATAATCATTTGTGGAATTTTCGTACGAGTCTAATAATAATTATCCAGGTAATATCTATGAAACAATTCCAGCATCTTTTGCCATGGCGTAAAATATGGAGTCCTTATTGCGTAAGAGGTTGGACGGAGTGTCAAATTCGCAAACTTCTCCCTTATCAAGAACCATGACTCTGCAAGTACATAGATTGACCGTTTTAGTTTGATTGAAAATTGAATGAATTTTAACATTTCATGTTATTATATTAAACACACCTTGTCGAATCCATGATTGTGTTCAATCTGTGCGCGATCGTGATGACCGTTGCATCTTTGAACTCTTCACGAATCGTGCGCTGAATGAGGTCATCTGCAAATATCAAAAAGTTAAAAATGTTCGCAATAATGAGTTAAATAGATCAACAAACCTGTGTCCAAATCCACTGCTGCAGTGGCCTCACTATTTTTTACGATTAAAATAAACAAATAAGTAAAACCAAACTTTTAAAAAATTGTTATCTCTATATAAAAGTAAAACTTACTCTAAACAAAGAATCTTCGTTTTACGCAGCAGGGCACGAGCCAGACAAACGAGTTGTCTCTGACCGACGCTGTTATCAATCAAGTTATAATTAGTTTACAATAATTTAACAAATTTAATAAATCAATTTACCTCAGATTTTCTCCACCCTCGCTTATTTCGTGTTGCAAACCTGTGGGGAGCTCGGACACGAAATTTTTCAAGTGAGCCAACTCCAACGCTCGCCAAAGCTGGTCGTCAGTATATTTCTGGAATGGATCCAGATTCATTCGCAGCGTACCAGAGAAGAGGACAGGGTCCTGCAGCAAAGAGATTAGAATTTGTACAAAAATCCTGTCATGGAATGAAATTGATATTATTTATGTGAATTTATCTTCACCTGAGGAATGATTGTGAGTCGTCCTCGGACATCGTGCAGCCCCAATTTGGCAATGTTCTGCTCATCGATGGATATGAATCCTCCAGTGGCTTCGACAATTCGGAAAAGGGCATTAGTAAGGGACGACTTGCCGGCCCCGGTTCGACCTACGATGCCAACCTTCTCACTCGGCTCGATAACACATGTCACATTTCTCAAAACTAAATCCAGCCCCTCTCGATACCGTGTTTGATACCGATCAAAAGTAATTTGTCCCTTATCTGGCCAAGTCAGTGCTGGTTTCCGCTCTGGCATTTCCCACTCGGCTTCCTACACAATTAAAATAAGTTTTACATAATAATAATCATTAACAAAAGTTTATTAATTATCAAGACGCACTTGAGGAGTTTCGCCGTATTCTTTCATCCTTTCGACTGCGACAGCGTTGGTCTCTACTTCGGAAGTCATACGCACCAGCCAGTTCAAAGTTTGAGTGATTTGCAGGGCATAAGAAATAGAAAGTCCGACCGTTCCGGCATCAAGTGTCTCACGACCAAGGACAGCGAACAATCCAGCAAACAAGACAATCAGGTTCCCAATAGTCTCCAACCGAACGGCGAGCCAGCGATTTGCAACTATTGAAGGGTAGTAGCATTTTTGGTTGTAATCAACTTTTAATTCAGACTCTGTAATGAATCTCGGCTGCATTCCGTACGCCCTAATTGTCGTGCAGCCTGTTAAGGTTTCACCGAAATGTGAGTAGATTGGCGATCTGGATACAGACTCGAGACGTTTCAATTGACGGGATGTGGCCACATAGAATTTTGTAATCAAATAGTAGACCACTGCTAGAGGGACGATCGCAGCGATGAACCACGGCGTGCTAACACTGATAATTGTGATTGTCGCAAGCACGGTGAAAAGGCATTGAATCCAAGATCTCTGCAAACATAAAGAACAATCAATTAATAACCAATCAATAAAATTTCTGCTAAGAATGGATATATGTAAACTCACCATGTTCATGGGGAGCGTATTGTCTACTACGTCCACATCCTTCGAGAAACGGTTGACTATCCGTCCAAGTGGTGTCGTATCAAAGAAGGACATGGGTGATTTCAAGACGTGGGACAGCATAATGTTATGCATAGCAAAGGCAGCCTTCAACATAGCCAGTGACATTACAACCGTTCCGACCATGATGCTAATACCCAACGCCAAGCCGAGAGCCCCATAAACTCCAAGATACATGTCTCTCTTATCCGTAGGAAATGTTCCGTTCACAGTAGGCTCATTCGACCACTTTGTTAGCCAGACACTCGAGCCAACCTGAAATCCTTGATAAATTACGTTCAGCAAGAGGGTGAAAAGGCCCATGGGGACGCCGATGGCTCTAAAGTAGTGAAAATACACGTCCTTCTTGACACTTCCGGTTTCAGCTTTTTCAACCTCGATGAGTCGTTCTCGACTTGCCGGGGTGCGAGTGGGAGTGTCCTCTTTCTTGATAACAGATGTTTGTCGGCGGAGGAGGGGCATTTTTGATCCAGATCCCTAAACAGGAAATAGTTGCAAATATGTAGATAAGGCTAAAAAAATGAATAAGTTTTAAATTTAGGACTTACATTTGACGCGGTGGAAACACGCCTCTTTCTCGCCGCTAACCCATCCGCAGCTTCACTAATGGTGTCTGAAATTTGGGATTGTTGTCGCTCCAGAACCTTCTCCTTGCCACCTAGAACTTCTTCTAATTCTTGTAGCACGGTTTCATACTCTTCGCTTTCCTCACTGCCCATATGCAGGGCCAAAAAGTCGGCAAATGCTCCCTGTTAATAAAAATATATAAATATGTGCTGACCAAATGTCCTCATATTTAATAATTTAAACTATGTTATTACCTTTTTCTCCAGTAATTCCCTGTAAGTACCCTCCTCACTGATTTCACCATCCTTCATGACGACGATGTGGTCCACTTGGGGGAGATATGTGATCCCGTGAGTGACCAAGACACGCGTCGTCCCCTTTAAAATACCATTTGGTCCGAGAACCTGTTCAAAAATGTGCTTTCCCACATGAGCGTCGACAGCTGAGAGGGGGTCATCTAGAAGGTACAGGTCAGATTTGCTGTAGGCGGCCCGTGCGAGTGAAACCCTCTGTTTTTGACCACCGCTCAAGTTCACTCCCTGCAGGCCAAGGTTAAAATTGGAATGAAACAAAACTTGGCAAAATTATGGACAAAAAATATCTAGGCTCTTGGTTCTTTACCTTTTCTCCAATTTCGGTACGATCTCCAGCCGGTAATATGTCCAAATCGGGTCCAAGTGCGCACGTGTCGATGACTTCCTTGTATTTGCCTTCATCTAAACCCTCTCCGAATAACACGTTGTCTTTCAGGGAGCAGTTTTGAATCCATGCTTGTTGCGCGACATATGCAACTTTCCCCTGAAAAAATAGGTCGAGAATTTAGCTATTTATGTAAAAGATTAGAGATATTTACACATTCGAATTTAAATGTACCTTCCTCTTTACCCGACCCGAAACTTTAATCATCTCGCCCAAAATAGAGGAGAGAAGGGATGATTTTCCAGATCCGACCACCCCCACCACCGCAACTAAGGAACCTTCTTTCACTTTTAGGTTTATGTTCTTCAAACAAGTGGTTTCAGGCTCCCATGAAAAGTTTCCGTCCTGAATTTGTACGGGTTCTCCTAAGATATAATTTAGAACATTTAAATTCCAGCTTTTTTGCAGGCAAATCCTCGCCTTACCTGCGCCCCTCTCCTCAATCACAGCGTTCTCGTCGACCTCTTCAGCATTCAAAAATTTATTCAACCGTTTCAGAGCAACGCTTGCTTCGACAGATGCGACAATCATCATGGGTAGAACTAAAAAAATATTATTATGCAAATAAGATATTATGCAAACTATGGCATTGAATCACTTACCCGTCATTGGCATTTTCATGATATTGAACAGAGTAAGAGAGACGAAAGCCTTTTCCGCATCAAGTACATTATTCTCATCAATAAGGACGTAGGTCGCGAAAGTGACCAATGAGACGACAAATGGGGCACAGGCCCAAACAAAGGACGTTCCAGCGTGAAGATATGCAGCTTTTTTCAACACGTTCATCTCTTTTCCCCGAATGTCCATGACTTGCTGTTCGAAACTTGGCTCCCACGCATACAACTTTAAAACCTGCGTCATAATTGATAGATTATTGATAGTACTTTGATGATTATTATTAAAGTAACATTATGACAATAAGAAAAGCTAAATCAAGCGAACCTTGATTCCGGACAGAATTTCACTCATCATTTTAACCCTGCTATCCTTATTTTTCATTTGTTGGATCTGCAATTTCCTCACACGTCCAGCAATTACACCGTTGACCGGAATTAGAAGGATCATGACAAGCACACCCGCAAGGACGGAGGGTCCTAAAATGTTCCACAGGAAATAGAGCGACAGTCCAATTTGGAGAGGAGCGCTCCACAACATGTTGATATACAGCGTCGTGTCCATAAGTTTTTGAATATCGACGCTCATCAGGTTCACAATTTCTCCAATGGTGGAAGCTTTTCGTGCCACGTTTGATATTCGGAGGGCTTTTCTGTACACAGCACTTGTTAAAGCGGTTCGGATCCGCATCGAGATGAGGAATACTTGATGAAAGTATTGGGCTAGAAATATCGTTTGAATAATAGAAGTGCCGAAAAGGATAGCAACGTAGAGGAATCCCTTCCAGGCTTCTACTTCATCATCTTTCACAAAAGCGATCAGTAGTCTACACAAATTAAGGGTTCCAATAACAATTAGATTTTAAATATTTATTATCGAATTAAATCGGCTTTAATTATTTGTCGATAACTCACTTGAGAATTTCCGGTGACACAAAGTTTAACAAATCTTGAATGAACTTTAGAGACGCGGCGAGAAGGAAGGTTGACCCGAATATTTTCATCATGGTGACAAACACGCTTCCCTCCGCGATGCTTCCATCAACCGGCTGGAGCTTCCCCTCCCCAGGTCCGCTCCAGTACTTGTCATAAATGGGGACTTGGTATCTCGATGTGTCTTTTCGGTTCAAGTCCCACAAATCAGTCGCCTCAAGAGGACGAGAGAATCCGAGACGAGCGAGGCCTTCGAACCAGAAGAAGACGAGTTGGGACAAGTAGGAGGCAGACGTTTCAGGACAGGGGCGCTGTAATTAAGTAAAATGAGATTAAAACAGTTTTCGGAACCAGCTAATTAGTGATTATTTTAAATTTCAGCTTACGACATCGACAACTTTTTCTCCAGCATCCCTAATTGGAGCTTTGTCGGCCCAACAGTTGAGGAGGAACATAACTACCACGATGGGAAAGTTCATAACGTGAATGAGGTAGTACAATCCGTCCTTATTTCCACCCTGAAGTCATAAAAAGTCAATCTTAAAACTACAACACTAACATGATTTTTTTATTTCAAAAATTGCAATTCAAATTTCGATTAAACACATACGCTGATCACGTCTGGAGGATTTCTCAACGCTGTTTGAAACGGAAACACGTCGCACAACATGGAGAAGAACCAGTAATAGAATAGCAATCCCGACGTCCGAACCCCTTTCGTCTTATGTAACACCATGAGGAGAAAAACGAGAATGTACGCCGCAATCCGCACGATGGTCGAGTATCTTTCTGCCTTGTAGAACTCATACTTGTCGTCGCCCTCGAGTCTGAAAGTGAGGCTGAGATGGACCGTGTGGAGGATAATGAGCGCCCAAACTCCCACAGTTTTCGCGATGAGGAGGATGCTGGCCGGAATGTGACGACCTTTCGACCTCAACCGAGAGGCAAAGTCGAACGTGGCAAGGAAAAATAGGAACGCGGTGGGTCCCCATACCAGCACGGTTTGCTCAAAGCATGGAGTAAAGTCGGGCTTTGTCGTATTCCATGTTACATAATCGTCCTGCATACAAGGCAAATAAATAATTAGTGAGTGATGATTTGCATGCAATTGTTCATTTACTCGTTTAAAGTATCATACCCAGAAGGACGAATTTCCACAAAAATCTTCCATTTTCTTAGTTTACTACAACTATCAATTTGGAATTACAAATTATACTCCGGAACACTTCAGGTAACGGCAGTGAAATTAATAATTTCTGCGGACGATGAGTATGCTCCCACCTCCCAGTTCGGGCATCATATCCAGACTCTGGAAAAATAAAGCAAGGCTCATATTTTATTGACTTCGAACCATCGCTTATAACGTTTTCTGATTGCACTTTGTCGCATGGAGAGAAGTCAAGTGTTTCCAGAACATTCGCCTTGACGTACATCACTCGACAAGACCCCTCAACTAACTGAATCTCCACATTCAGTGAGGACTCTTATTTTTTTGCAAAAAGCAGATAAGATATAATGATGAGATAATAGTATCGCAATGAGCTGACCACACTCCTCCACTCCAAACCAATACTAGAGTTGCATTACATTACATCTAATTAAAATTAATAAAATTATGGTGCATATTAAGAACTGATGATCGATTGATACGTTAACGTTTAGCTTGTTGATTTGCCTTGTTTTTCTGTGTGGTTATCGTTATCATCGCCTTATCAGATAAGATGAAAAAAGAGGCAGGTTAAATAATATAAAAGTAAAGTGGTCACATTTCATACCGTGCTGAACTGATCACTTGCCATACTTGCCAAAACTACAAACGTCAGCGTGTATAATGTAATGACATAAAAACGACATAAGGTAGGTATGAACTCAATGGACAAAATTTGGTCAACCCATTTAACAAACAAATAACAACCTATATTAACCATTTGTTTATTATGTCATGTTTTATATGCCCTGTTTGGCAAGAACCTCCATGTTTTGTTTTTGATATAGAATATATTATGTCGTTGTTCGGTTTCGGGTGCAAAATGACATGAATTTCATTTTCACATGTCATCAAGATAGTGCTTGATTAATTAATTATTATGATTGCTCATTAGAAAAAAAACTGCCTATTCATCCAGACATGAGAAAAATGCTTGTCATTCTTCCTTTACCACTCACTAACCACGGCACAAAAATTGTACATATACAGCGACACTATGTAACTTAAGGCCACTAATTTCTGGTTTTCTGTTATTTTAAAGTTTTTTTTGCTGGTTTTGTTAACTTGTCTTGTAAAAAAAATATTTTTTTTGGCAACGTTACAACTAACTGAACATATGAAATCCATTTGCATGAAACTGTCATTGAAACTGTTTAACTGATCAATTTATGTAATTTAGTATTGTATATCTTATATTTTAATGTGTGAAATGCTAGACTGCTTAATTAATTATGAATTACTTAAAAACAATTTCGAGTTTGAGGATATTTTTAAAAAATTGCAAATTAAGTACTAACATTTTTCCAATTTGATCCGTCTTCTTAAGGATTATTTATGATGGCGTTAGTCCCAGTAATAAATAACCTTTAGGACAAGATTATATTTGTAGAGGTCAACGAGATCCGGCCGGCTCCAGTCCAATTCAACAAGTTGTATCTTGTTTTTCTAACGTTGCACTTGCACTCAGCACTTTGTACTTGTTCTTATCTATCTGTAACACACAAATGAATAAATTACTATTAAGTTATTCATAGTAATTATTGATACAGTAATGGCATTATTTTACTAATTATTCTACTCCATATCAATATGAAAATACAGCTTTTACGCACGCACAATGCACGCATAATTTCTTGACCGGCCTTGACTTCAGTTTCACACGGACGGATCCGGCCTAAATATTTATTTCTAACTTGCCATATTTTAATAGCTAATATACAATTATAATTGTATAATATTGTTATAATATATACAATTATTATTTAGTTGTTGAAAATCATGTGTTACAAACTCATAATTTCAATAAAATATTAAACCAATATGTAAATCAGAATTATTGTACAATGCAAAATACCACTAAACTGTACCAGAAATCATAAAATTCATAATTAATTATCCTTTACCTTAATATTTTGTAAAAATCCTTCAAATTTTTCGGAAATATGAGCAAAACCTACTGCCACAAATTCCTAAGATGCAGCTCGAGCAGCTGCCGGTAGCACACTAAACTAGCAACTTTTTTTGACATTGGTCTTGTACTATCGGTCTCCTCAGGATGCAGTCGTTCGTACATCGGACGACGCGAGGTGGTGAATGAAGATGCTCAAAAGCCAACATTTTTCGTTCACGTTTGTAATTTTGTAATGTAATTATGTAGCAAAAAAAGAGTCAAGTAACATCAGACTCAAGGTCGTCCGTCAGTGTCCAGTCAATGCAATAATAATCGTTGTAAATTTGATGTAACGCACATTCGTAATTATCTCTCGTTAAATACACAAATGTGTGACAAGGTAAGTTGGGTTAATTGTTATGTAAAGTGTGTGTGTAATTCTGGCCAGACCAGACCACCGGGATTAAATTGAAAAGGCATTATATTATTATTCGTGTGCATAATTCTGAAACGTTTTTATCCATGCATCCACCATCTTCCTGCACGCATTTTATGCTAAATCTCAACCTGAATTTTTAAAAAATTTGGAAAATAAGGACAAAATGGTCATTAAAAATCGTATTTCATGCATTTCTCGTGGATATTATGATGATGACGTTGGAAGAAAATTTGCCATCGCAGAGTCAGCTCCTTTCTGGTAAAACGTTTAAACCTCACCTCTAGACTGGATTGTTGGAAAAGTAGAGTGTATGTACATATATGTACATTTTGTGTATGTAAACTTGTATGAATATGCCTTACATATACATACATTCTTATTGAGATTTTGAAATGATGAGGGTGTTGAAGAGAGAGGTGGACATGCAAGTGCAAAAAATGGAGCAAAAACTATAAAACCGGACCAGCTTACCATACCATTATCCCAACACTTGGAGTCATTTCTCGTTGTGCAATTGTGTGGAGGGGGAGGGGACCAAGTTTTAAAGGAATATCTGCCAATGGTAAATTTTGTTTGTGGTTTGGTTTCAGCTTGTGAATATTATTTAGTTAGACGTCTCCTGGACAATTCTAAAGAATAAGAAGAAGACACAACAAAAGCATAATAAAATAAGGCTTCGAATAACACGTAGCGTTGCATTGCATTTCATTCAGCTTTTCGTGTCATTGGCTGACCAGAATGAATAGTGAATGGTCTAGTGCTAACTAACTAAGTTAATGATGAATGATTATGATGATGATAATAATGATGCAATGAACTCGTTTTCCTCTCTACGTTTTGTGAAATGCATGGCGATGGAAGCACCTGGAAGAATGAGTCAGAAGGCAGAAGTATAACAATTGGCTAACAATTAGACACGGCAGAATGGAAATGGAAAGTCTTTTGTGTGATCTGATGACTAGTCTACATAGTTTTGGGTACATTTTCATTCACTGTATTACACATCCTGCAACAATTTTCTAAATTCAGGTCCTAAATTTTAGGATGATTTGGTACACTTTGTAATATAAAATGAGCTGTATGAAAGACTAGAGGTCTGATAGAACGGTATTTAAGTGGCGTTGGTTTGACTGTCTGGTGGTTAAATGATTGAAAACTTCAAACTTCAAACTTGAAAACTTTGAAGTGCGTGTAATGTTGCACGCACTTTTGGAAATAGAATTAAATTAAATTGCTTACCTTTTCCAAACTTTACGTTCTCCGATGTGAGTTACACGTTGGTAAAATTGATTGTAATTTGATACACGAATGTTACAACGTGTGAGGAACTGGGAAATGGGAATAAGCTACGAGAATGAGGAGTATTAAGTATAAATCCATTTTTCCCTGCTATGCGAAAAATTGGCAAATTAATTAGCTTAAATGGATTAGTAGGAGCAGTGTATATATAGCAGAACAAATACCCGGGTAGTAAAACGTTTGCAAAAACGACCCGTTAATCTCGTTAGCTTTCTCCCGCAAAGAGAGAGAATTCGGGTGAACTCGGTTTTTGTCATGCAGCGAAAGCAATGGGGAAAGTTTGCATGACATGACAATGAACATTTATTCACAATAATTAATTATTGTTCATGACAGAATTCTGCAAATTGTATGAAAGTAGTAAAAAAGTATAACAATTTCTCCATAATTAAAAAAAATGCTTCAAAGTTGATGGAAGTTCAATCGCTTAACTTGTTCAGGCTTCTGACCTAGTGGAACCTTTGAATTGGACGGGGTCGAACTCACGACAGGTCGGGACGGGTCATTGCTGACGATCGGATACTGAAAATCTGACTCGGGAAACAGAGTGTCGAGAAATACCTGTGACACGTTCTTGCCAGTGTTAAAGGTCGTTCGTTTGGATGGAAGACGTCGCTTGAAGGTTTGGCGTGCAATCCGGCTTCTCATGAGATTTTCTTCATCTTCAACGGTGAAATCGGGGTCGATCACGACTCGGGCGATGCGTTCCCCTTCGACTGGAGGCGGAGATGTGGCGAAAGCTCTGAATGACGGAATTGGGTCGGAACGACAGTAAGAAATCATGTCGTCCACTGCTGGAGCTTCTTTTGGCTCCAGCTCTTCTTGTGATATTTTCAAGCCTTGGAGATCCAGAGATGGAGACGTTGATCCTGATCCAATTAGTCGATTACCAGTTGATCCACCTTCTTTAATATCAGCATCCTCTTTTTCTGATGTCGCCAAAGTGACGATGTCCTCTTCTTTCTTCTTGTTCATTTCTAGTCGCTGATTGCAAGTTGTACATGATCCCGATGTGGGTCCTACATAGCGAATATAGCGGTCCGGCACAGGCAAGCGGTAGAAGAGATCAGAAACATTTTGATGTGGATGTCGTCGAGAGAACAAAGATCGCCTGATCAAGCTTGTGCCATCCCCATTACCACCATCGTTTTGGTCTAAACCCTGATCCACTTCCGATTCGTCTTGCTGTTTCTGAGGTGACGTATTGACGCCGCAATCCACTGTTTTGACCTTCTTTTCATCCTTCTTGTCGTCTCCATCATGGATCTTCTCGTCTCCATCATGGATCTTCTCGGAGGGAGCAACCGGAATTGAAACAGGACTTGTCACCAAAGTCGGGCTAATTTGAACTGCCACTTCTTTATCCTTCTTGGTGACCTCAGGTGCAGACTGTATCTCTTTGATTTCAACTACTTTGCTGCTCCCACCCGCTACCAAGTTTGGATTTATCCAGACCAAATTTCTTGGGGGCATTGGCATGAACCGATCACGAACTACAAGTGGCTAAAAAACATGAAAAGTTAAGTTAAAAGTTAAAAAAAACAATATCACGTCTTATGTAATTTATCCCTCTCACATGGCACAACATGACTTGAGTAATAATTGGGTGGTTCCAGTTGCCGTCGAACTGGAACCTCCGCTGTCGCTGAACGAGATTGGCGACGTCGGCTACGTCGCGGTTCATATCGTTGTAAGTGTTATTATGGTTAACCTGTGAATAATAAATTATAATTGAATATCTTCCTACTAAATAAACTAAGTAAGTTTATTGGAAATTCATAGCCCTCCCAAACTCACGAATAAAAACAGTCTCGTCATCGGATCGTTCGGATTCTGATGTGGAAAATGGGTCACGATAAATAAGTCGCGAAACGAGTACAGAAATTCACCAAATGTTTCAAATCCCATTTGTTTCACTGGCACGAAACCATCCCCACAGCCATAGTTCAATAATGTTTCTGAAAAAAATAAGACTGCCACGATATTTTAAACATTCTGATAAAATTTGCAGTTTTCGACACAAATAAACTTACGTCCCAGCTTCCTCATGTCGATTCCAGTTTGCGTGACGAGGAGGAGGTTGACCACGTGATTTTTCCATTCTTGGTAAAGATTCTCTTGGTATCGGTTTCGAATTCTGACATTAAAATTTTCAAATTGTGGGACGGGGGCGGGGGTCGGAACCAGCCCAAGTAGTCCTCTCATCATCATTCTGGGAGAAAAATTGAATTTTTTAGGATTCGTTCGAGAATTGGTGAGAAAATTGTCTGGGTGGACGGTGGACTGGACTTCACTACATGAGATAATCGAGCAAGTTGTAAGATTCAAAATAAAAATTATTTTTGAGCAAAAAAATATGCTGGTCAAAATAATAAATGTGTAGAATTTTATTTTGTCCTGCTGTGAAGGAGACGTCAGGAGGGGCCGGTTGACTCAGGTTGAAGGTTGACTGTCTGTCAGTCAGTTGAGCTGAAGACACAGATTTCACGAATGATGATATTAAATTATGCTTGTTGCTGATATGATAATTTCTGAGTTTGACGTCTAAATCGTACAATTTTCATAATTATGCAGGTTCTTCACAAGGTTGCTTGTTGTAATTATTATTACTAAAGTTGTCTAGCAAACTTGGGTTCTTCATATTCAAAACTGTAATTATTAATTTTATTATTTTTTACCAATAGTGAGACTATAATAGTCCCCAGACCAACAACTAAAAGTGTCTAAATTAATTTTGATAAGACAGAGATTACCGTTCATATAATCAAACTCAAGATGAAAACTTGTAAAATTTACAAAATGTAAACTGACAATATAAATTACAAATATACGTATTCCATATAAATTACAAATTTATTATAGTGCCTTGTATTATCAACAATTCAATAAAATTTTGTTGAATTGTTGAAAAGGCATAAAATCTGGCATACTTTTATGCAGAGAAAACTTCTGTATTGTAATCAAATTATTTCTTTACATCTTTCCGATGCAATCAAGGACGTTTAACTCGCTAATTAATTAATCTTGACATCACTACAGTCCAAGTACATATACGTCAACAAGATTTGTTTTTCTTCACTGCATTTCTATTTCATCTAAATGATATTGGACTTTGGAGTGTTTTGTTCTTGGATCACATTTGTCTTTTTCAAACAAATGTTCTCTCTCAGAAAGAAAAAGTAGTCAGTCGGTTAAGAAACTAAACTTTACACGATTTGGCATTTTGTTTTGTTGGCAGTGACACAAACTTGAAAGAAAACATGGATAGCTTGGGAAAGAAATCCATAAATGGAGACCTTTATTCGCTACAAGCCAAATTTTTACGGCAATTCGGTTAAGACGCAATTAATAAATTGTTCTTATCGTTTGACACTAAATGCGTCGTCCCTTTCAAAACAAGTCGTTCTAAATTGCGGCAATTTTTCCTAATCTGAAATGTCCATGATTTTTCTTGGCCCAGTTAACGCCAATCCACGTGCATGCCATTCGATTAGTGGATGGATTGCATGAATTTGCATATTACAAAATATTGGCCCATCTCCCAACCAATATGTGAATGACGTCTTTCATAAGCTTCAATTTTTTCTCGTAATGATACATTACCCTTTCGGTTTGACATCTTGTTCTGGAAAAAATAAGGGTTACGTATTACGTTTGTGGTATGCAAAAACGTAACGGTTTGTCAAGTTAAAGTTGAAAAATTATGGTGGAAAAAACTGCATGGAATTTTTAGTCTCAGAAATGAAATAATGATAAGCATACATACATACATAAACATTTTAATTCCTTACAAATTGCGACTTTAATCAGTAAAGGCACGTGATCCTACGAGAAATAAATGGACCATGGGCCATTTACTTTGTAGTTGGTTGTTAAAACGTATAGGACAAAGTAAAGTGTGGATGCATAATACAACGTTGCATGTAAAAGTATACAACGATATATGTAAATGAAGAGTTATGCTTATCTACTTCGTCTTCTTGATCTTACTCGGTTATTTTTGGCTTTCGAACCGTTTTCCCCGAAAAAGTTTGAGAAATCTTTAAAATAAGAACACAACATGGGACACGACACTCTGTCTTAATCTTTACGTTTAAACGTATTCCATCCTTTATGTATTATTTTCATGCATACGGATATGTGTCCATTATAAAAATCTCCTAAATTTTCATATAAAGATACATGCATACATTTAGTCCAAGAGACAGATCAGGTTCAAGTGAAATAAGCCAGCTTGTCGTCGACGTAGAAAGATAAGTTCTCATCTCTACCAATGAAAAATATATGATGCCCAGGCTGCTGCAGACGTGTAAAAAAGAGTGCTTCTTCAAACCATTAGTTGGGATAAGACGGATAAGAAATACATACGTACAAAAACTTCTGTTACCATTTTTTGGCACCATTTCCCATGCGTCTGTATTCTAGTCCATCCAGAAAACGGTGCCTCAGCCAAATTGTCTCATCGCATCTCATATTGAAGAAGACACTAATAATCAACTCACATCATGTGAGACAGGCCATTGTGTGTGTAACGTTGGTTGTGCTGAAGCATTCTAAAAAAATAATTGTAAAAAGTGTTTAGTTGTGAAGAAAATTAAAAAGCGGAAACCAGAAAATTGAAGAAACTTATTGTAAGGTTGTGATTTTTTCGAGGCCATTTTATATGCTCAACTAAGGAGGAGAGCGTCACCACCTGCCCTTCACAGATCTCGATGCCCTTTGCATATGTGGTAGGGTCCTATGAGTGTACTAAAACCCTGAAGTGGTTTGACTCCATGGCCACATTTGCGTCCGCCACACCCACTCAAAGGGATGAAAACCACAAAAGTTACCAACTTCAAAAATCCACCAAAAATCCAATTTTGCGCGGATTTTGATAAAATTTGCATTTTTGTGATCCCAGATACTTGCCTGATAATATTCGATAGCAATCTCAAGTTTTTTGAAATTTTCGAAATTTTCGAGCTGATGAACTATTCGAAAAAATTCAAAATTTCAAAAAAGTTGGGATATCTACTGGATATGATCACACAAGTATCTGGGATCACAAAAATGTAAATTTTATCAAAATCCGTGCAAAATTGGATTTTTGGTGACATTTAAAGTACATGAAAACAGGGCTTTTTTCCTGTTTTTGGCGCCTTTGAGTGGGTGTGGCGGACGCAAATGTGGCCATGGAGTCAAACCACTTCAGGGTTTTAGTACACTCATAGGGCACTACCACATATCCAAAGGGCATCGAGATCTGTGAAGGGCAGGTGGTGAAGCTCCCCTCCTAAATATAGCTAATTTAAGTAGTTATACATCTCATTTTGCCTCAAATTTAATCGAGAGTACTGAAAGTTGAAGGTGAAAGTCGTCATAAATGAATGAAGAAAATGTTAACGGTGGTGGCGACATGGCCCCCGTCACAGAAGAACAACCAAACCTAGTGGAGGAAGTAGTGGTTGAAGAATCTGTGACGCTACTTGATGACCTACGACGGGAAGAAGTTGTACCACAACAACCGGAAGTAGTTCAACCGGAACTTGCACCTCTCCTGTTAGACTGGAGTGGAGTCGTCATCCCACAACCGGACGCCGAGTTACTCTTAAAACCGGAAATAATCGCCTCCCTCGATGTCGACTTACTCCCACCACCACCGCCGGTCGCGTCACAAGAGCCAGTAAATTGGGAGGAACGTTGCGCCCTGCTAGAACGCCAAGTAAGTAAAATACAACTTTCTCCCGTATTTTCAACTTCCTCTTCAACTTTCTTTCCACCTTTAACAGCTTCAAAGAGCCGCAGAAGCCACTACTTTGCGCAAACGGCTCATCGAAATTCGAGAAACGGAATCAAAAAGTCTCACCTCCAAGTTGAAACTGTTGTCGGAAGCGATCAGTGAGGAGAAACGCCTCCGAAATGACCTTCTCACGCGCGTCGAAGCGGCCGAACTCGAATGTGGCACAGTTAAGGACAAACTCCGTCGAAATTTGGAGGCCCTTGAGCGGATGAAGGGTCATCATGAGAGGAGGGTGACGATGTTATCAGCCAACCTGGAAATCGCGGACATCAAGGCGCAAGGAACAGCCCGCAAGTTGGAGGAATCTCATAGGAAGGGGGCCGAGCAGAAAGGCCTCCTGGAAGAGTTAACTATGAAATTGAATGAAAATAAGAAGGTTACAAAAACGATGGAGAAACAGGTCAAGAAATTAAGTGATAAAAATGCCTTCCTCACTTCGCAAGTGGCACTGATTGGGCAACTGTTGGGTGACGATAATACTACTGGTGACAATCCGTCGACGTCGACACCATCGTCACCTCCGGTTGATGAGGAAGGGTCGTTGTGGAAGATCAAAAATATTATCAGGTAATATGTGGAAAATAAGCTAAGCAGTTATTTATGCGGGTCAAAAAATAGAGGAAGATTGAACAAGGTTTTCTTTGCAGACAATCGGAAAACGCCGAGTCAAGAGATGACCAAGTTCCATCCGGAAGTAAGAAAGACGAGGAGGACGAGGGGGTCGAACTTTCGTCACTTTTGGAACTGGAGAACGATGACGATTCAGAGAGTGAGCCGGTCAAAGATATTCCAGGTGAGTGAAAAATTTTGATTTTTGAAAATTTTGATTTTTGAAAAATTAGAATTTAAACTTTGTCTAAATTTTGAAACATAACTAATTTTGTATGTTCACTTAGGTGAAGAAAGCTGCTACAAACGGGTTGAGGGGCCGACCGGGCCGAAATTTATTTTAAGCGTGAGCCGAACTTTTATCAAATTGAAGGATCTCATTCTCGAGAAACGGTCCCTGCAGCAGCAAATTGATGGATTGAAGAATCTCAATACCAAGTTGGAGTCAAAGGTCGGGGTCACACATAAATAATTGAAATTCTAAAATCGTATGAAATTGGATCAGAATTTAATTTTCTTTTTCATGCAGACCGACAAACAGGAGCATCGCCTCTACTGCGTCACCAAAGAACTCAACAGTAAGTAAAAAGTTTCGTAAAAAAATAAATTATTGCGTCCTAATTTTACATTTTTTTTTATTTCTCGTCAGAAACTTGGCATTTGGTCAGCAAGTTGAAACTACAGCAAGACAGGCTACACAACAATGAAGCGTTTCTCAGGTATTTTTACTAATTTTTAGACTATTTGACTTTTACATACTTTTGCAAAAATTGCATTCTGATCATAATTTTGCAGATTTGAGCTGAAGGAAAATCGAGCCATCGTCGAAAAGTTGAAAAAAGAGATGCAAAGTTATAAAGAAAAGTGGAGAAAGGTTAGTGAATAATTTTGATAGCTCCAAGATATACTTGTCATCACAGAATATGCTAATGTAACCCAACAGGTTCGTGAAAAAAATGACGAGTCTCAATGTGTCTGGCAGCAGTTGAAAGATGAATTTGCTCAACGGCGACAAGAATCCTTGTCACGACAAGGGGGACAATCCTCGTCCTCTGCATCTTCGCCAATTTCCTTGTCGAATTCCCCATCCCCTCCGAGAGAGGATTCTTCCTTATCTTTGGAAGAGGTGGATGACTTTTGTGCTGGAATTGATCTTGGTGACGCGATGACACCACCACCAACACCAAGCGAAGATGTCACAACGACTAATGTACCAGCAGATCCAGAAGGTTGATTCTACGAATTTTTGTAAATTACAATCAAAGTGATACTAGATTCCTGTTTAAATATTCGATTTGGGCGAATAAAATAAAATTGACATCGCCAAACAAGGATTGCATAGAACAATTTTATTCCAACAATGTTTTCCCACTCGTGGACAGAAAGGTACATATACAGCAGACGGTATTCTCACATTGCATTTATTTTACAAAATGCTGCACTTTTCGCTTATTATTATCATCATCTAGGAAATATGTATATAGTTTTGATACGAGGCGGTAAGGACTACTGCAAGAGAAGAAGGAGGGACGTACATTAACAGAAACTATTATTCTTAAGCAGAATTTTTAAACTCGACAATTGTAATAAACACAAGAAATTAATTACTGAGAAAGTTGTAAATGGGGGAAAGGTTTACAAAAAAAAGATGCCGAGTCAAAAAGCAATTCTTTTGTGCAAGATTCGACCAAAAAACAAGGGGGATAGAAAAATTCATGGGTTACTGCTACATCGTCAAATCCATAATGGCGTTGACGATGTCGTTCTCCGTTTTCTTGAGGGCTTTGACGGCCTTGGCCCTCGAGACGTTGGCCTGACTCATGACCAGCTCTATGTCTTTCTCCTCCACGCCAGAGGCATCCACTTCTTCGTCCGTGTCCTCTTCTTGGATCGTACTGGCCAGGGTAGAGGCGGGGTTCAGCTCGGAAGCAGAGGGCATTTCGGGTCCCTAATTAGGATAAGATAAATTTATTAGTGATAAGTAATCATCTTATTTATTATGTACTTTTTTTGGACAACTTTGGTGTTATATGCATACCTTGAATTTCTCAGCCGCAGCCATTTGAGCTTGCTGACTGAGATCTTCAATCTTTGCCTCTCCGAAGACGATGTACGTATCGCTGGCAGGATTCTTGTACACGTCAGGCTTGGTGATGACGAACAAAATATTTTTCGATTTGCGAATAGTGACACGATTAACACCGGTAATCTAGCATTAAAATTATGAGCATTATTAATATACAATTCACAATTTATTTAAACTCGCACTCATCTCATACTCCATTATTAAATCTTTACCTGCTTGAGCCCCAACTTGCTCATAATTTTCCTCGCCTTCTTCTCCCCGCGGCTTTGCTTCACCTTGCTGATAAGGTCATCAGCTCCCATTCCCTAAAACAACCGATAAAAAACAACATTATAAGTAACCATTTTATCATTATTTTGTATTTGTTTGTATTATTATATGCTATATGTTGAACTGACCGGAATGAGACCTTCCTTGCCCTCTCCCCCAGCCACGGCTCCAGTGTTATCTTCCAATTCTGGGATATCTGATCCATCAGAGTCGGAATCGGTGGCAGAATCGCCATCGGAGATTGTAGGTTTCTTGGTCTCAACTTTAGCCATTTCTTCCTTCTTTCCAATTGCTACCATATTATAGTTACACTAACAAGAGATACACTCCTCCTCCTTCCACCAGCTTATCGAAAACAAGATTAATCACACAAAAATAGTCAATTAATTAACTTTAATGACGACTGATGATAAATGACGATGGATTATTTCCGTGTTCTTTGTGTGTGAGAAAAGTGTGAGTAGCACGCCGACACCGGTGATCGTCACGTGGGGATAAATGAGACAACTCCCCGCCACGTTCAAATTTATATGTTTACTTTCAAATCAAGACGCACTCAACTCAACTGCTGAATTGACAAAGAAAAGAAATCAAATTTTTGAGTTGTTTCGAGATTGTCAAAATTTTGAAGAATTTTTCCAAATATTTGAACACGGTAAGTATTTTGTTGAGATATTTTGAAGCAGGGTGAAAGTGTGGAAGAGAAAGGAATGGGTAGTAATTTAATTGTTTGTAGAGGAAGAGGAAGATGAGTCATTCATTTTAATTTTAGTGTTATTTGTTGATTTATTGATAAGGATTTATTATTAGTGGTGGTGGTTATCTCGACAAAATGTTATGTTTTTCTAGTATAATTGATCTCTTTGCATCCAGTTATTATTGAATAATACGAATACACGTTAGTGGAAAAAGAAAAGAACAGCTTTTGACTTAGAGTGTGAATCTATAAATCTATACTCATTTATATGTAGATTATAATTATAATTCCTATTAATATTTAAACAAGATGGTTAGAATTGGATAAAACGGTAAATGTCTGGCGATTTGTATTTTTGACGATGTATGAATCACACCACGTGATGACTTTCAATTATTCTAATTTATACTAACTGTAATTTGGTTTTCTATTTGCAGATAGCGTTAATGAACTGGAACTCTACTACATAAAAGATTGATTAAAGTGGACACTTTCGTTGTCTTATATTGGTAAAAAATATACAGCTAAAATTACTATTAATTATTGATTATCTAATTAATTGGCAAATTTATGTATTTAGTAAGGAGTTACCTTTCTGTGTGTGCAGGTGGTGGGCATGAAGACGACATCTTCTCCTAAATCACATAAAATGAATTTAAATACGAACCACCAAAAAACCAATTCAATTTGAAACAGTCACCATTCGTCACCGGAGGCTTTTTTCGACAGAATGGGTTACAATTTTATATGACGGAGAACAAGTAGTTGGAGTAGCAACGCCACTATTTCTAGGACGAGATTTGTCCCTATTAATCCATTCCTAACTTAACTTATTGCCTTATAAATTACCTACACTTTTTCCAATCCATTATGATGGAGGGATACTCGGCTTATGTGATTCCATCGGAAGATGTTCTCCTTGGGACGCAGACTGGGCGACATTTATCCCCCGTGCGTCGATTCTTTTGCCTTTTAGTCACGTTCGACCTCCTCTTCACAATTCTGCTCTGGGTGCTCTCTATAATTCTTGTGAGTAAATATTGATTACTGTTGATTTTTAAACATCGCTCTCTGAACAAGATAACGTTTGCTGTCAAAAGCAATACAATTTATTCTCAAATTATTCTCCGTTCAGAGCTCTTGACATTAATATGTATTTATCAACGTAAATGGAGGGTGATGAATCTAAAAAAAATTTTCAGGCTAAAGGTGCAACGTCTATATTTGATGCTTTCGAGACCGAAGTCTTGCAATATAAATTTGAACTTCGACTTTTCGATGTTGTGGTTAGGAAGATCATATATTAATCTAATATTGGGTTATTTATTATTATAATAACAAAAATCTATGTAGATGTGTGCCGGAATTCGGTTCGTGTTCCTCCTCTTATTTTACGCCCTTTTGAGGTGTCATCATTGGCTTCCTGTTGCCGTAATGCTAAATTATTGTTAATTGTCGAATTTAAATGGGTATTTACATTTTGTCTAATTATCTAGTTGACTACAGCTCTGACATGCGCTTTCCTCCTTGTCAAAGTATTTTTGTTTCATGTAAGTCATAAATCATCTTGTTTGGATTTACACATTTCTCAATTGATTTAAAATATATAATTTTTTGCAGTGGGACACATTGAACAATGCAACGTATCCAGTGATGCTCATCCTATCAAGTTTTGTCCTTTCCTGGTCTGAAGCCTGGTTCTTTGACTTTCGTCTCATTCCACAAGAAATCCAGGCCGCCATGTTTCACGCAAGTATGTAAACTTTGGTTACAAAACTGCTGTAATTTATTTAGTTGTAAGATGGCATATGACTTTGACCTTCTATTCAAACCTCGCGACACATGACATACACACCTCTAGATTAAAGTAGTGATATGGATATCAGCACTAAAAATGTGTTAGGTCAGTGGAACCGAGATACTGATTTGTAATTCATTATTGTAACCCACGTCACCTTTAGTTAACTCGGAACTGATTGATATTCTAACCCCCGTCACAAAATTAGACTTGTAAATGAGATGGTTTAGAGAAAAAAATGAAATCTTTTGAAATCCGTGCAAGTTATCTCTAATTGAATCGTGAATTGATTATACTTTAAATAAAATCATTTGGCACGGTTCTTTCTCTACAAATTTCTTTAGGGCAATCATCGGGTGGAGTTGGAGGAGAGAGTCAACGAGTCATCACTTGGCTGGGACGTTCCGTATCACAAATTGCTCAAAACGTGCCCATTCAACGAAGCTATCCAGCATCCACGGCGGATTTTTTCTCCCTCCCGGAGTCACCAATGACCTCGGATGATGAGGATTCAGAGACCGAGTCGATGGAAAAAAGGGCGAGGCGGCTGTATAAGGCGAATAACGTACTCCCAGAATCGCCAGAGGTACATACAGACTCAATAACTATTAACTATATCATTAAAGTAATCACTAATTATTCTTTTTGTTGTTTCCAGTGCAAGTTATGGATTCAACAGGCTCCCACGATGTCGGACAAACTGCTAGCTCGTGTCCAACAGTCGGGCTGGGTTCTAGAGAAAACCTCGGATAATGGAGATAGCGTTTTTATTCTAAAGTCTCCCAGAAAAGTGTTTATGATTTCGGTAGGCAATTTCTTGTGTTTTGTGACGAGTTATTGTACTAGTTAAAAGTAATGCTGTGTTTTTTAGGGAACGTTGACCGCACCACCTGCTAAAGTTGCGTTCGAACTGTTTCAAAGGTTTGAATACATGCCGCGTTGGAATCCTGCTGTGACACAGTGTGAAATTATTCAGGTGAGTTTTGTTAGATTATACATAGGAGCACGTGTGTAACTAATATTATTGATTTGATGTAGCGACTCGGACCTAGCACGGATGTGAGTTACCAAGTCAGCAAGGAGGGCGCCGGAGGGGCTGTGTCGCCTCGAGACTTTGTTACACTGCGACACCATAAAATATGTCCAGATGGGATACACATCTTGGCTTCGGAATCAGTGAAACATCCAGCGAAACCGAAACAGCCAAAAATTACAAGGTATGAATTAGCACTTATGAAAATTCTGGAGAAATTTACATATGTATTGTTTCTCATAGAGCGTTCAACGGAACGATGGGATTTGTCCTGAGTCCAGTGGATGGTCAGCCGTGTCGCACCACGTTCCAGTGGGTGTTGGACGTGGATCTCCAGATTCCTGCTTGGATCCCACGAGCCATGGTTGACAAAGCCTTCATCACTGCTTCACTTGAAACGATGATTTGTCTCAGAGCTAAACTCGCCATGACGGTGGACCAAATCCCGTTGGAAAGTGTCGATCCCGGTACAGATGCCGTAGCTGGTCCATCAGTACTGCAGTAGAGGGATTACAAAATAATAGAGGCTCGCATATTTATCCTGTTCCATTCCCAGTAATTAATGTTAACCACTCGAATGACATTTGTTCAGAATTATTTGTAGCTGTAGTTAATTTGCCGGCCGAGTTTTGACTGAATTTGGGAGAGATATTGCCCCTTGTTTTGCAATATCAACAGACTATAGATTGCTTATACTGGAGAGACGAAATAGTTATTAATTAATTAATAGTGACTACCTAAACACGTTCGAAATACATACTTAATTTACGTCCTTGTAGTTTGTTCTTAGTATATTTAATTTATATATTTTGCGGAGATTTGTACATCAAAGAGATTTTCACTTCATTTGTAACCCATCCAGACCGACCATACCGTGAGGCTTCACTTTCTCCGATTTATTTTGACTTGTTCTCCTACTCCTTCATTCAATACCAGATCAGCCTACTAACTAACTATCCTACTAATTTTAATGAAACTGTGATATTGTGCAACGCTATGTATGTAGAACAAGAAAATAATAAGTGAATTAAGAACTATTAAAAAGGTTACGTAATTTCTAGTCTTCCATGAATTTATATGCTTCTCTTTAACCTTATAAAAAATATCTTATCTCTATACGAGGACAATATTGTGAAAATCTGTAACTTATTAATACCAAGAACTGTTAATGTAAGTATTTCATATATGGGAATTAATTACTTGCTAATTTTTTTAAAGGATATTTATACATATCTATTAAGCTGTCACATATGTTCGGTTGTTCTGTTCGTAATGCTGCTACATTATGCTGCTTAGATGAAAAGTGAAGTGACAATCTATAGGTGAAATATATCAGGTTTTATAAACGGTTTGTTCAGTTCAGAGAATAAAAGCACGTGAAAAAGATATTATGCAAGAGTTGTTGTTCTGTTCAGAGTTTTGGACTAATTACTTCATAAAGAAATATGATGCATTAAAATGTAAAATTTTTGCGAGTATGCAAAAATGAGCATCTCATTAATTTAAGAATTCATATGAAGTGCGAAATCTTTATTAAAAAATAACAGTACCAAAATTTCAGTAATAAAATTAAAAATATTACTGAGTCAGTAAATCTATAAGCTAAAACGTATCTAAATTACAAGATTTTTCCCCACGGTGCCTCTATACTTGACTCCGCGTATAGAAGGGTCCGGGTCAAACGACGAGTTTTCCGACCCCCCGAGATGATTTAGAGACGTTGACGAAGACGCGGCGGAGGACGAGTCAGACATAAACAGACCGGAAACGCCCATTTCTTGAACTTGGATCCCTTCTCCGAAGTAGGTCTCGATTGCTTCGTCTTCATTATTTCCGGTTCTGTTTGTCGTGTTGTCCCCAAATCTGGGAAATTTGTTGGTGAACAGGGTCCGAAATCGTCGCATGACTTCGGAAGGAGTGTAAAGTTGAAGAGATTGTTTCAAAGATCGGATCAATTTTCGCCCATAAAGTCGCGTCGCTTCTTGACGTTGATCGTTCGTCACTGTACAAAATTATATACAAATATTTGAGTCAGAAAATTTTAATTTATTACAAAATTCAAAAAGTTGAAGCATGTATTTTTTAATGAGTTGATTGATTAGAAATATATACAAATTCTTATCGAGCAAACTGCACAAAATTGTTTGAGTCAAAAAATTTGTTAGAAAATTCCTAAATTCAGTTGCAACGTTTTATTTAAAGAAGAAACGGAGTTTTTGATTAGAAATATGTACAAATTCCTGTCATGCAAACATCAAAATTGCATTATTTTATTGCGTCAAAGTGTAAAATATAACACAACTATGTGACCTTTGACATACCCTGACGATCATCCAAATATTCCAACTCTTCCATCCAGGAGATGACAAAGAGACGGTACTGCAAGTACTGGTAATACGTCCCTCCATTCAGATAGCTGGGGGCTCCCTCGTTCCCCATCAAGCTCAACGTCCTCAGCCGTCCACAGCCCCTCCCAAGCAGCGGAATGAAGGGGTGGAGGTTCGAGATGAGGTTGTTATTCAACCAGAGCGTGCTCAGAAGTGGGAGTGGCGGAAAAGCAGAATTTTCAGAGACGCAGTTGTGGTCCAAAATCAGAGTCGTGAGAGAGGAAAAGTGAGACAGAAAGTCCAAATTCCTGGAAATTTGTGGAGTTTTAAGACCGAATTTTTCTCGGTCGGACTAATTTTCGAACAGTTTTTTTTTGTAAATGTCTGGATTTTTTTAAACATGAATTTTGAAATCTTACGAAATCGAATTATGCGACAAATCCAAAATTTCAATAATCGGGCCATAATCTGAGAGGAGATTTACGGGGGGATGAATAAGGCCTTCATAGGCAAGGGTGAGACGGCGTTCCTCCGTTGAAACAATGTCCCCAGAACGGTACGAAGTTTCCATTATTGCAGCTAAGAACTGGTTATTGTCCTCGTTAATGTCCCGACCTAATTCTTCTCCTCCTTCCGAAGTATCTCTCACTGACGACATGATTTTCTTCTCCTCCCAGTTTTATGGGGAACCTTTTTAATCCAATTTCCAACTGCGGAAATTTTCCGAATCAACAATTAACCAATCGATGAGATGACCCCATCACCGCCCAGAATAGGACTATTTAACAAACTAGTTATTATTATGACTGAGAGACTTGTTGTTTATGCGTTAAATATTTCCATACGATTGTTGTTTTAACGGTTTTACGCATTGAAATCTAAATCAGCCCAGTTTTAGCTGGATGACAGAGTACAGTGATTCAGTCGTATTTATCCATGTCGAGACAATTCGAGGTTAATATTTTATGCAGTTGTTGTTCTTTTGTAATCCGTTTATGTTTATGCAGATGGTATTTAATTAGTAAATCTTGCCATGCTGTAATGTAGCAATTAAGACTGACTGAGGGGTAAAAAACAGCACAGGTGGTCAAGGACTCGGAATGACATTCTCTGATCTAAAATCGCGTATCATACGAGGTACATATTCACGCTACGTATGTACTCCAGTTACAGATAATGCAATTGCAATTGTATGTATTTGTTGAGTATTCACCTGTGTAGAATCAAGTATTGATATTTATGGTGTAAAATCAAGGTGTAATTGTGTAATTGATGATAAAAAGGTGCAGTTGATGAGACGGGTTGGACAAGTTCAACTTTTTGTCGTATACATATACATATGCTGAAATATATTTTAGAGATCTCTAGTCACGATTATGAATATGTGGTCTTTGGGAGCAGTTAAAGTTAAATTGATGATTGGCAATTAAAGTTGACAAAAAGGATTCGCATATATTTGTAAAGTTTATACTTTACTTTATTAATTGCAACCAATCAATGGTTGGATGGAGTACAAAATTAGGATAAAACGATATGCTTATTATCTAGATTTAAATAATTATTAATCACAGATAATAACTGAATTGTGGACAAAATTTAAACGATAGTCTGCCAGATGACCTATTATCGTGTTGGTATGTATCTTAATTTTATGCTAACTATTTATATGTTTAATTTTATTTTATTCTAAGCGTGACCAGCACACTAGATGAAATATGTAGGATAAAAGTAATAGCATAAGTGTGACAAATTCCCGAATTTGCACAAATTATCTATTAGCCACTAAATATAGGTGAATTAACTTTTACGAAATGAATAAAATCGACGAAACTAAAAATATTACGCACCTTATGTCATAAGTAAAGATTAGAAAGTTACTACTCATCGAATTATAAAATTAATATAAAATATTTATTACGCGCTATTATTATTATCATACAAACAAAAGGGAATTGTGCTTAGCATTCAATCGACTTGTATAATTAATTATCGCGCTAATTTAATTACAATTCATTTAGTCGTTGAATCTTCTATACAGGAATGTCGAGATAATTTAATTAGTTCTCCACCCGACCTATTTTGAATTTCTCCTCCTATTTCATGGTTTTGTTGAAATGGTAGGATCCGCTCCGTGTAAACCTTGTCTCGGTGTGCCAGACTAAAAATATTTCCGAGAGCTTCTTCCGTTTGGCAAATTCTATCCTTAAAACGGGCCTGATTTATGAAGAAGAACTTCCAGTAGGAACGATCCTCTCGGGCTTGGGGGTCATCTTCAAATTCTATGATTTGTACCAAGTCTGCCTCATCTTTGAACTGAACCTGGAAATCAAAGGGAAAATGATTAATTGAATATGTTTTTGTAAGCATGTCACGAGACATGAGATTCCATGAGGAATTACTAAATTGCATAATCATTCCTGCAATGACAAGGCAGGTTTACAAGAGGACGATAATGATGATGCAAAATAATAACATTTTACGACACACAACGTCACAAAAATCAATGCCCTCTTTCACATTGAGCTTGTTTTAACGATGTGACGTAATTTTCCAGTAAAATCGATATTCTATTTTATTTTATTTTATTTTATTACCTTCCGCATCCTTTCTGAAAAAACGGCGTCGTGGTCAATGTTTTCTTCTTCGAGAAGAGTTTCAGGTACGGAAGTAGGTTTTTTATTGTTGCTTAGCTTGTTGCACCCCTCGGCCAATTTCGTTGTCATCCAGCAGTGTCCTCCACCAACTCCACCGACTCCTGCAAAAGTTGTCAATTTGTTATTAGTCTAGTTAACATTTCATACATTTACTAAATGCAGTCAAAATTATTTTTAAGACGCATTTTCAATTCATCTTGCTCTGTTTAAGGCGTCTGAATGGTACTTTTTAAATGTGAAAAATATGACTGGAGCCAAGCGTCCATTCAGCATGCATGACAATTTCATACATATTGAATTTCATATAATATGGACATAAAATTGCCATATTTTCTTACATATAATCAATCAAAGTAAAAAAAAGACTCACCATTACAGAGAAATCCAATCCCAAACGCTCTGATTTTCAACCCCTTCAATTTTGTCAGACTAGAAGGCTGTTTTGGCGACAACGTCGTACAAGTTGTCGTAGATTGGAGACAGGTAAAGGAAAACGGCTCAGCATCGTCACGAAACATGATACAATCATCGTCCTCGTCGTCATCATCCGCCATTGCGCCAGGTCGACAACACCCATCCACGGCGTCTTCCTCGTCTTCAGTTGTACTATCATCATCACTATCTTCTTCGATATCCTCCCAGTCCGAGTCCGGTCCAGGGTTGGAGACCACGTCGTCATCTTCCCCGTCGGAAAGTGACGTCTTGGAAGAAGAGGACATTGTTCGTTTACGAGATTTATATTTACACAAAGAAGGTGAACTATTATTAGCGACGACGACGCTTTCCTCTTTAACAGGGTTATCTCCTACTACTACACCATCACAAAGGTCCTCCTTATTACTAACGGCGGCGAATAGCCGCTGGTGAACATCACAGTCTGTCGCCATCATTATCGGAGAGGGGGCAGGCGACGTAGATTCTTCTTCTTCTAATTCTAACAAAGTGCTGCTCCTACCACTGCTGTAACATATATCGTGATGATAATCACCTCCTTTGATAACTTGAGATCCCACCATTTTAGGAAATATTTGTCGTTCTTTTCTCTCATAAAAAAACTGGGTGGGGGCATACAAGGGACAACTTGGGACATTATAATTATTATTGTTATTGTTCTCTAATACTGATCCTATGAAAAGATGAGAAATCAGCAGATGCATAATTCGACACGTTAAAACTTGATTAATTTTACTGCTTTTCACTTTCTTCTCCTTCAGAGACCGATTCTTTTTATCGATTTATCCACGTTAGTGAAAACACTTTCAACATTTTATAGGTTTTTGACAAAATAATTGTGTTAGATTCGAAGTTTTTTAGGAAATTTCAAACAATTTGAGGAATATTTTCTGTTTTGTGTGTATTCTGTTGTGCTTTGAGAGAGTGAATAAGGCTGATTTTATGAAGGCTGATGCAATATCCCACCTACCTTCAGAACCACCACCACCATCGTCCACCACCAGAGGGGCCAAAAGTGACGTCACGTCGTCAAAAGACAAGCACACGAGTATCTTTATCTGTACTTTTTGCGAGGGGAGGGCCGGTACGAGGATGCATTTTGGTAGAAACTTTCAGAATTTTTGAAGAGGAGAAGGACATCATGAGGGGGGTGGGGAATTAAAAATTGTAAATTTTGTGGGGCGACATGGTGTCGCCACTGGGAAGAATTAATCCCTCCAATAATATTAGGGGCATGGCGACAAATGATGTCGTGGCGTTACACGTAAGATTTTTCTTCTCGCGAAGTCATGGGGACGGCGACGACGTAGTTTTAGAACGTTGGATGATTTGGATTTTAATTGTGGGTTTATTTGGGCAACACGCTTTATGAACATGCCAATTGTTAACTTGAACTTGTACTTAATTATTAAGGCATTTAGTTAAATGTATGTATGCACATTGTGACGCTACTTCCTTAAATAAGATAATGGGGGTTATTACCTTATTTGCTGTAATGTGGACTCGTTAGTATAGGTACAGCGAATGCATGCAGTTATTGGATGTTCATGCAAACTATTTAAGTGTATATATATACATCTGTGTTAACTTTAACTAATGAAGGTTATAGGTCTCATCAATTAACCAGTTTCACGAGGTTGGTCTGTTGTCCTGTCTCCAACAGTTTTTTCCATAAAATTCCAGCGCTTATACAATCTATTTATTGCTGTAGATAGATAGTTATTTGGGTACACATTGTGTTGGGATTTACTCAGTCAGTTATCCTTATTCATGGGGACGGAGTGATAGCTCATGAACTTATTATGGTACATGAAACCAACCAAGATACATATTTAAAGCATAACCAGTTATTATTATATACCTAAACCCAAGCAGATTGGTTTTGGACAACTGGATAAACGAGTTATAAATACATTTCTACCCTTGCCTGGCTCAGAAACTTGACCTGATTTTGACCCAAAATAAACATTTTATTGTTTAAAGTTCGAAAGGGTTTTTAAACCCAAAATTCTTAGCCATTGGAATTAAACTGTCTCAAACTGTATAGTAATAAACTGCAAAATACATTACTTTATTTAACTTTTAAGTTTGAACCATGTTTTATCTGTAACACAGAAGACGTTTTTTTTTCGAGAGAACTCATGAATGAATCACATTGCAAAATCATAACATTTAAATTCCAAGAAATTAATGACGTGATTCATCGGTTAAGGAAGATGCGTCATCCTGGTCCATGCTTGAAGTTAAGATTTATGTAACTGTAATGGTAGAGATTTCCATGCACAATTTGTGCAGCACGAACACTATTACGCAACAGATTGTGCATGGCGTATTGGTATTCCGAATGATGAAGAAAGGGTTAGAATGTTTGGGAAGGATGGAGGATGTACACAATTTAACATCCACGTGAGTACATAAACCTAAAATTAAAGTATGCTTTACGTGACGGAAGAAGCGTCGTCATCACTTTCTTAATCTCATGGTTGTATTGTTTACGACGACATGTTTTGTGTTTACGACGGTAAAAGGATCGTTTTGTTATGGTTTTGTTATAAGGGTTTTGTTGATCTTGTTGATGTGCATAGATTTGTACACCAGAGAGACGAAGAATTTCATGACTAAACAGTCTCATGATTTAGTTTGACTATATGTATGCATATGAAAATCCTGAAAATCTGACATGTATATAAATCTGCCATAGAATAACAGAAATCTGCCTGCAATAACAAAAATTGTCAAAAATGTCACTGGAAAATATTACATGGTCATAGTCTAATTTCAAGATAAATGCTATTATGTTATGATGGAGATAAGTGTTTTAAGTACATCCAATTGTATATCCAATTGTTTGAACGGCATACTATATGTAATTCGATAAATGGATGCAACAATAATTATAGGAGCACTGCTCTCCAAAATCTGTAGATATGTGAAAACTGAATAAATATTAGCAAATCCATGCAACAAGTGAATTATGTACATACTTCTTTTATTACTGGTACACACATGCACCATTAATAAAATCCATGCAGAGAGTATGAACATGTACATATTTATTCGTTAATAGTCAATAAATAATTGTCTCGTTAAATGATTACGGTTCGACGTTCATTAATAAATTAATAAATAATGTGGTTTAATTAGTAGGCATAACATGAAATTTACACTTTTACTTTATTATTGGTAGCTTCTGTCGTAGCATTTGCACCACCACGCCCCATAAGACTGCCTAGACTGGTAATGCCACTCCTCATGGTGCTGATATTCGTGAGGAGTGATCTAAAGATGTCTGATACCGTGGTCGAGACGCGTTCCGTACTTCGGCCCGTGTAAGATTGGATAATTCCGCGAATATTTCCGCTAAAAAGGTTCTGCAAAATGTTTTCGATGTAATTCGTGTCCGCCGCTTGTCGCCATCCTTTCTCCGGCTGGTCGGAAAGGATGACATCGACCGAGTCGCAGTTTGACATGGCGTTAGTGATGATATTCTATAATAAAAAAGGTGGTTCAAATTTTTAAGTAATTTTAAAAATTAGAATTAGTATATATCGTAATTTTTACCTCTGTTAGCGTTTTCTTCATGGCGTAGTCATCCGCATTGTCCTTAGGATTAGAAATTTGGGCCAAAATCGAATCCTGCAAGGCTTGAGTCCAGTCCGAACCGTCCTGAGATTTGAAACTGCATAAAAACTGTAGATTATTTGCCAGCATGTTCTGTCCCTCCCAGGAGACTTGGGAGGTGAACGTTCGCCCATTTTTCGGAAGTATATTTCCTGTTATGGTCTAAAATATTCGGTTAAAAATCTTTTAAATTTATATGTCCTTATATGTCCTAAAATAATAAAATGCGTAAATACCTGGATGACGAGAAAAGTTACTAGAACAGGGCGAAGCATTTTGTTTATGAAAAATAAAAATAAAATATTGCAAGCAGAAAAACTAACTTAATGGAATTGGTACGTGAATTATTGGTAATTATTCTGGACGGAACGTTATTGCATCCTGTAAATGTGCAACTAATAATGACAGGTTTTGGGTATAAAATAGATTAGAAAACAATGGAATATATCCAGAATTGACCACCTGGATTCATGAAAAATGCATGTTCTGTTATGAGATGCGACCCCACATCGAGGAAGAACAATTATTGCAGAAATAGGTCAACATGCACAAATCGTCCATGCAGAGAGAGTTACATACATGATACACACAAGAAGACCAGGCAGGGTGCCAACAAGTAATACTAGGAAAATGATTTTATTGTCTTGAAGAACATGTCCAATAAAATAATTAATTGATGGTACGAATCCGTCATGCATACCTCCTATATACTAAATATTTACGTATTTTTTGTATAATACTCATCATCATCTCTTAGCATTTCGTCCAATCAAATTCATAAACGTAGTGACTCCAACGTGTAACAATTCCGGAAGTGGGACTCCCATCGGATTTAGTTGACCTTTCCCATACTTGTCAAACTCTTGGCACCTCCTCTCTAAAAACTTCCACGTTTCCAAATAACCCTCCGACCCGTCTTGAACCAGGGTGAGCTCGGTAGAGACAAAGATTGCAGCGATTCCCATCCGCTTCGAGTACCAGTTGAGCTGAATGAATATAAAAATTAGTATGCAAATTAGCTTGCTTAACTTAATTATCACGAGCTGTAATTATAATTACTTACATCCGCCGAAGAATCCTTAAGGACGTGGTGCGCAATACTATCTGAAATTTCCATAAGGAGTTTGACCGACTTTGGGAGATGTTGTGGATGAGAAATGATGGCGATTGCTTCCGAATACGTGGGCGCAAATGGGACAACTTTTCGCAGTCTGCATTCCAAGGCGTGCTGCAGAGTTAGAGGTGCCGTGGCATCATCGCCCTTCTTGGACGACACATACTCCTCGAGTTGACGATTACTTTTAGAAATGAAGTAATGGACGAGGTCCGCATCAGTAAATAGAGATCCTGCCGCGGAGGATAAGCCGGCTTGTTCAGCAGCTAAAAATAATTACAATAAATAATGCTTAGCAAGTCTTCCTAATTATTCCGAGTTTAAATAAAATAAATTGTATCATTTTTATGTTTTCTTACCTTTTGAAATCGCTTCCGTACTCCACCCACAAGTAGAAACGTGGGTAAGCGCTAATTCTAGCAGATCCCCTTTAAATCGTTCCTCTTCCTCGGAGGCAGCTTCTTCCTCCGCAGTGTGACCACTATTTCCGCCACCACGTCCATCATTAAAACCCAAAGATCCACTGAAATCTATAGGGTTTGAGTCGAGAGGGGTGGCTATCGTTTGAGAATGTTGATATCTTTGGTGACTAGATGTACTGCCGGATATTGGGGATGATGATAACGTCCTCCTGACATTTTTATGATGAATACAGAAGGATTTTGTAGGATTTGATGACAACAAAGACCGGCTAATTGTGGTCTTGGAGGTTGATTGTAAGTGAGGAATACCTGAAATAATTTGATCAGAATTTAGAAATTTTAAAAGGAAGTGTTAAAGTAGATAATTCGTGATAAGTTGCATTGTGCAAAAAGATCAAATGAATTAATAATACAAGAACCACTTACGGATAAGTTGGCGAATCAGTGTCATTTTTAATAGGTACCGATGGGATGGTAAAGAAAATTTTGACAATTTCAATACAAAAATTGATATTTTCACTTTTCAGTATTATTTTATTTATGTTCAACTTTTCCCACATCATGAGATCATGTCAAACTTCGAAGCCGGTATGAAATGATACAGGCAAAAACCTGCAATATTTTCATTATTTTTTCAGAATCGCTTTTTATACAAGTGCTAATAAATAATAGAGAATCTATCATAATTTCTAATTTGCAATTTTACATCGTAGAGTGTAATAAATTTCAAGACGGATTGTATTCAAGAATCATATGTAAAAAAATGTTTATACGTAAATTCATAAACTTTTGTACCAATTTTATTTGCTAAATTTAAGATTAGGCATTATAATGAAAAGGTGATATATATATATAATTGAGCAGTTCTGATTCTGAAATGTGCTCTTCGAGTACTATCAGAATCGGATGTGCGATCTATGAATGGGAATTAGAGCAATTTGCTGGCGATATGAATTTTTCACAAATGCAGCCAATAGTTTTGCACGCTGTGCAATTTTGTACTAATTTTATGTTTGCATGTACGCATTATGCAGCCTCATATTCGCATGCATGCAATGCAATTTATGCCAAATTTATGTAAGTGCGGTTTATCAATGAACTAAATATTTTCTCGTAAAAATTGAGAATGGAGAACAATTGCCAAAATCGAACTATGATTTACGGCACACGACAAATAAATTACGCAAGTACTACACACACGTACACAATACACGTACATGCATACATAAGGATATTAATTAAAAAAATTTACAATTGAATAAATTCCTTTGTGTACGGTGACCGCTTTAATGTACTTCATACGAGAAAATAGTCAACTATGTATTCAATCTTACAAAATTTCAAAATAGTTTTAAAAGTGTTGTACAATTAAATAACGATAAAAAATAATAACTAATGACAAACTAGACTATTACTTTCTCTTTCTTCGGTTACGATCGGACTCGCTTTCATTGCTAGAATCAGATTCACTGTCACTGCTGCTACCACTGCTGCTACTTTCCTTCCTTTTATTCTTCTTGTTTTTACTAGAAGATGACGAGTTTTTAGATTTTTTAGATTTCTTAGACTTGGATTTTTTGTGTTTTCTATCCTTCTTGGCCTTTTTAGCTTTTTTGATGTCTTTCTCATCGTCACGTTTCTTCTTCTTCGGAACAGCGTCTCTTTCCTCTTTTTTGATCTTCTTAATTGGTTCGTAAGGAAGGAGGTAATCGTCATCATCGCCTCGCTCTCTCTTAATACTGCTGTTTGACGGGGGTGGTTCTAATCCGGGAAGCTGGACGCCAGGACCGCACCCCGTAATGTGCAGGTTTCGAGTCACATCGTCCAATTTATCTGAATCCTTGGGCGGTTTGTAATCTTTGACGTGATCCACGCGAATAGTTCGTCCCGAGATCTGGATACGAAAATAGCATGAGAAGTTTTATGCATCAGTCAATTTATCTTGATCTTGACTAGTTTTTAGCACGTGCATACCTTGATCGCGTTAAAGTTATCTACTGCTAAAATAGTCGATTTCTGATCCTCATAGCACAGGAATCCAAACCCTTTCGACTTTCCGGTCACCTTGTCACGAATCAGGTTGAGATTCACGGGTTCTCCGTACTGTGAGAAAACGGCGATGATATCCCCCTCGGTCAGGTCATAAGGCAAGCCGCCTATAAATATCCAGGCGGAATCGCGATACTCGTCATGCCAGGAAGTCTTCCCATCGTTATATTTGAGCTCACGCTCACTCAGTTTGGCAATGTTTCTGACATTTCTGAAACGTTGTAAAGAATAACAAGTCATTATTTGTATAGTAAATTCAAATGGACAAGTCCCATCAAAACCACAAAAAATAACCACAAATGATACGGAAATGGCAGTCAGAAATACTCACTAGGAAATTCCTAAAACTATAATTTTCCTCCTATTTTTATACACCAAGACTGCAGCTATTTCCTGGAATATTTGCATTCCAAAATTTTCTTGTGTCTTATCTCAGTCTCTTAAAATGAATCTGGTAAAACTACCCTTTCTTCTGATCAACCTGGTCTTCCTAATCTTATCCCTTGCCCTGATTGGATTTGGGATTTACGTTCTGACCGATGAGACCATAATCGATAGGGTGATTTCATTATCAAATCTGACCGAAATACTAAAACTCTCCCCCACGGGACATCATAATGACCAGCCGTTTAAGGATGATGCTGATCAGAAGAATAAGTCAACCAGTGACGACGATGGATTCCTCCACCTTCACGGTTTCACTGATCCGATAAGCTTTCTCCTCATTTTCATCGGGGGGCTACTCTTCATCCTGAGTTTTATCGGGTATTGTGGAGCAATAAAGGACTCGAGATGTCTTGTTGCCCTATTTGGCGTGGTGTTAGGGCTCGTATTTGTAGCGGAAGTGGGTGGTGTGTGCCTCTACTTTTTCCTGTTTAAGGTTCGCTTGATTTATGAATTTTAAGTAATAAGATAACAAATTTCCTATGCATTTCAGCCTGACATAAAATCCTACCTCACCGAAGGAATAAAATCCCACTACAACCCAGATCCACACCCTACCGGTCCAGGGACAAGGCTAACGGTGATCATGGACTATTTAATGATTGAACATAACTGCTGTGGAATTAATAGCGATGCAGATTTCGCCCCCGTTTATGATCGAAGACATCTCAGCCACCAGCAAATTCCGGAGGCGTGCTGTCGCCTCAATATCACAAATTTTAGAGAAGTCAACCAAATCTATGAGAGCATTTTGATGTCATCGAATACCAAAGCAGATGAAATTAACCCAAACTTTATTCGAAATCGGGGCGAACTCTTGGAATTTGCAGACGACCCGAATTGCATTTCGGGACAAAGGACCACAGACTCTGCATATTTAGGCGAAGAAAATGGATGTTTCAACAAAATTTCAACGGACTGGGGGACATTTATCATAATTTTCGGGGTGGTTTTAGCCATCTTGCAATTAAGTGGGGTGGCATTTTCGGTCTTTGTTTTTAGAGCGGCGTACTACGACTTTCACTCGTAGAGGATTGATTGATGACGATTTTTGTTTAGTAGATATTTCGACCTTGTAATTAATTAACTTAATAAAAACTTTACTTACGTTAATGGATTCATTCTTCTTGCTTTTGTGATTTGCTTCTACTTGAAACAAGACTCTTAATCGTTATTATACTGTTTCAAAATTAACTTAATGTTTTCGTAAAATAACTTTAATTCGGAATTTAAAAAAACGACAACTTCTGTCTGTCATCCGTTTGTGAAGTGTAAAGAAAACGTGAGCTGTGTTAGCTCAACTCGCGCTGTTATGGATTGAGGCCGAATACCGTTTTTCCTGAGATTTGGATTTTGATATTTTTTTTAGATAAAGAAAATTTCTTTTTGTGTGATTTAAAAATCCAATTTTACACTGGAAAACGGCGTAGTTAGCGTGGGTGGGTGTGGTCACGATTACAAAGCAACGAAAACGTGACCAGTCGATGCAGGAAGGATGACGAGCTTGACCCATTTAGAAGAAGGTTTGATAAATGGTAAATATTTTTTGTTAATAAACACTTCAAGCTGGATGGAATTAACATCATAAATATCATAATTATTAATCATTAATCATTCATTAAAGGGGACGATCTCATAAACCTGGGTGCTCCTGCTAATGGCGAAAATGGACCAGCACCAACACCATCAACATCAGTAAGTTATGGCTCGTCGTCAACATGTTCTCAAGGACAGCCTCCTCCTCCCCCTACTCCTCTCGTCAGGGTTATGGTCACAACCACCACTCCCACACAGCCGAGCACTCTCACCTCCACCGGACAAATGGGGCCACCACTAATTCCTAAACCCAAACCGAAACGATGGGTGTCAAGAAACAAGTATTTATTGGGGTCGCTTTCTCTATCAGATGACGACGACGAAGAACGAGGGCGAACCAAGGGAAAGGGAAATAAAGGCAAGACGAATAAAGGACAACAAGAAAATACTTGTTACGTGTGTGATCTCTGCGATGGAAAGTTTAGTTCGAGTTCAAGCCTTCAAAAGCATCAACGCGTTCATACAGGTTTGTTCTACTTAATTCTACCTTTATGAATTAAAATTAACGTGGAATTTCTTTACTTTAGGAGAACGACCCTTCGAGTGTACAATCTGCAGTAAACGGTTTGTCACAAAATTCGCTCTGGAACGTCACGCGATCGGGCACGATCCCAATTCCTCTAAGGCCATCGTTTGCAGTATTTGCGATAAACGGTTCTCAACCAAGGAATGGTTGGTCATTCATGTTCGAAGCCACACGGGGGACACGCCTTTCAATTGCGACGCGTGCGAAAAGAAATTTACTAGTCAGAGCAGTCTGAATCGCCACGCGCTTACCCATAAGAGTGGTAAAACAAATAATTGACACTTTTTAATGTCTGGAAAATAAACTGATTTACATTTTTTTTTACTTTTGTTTCAGAGAAGGGTTATCTTTGTCAAGAATGCGGCAAGCTTTATCAAAGTAGTCAAGCGATGCGTGTACATTTAGAGAGTCACGGTCACGGACCGGAGCGGAATTATCCCTGTCCCAAGTGTCGCATGAGATTTAGGAGAGCGTTGGATTTACAACGGCACTCAATGACACATCGAGACGTACAAATGCTGCCCTGTCCTCTACCCTCTTGTGAACACCAGTTTCGCCGAAAGGACAATTTGCTCAGACATCTGCAACTTACTCACAACCAAACGAGGGAAGAAGCTCATGAAACTTTTAATATGTTGAATACCAGTAGTAGTAAAACCTCCGAATGCAATGATAGGTAAGTAATTAAACAGATAACATATCATTATATTAGTTTATGCGAATATTTAACGATTTAAACTCTTTAGTGATAGTGCACCAGGTTCCGTCTCTGCAAGTTCTGACAATGAAATTCCATCAGCACCAGCTTCCTTGAATGGTATAGACGAATCTCCACGAACGACGGGGGGAAGAAGTAATCGCAGAAAAAATAATCAAAACACGACGAAGACTAGAGTAAAACGGTCACAAAGGAAGAACACAACTGTACAAAATCCAAAATCAAGAAAACGTAAAAATCCACAAGTGCAAAGTTCATCACCACCACCAGCAGCGGTATCGGAAGACCCAGATTCCTCACTTCAGTCAATTCCTATTGAAGAAAATATGCCAGAAATTACAACATTATTGGATCCCAAATGTACCCAAATTCCTGTCCAACCAACAACCATGACTCCACATACGGCTCTCATAGAAGATACAACTTACCCACCAACGAAAAGTGTCACCACATCAGTCATTATGATGGCAAAATCGACATCGTTAAATAATAATACATCGTCTCAACAACAAAATCATCCCTACCATCACCGGAAGAAGTATAAACGTGCCAATGAAGACACTACGACGAACACCGAGCTGGATGACGATATTAATTATGATAACCATCCCAAAAGTCCCTCATCGAACACGCTATCCCTCCAGGTCCCCTATCCAACCCGGAATATCTCACCCGGACAAGAGTACATCAACTATTTGAACAATTTAAACAATCCGATCGCCTACAGAGTCCGGGATAGGTCGTCATCCTTTCAAAATCGTCAATCCCTTGGGATCAGTAGCAGTAGAAATTATGGTCAGAATAATTCAAATCGAATGGAACCTTCTTACCCAAAAAAGTATTCGGAGCATGAGGTGTCATACAATTCCAAAGAAAATCAAAATGATAATAACTTTTCAGACGTAATGTCCACTAATCAACAAATCAATATCCACCAGACCGGAAATCCTGACACTTTTACCTTTCAAGGCAACAATTATGATATATCTGCCTCCGCTGCTCCAGGATACTTTCAACCTCCTCAGATCCAATATCAACTTGCAGATTCTGAAATAGACCCTGGATATTTAGATTTGTCCTTGTCCTCTCCCCCCGATTCAATGTACGACAGGAGAAACAATTCTTCCTTCCCACCCTCCTCTTCGATGAGATCATCATCATACTCTAACGGATCAAACCTTGTACCTACCTCTTCCTATTATACGATGGAAACGAACGGTCTAAATTACGACCAACAACAGCAATTCATCTCGGAAGATCTAACCCCATTATGTTACGTTCAATCTTTGTCTCAACAAGAAAATAGCAAGGAATCTATGACTAGAAACGTGTCGTCCAACTATGACGGGGGATATTATGAGACCCAGTCGTCTTCTTCCCTCACGTATAGCGTAATGCAGCCCCTTTTGGAATCATCGGGCGACATGTATCAAAACCAGGAGATTTCTCTCACCCAACACCCTCCGCATTTGGTTGACTATATAGAAGAGAATTGTGAGCGACCCTTTAACGTTACTGTGATCAAGCGAGCTTCTGCCTCACATCAACACGAGCAACCAAATACTCAAAATGTTTTCCAAGAGTCTCATTACCAAAGACATTTTCAAGACATTCAGGTAATTCCATTATCCACTTAACATCACCAGATCCTGAGTAATTTTGTGCCAGAATTTCTTATTAATGGTGCATTTTCTCAATTTCTAGGATTTTACTCAAGTTGGATCATCATCTTCTCGACAACATATTATTTCCGAATCTTCTATAGGATTGGGTGTGGGTCCAATTAGCATCACTCTCAGTTCCAGTGAAGATGAAACCGGGCCGTCGAGCACAGGGAACAAGATCCTCTATCAGCATCCTTACCACCACGGAGGAAAGGACATGATTGTAAACCGAGATCCCAGGAAAAACTTTCTCCACAGAGAATCCAGAAATAAGTACCAACAAGATTAAGATTTTATGTACTTGAATCGGTGATTGTAATTATAAGTCGTAGTTGAGTATGATATTTTAGTATGTGTATGTTCCTTTCCCGTGATACGAGTAATCTAATCTATTTGTTTTGAAGCAGATTTACTCGGAAATTTTATATATTTCGACTTGAAACTATTTATTTATATTCAAGGCGAGATTTATTGTGCTATCTATGCAATGCGTTAATTAATTAGCTAATTAGGAGACAAGTTGTACATCTGATCCCTGATTTATTTATGGTCGAGCTCTCTCTCTCTCTCTCTCAAGTAAAGAGAAACTTGTGTTTACTGTCTCCTCTAGTTCAAATTGTACGAGACGCGTAACTATTTTGTGACGCTAATTCCAGTACGTACAAATATATACAAATATTTATGTTCCATGAGATGAATAAAATATATATACAGCTCAAAGTTGTTGAAAAGATATTATGCTTAAATAATTATTTTTTGTGAATTTAAGATTCAGAGGAAAGCGAAATGCAATATTTTAAATTTTCATCCACGTTATATAAATATGACATACATAGATTGTGAGATAATAAGTTTATAAAACTGAATCCCACGCAAAATGGCTTACTTCATACCTTGATTACATGATGCATTACAGTACACACTTCACTGAAGACCTAATCTCTTACAGATATTCCTGTCTAGTGAATTTTTACTGAAAACAAATTGGCACATTTCTCCAAATTTTTTACAGGTTTTTATTCGATTTTGTTTGCTTGCAAAATATTCTCAGAAGTAAATATGTACGTCTGCATTTAATCGGACGCCGTACAAGCGAGTAATTTCAAGACCTTCTGCCAGACGCGGAAAGTGGTAGAAGGGAAAGTCTGAGCATAAACGTGAACATAAATTCCGTTTTGGCACAACTTTCTCTTCTCAGTCTCCTCAGAGCGAGAGAGAGATTGGGTAGTTGAGACGTGCAATTTTAGTCTTGTGGAGAAATCGCGTCTCATTTTAGTCCATATTTTGGAGTATGAAATATTCTTGAGATTTTAGTGAAACTGACAAAAAAAATTAGTAGAAATTTTTGAAATTTTAGAGTGAAATTGAGAAAACTATTCAAAAATAGATCACCTGAAACAATTTTGTTTCACAAAATAATTTTTGATTGTTTAGACAAAAAATAGGTTCTCGGGATAGGTTTACGTACATTTGATACATTTCTGAGTACCTTGGTTTTGACACGTTTCAGCGTAAATCCTTTGATCTGAAATCTCAGGATTCGATTTTCCGTGTATGAAGTGAAAGTCCCGTTATTATGTCAGTCTCAATTTTGAATAGCGTGGCTTGCAAGTGAAAGTGCTATCGGACGGACGTTTGTGTCCAAAACGTGCTTCGGCTGATTGCTGATATTGTTGATACGTGTTCTTGACAGGATAATGAGTTACTTTAAGATACGATAGATAGATATCACATCACATCCGTTGACTGGTAGTTTCGTAAGGGCTTCGTGTAAGAAAAAGGGAAAATTTGATCACATGGAAAGTTGGGTTGATCTCTGATGCTGATCGTGATAACGGGGTTCAACCCGTGATTTTTTTGGTGTGATTCATGTCATTATGAGGTGCTTACATATCGTGAAGTAAAGAAAATCATATAGCAAGAAAGTGAATTCTTCTATCTCGTTTCTGGAACGAAATTAATTGCCAAAATTGTGTGCCAGTGATTTAATTTGACTGAGTGGCACAAATTGAAAGCAGTGACCTACCATACTTTCTCCAATAATACAGACTTTTATCATCACCAGCCAGCCACGCTATTTTTGCGTCCATTTAGAAATTAAGTCGAAATAATTGAAAATAAGGTCTCTTCATTTGCTGGAAAATTCTCTCTCATTTTAAACCCACTTTACTTGCCTGTCTCAAAACGATTCTGAATTCTTAGCAAGTACTGAATAACTCTATTACACAATTTATTCGATTATTCAATCCACCATGTCACAATTTTGTATCCTTGTTGCTCTTCTCTTGGTGTCGTCTACTCTGACTTTCGCCCAAGAAAAAACTCACCTTGAACTCGAACAAGATTTCTCTCAAGTTATTAAAAAGGACACCAGACTTGTTCCAAATTTTAATTTTTCACGATCAAAGCGTCGCGTGGACAAGGGTCGAAATCGTACCAGGACTTCTTCGTCGTCAGCCTCGATCTGTCCTGCAGGACATTTTTCCTGTTCAAATTCCAATATTTGCATCCCTCAAGCAGCAAATTGCAACGGCCGAATCGAATGTCCGGACGGCTCGGATGAAAAAGATTGTCGTAAGTTCGGGAAGGTTACCGGAATCAATTAAAATTAATTTTTAAATTAATTTTAACTAGTCGACCCTCACGTCAAGGGGATGTGGGACTCAGTTTTTGTCAAGCGGCCGGATGAGGATGCGGAAAAGTTGAATGGAACTTGTTGGTGTAAGTATACATAGATAATTAATTACTTAATTCTCATTAGTCCGTAGTGAAGATAACTTCTTATCTGACATGTCGTACTTACCTATTGTATGTATGTAAATACATACGAGGAATGTTTAGACTTTATATGCAAATCTCATGTTTTGTTGAGATGGGTCTTACTTGATAAGGAGTAACGACCAAAATTTGCACAGTGTCAAACTTTCCTGCTCAGAAGTCTACATTCTCCGCGTGTATGTATGTAAATAATAATAACGTGGCAGGAATGCGGAATTATAATTATCTGTCCAAAACTGAAACTTGTCCTAAACTTTGACATAAGTCGGTCATGAAATCTTGCTAATGGAGGACTGGATTTTTTTTGAAAATCGTAACGCCGATACGAATAAATTTTAGATTAAAATTAAATCGGAAATTTAGGAGATACGTGTCGCTTCGCTAAAGCTTTGAAAAAAAATAAATAAAAAGCAAAAAATAGAAATAAATAACATTAAATAAAACTGTCAGATATGCTGGACCCGATCGGCTCAGAATCCGAGTTCACGTTGGAGGGGAAAACTTTGCGAGAAAATAATGTAGAAAAACAAGAAAAGAGGCCGATTTCACTCTCGCCTATTTATTCTTCTGATCGTGCCATCGGACTTGTGTCGTCGGATCGAGATGAAATACATTCGGATCAAGATAACCGACAAGATAACCAGGACAGTTATCATCTTTCGGACGTTTGGGCGGAGAAAGGATGTCTCTGCACGGAGGAAAAGTTATTCTGTCAAAACTTGAGACTTGCCAATCTCAACTTCATTCCGGAGGACGTTGCATTTCTGTGAGTGCAAATTTGAGACAAAATTGAGATTGATGCAGTTTTTCTACTTTTGCATTTTATTGTCCCTCGTCGCTATAAAAAGAATGTTATTTCGGTCTAAAAATTTATAAAATTGGGCACAAAATTGAAGAGCTTAAAGTGAAATTTCAAGAATTTGCACTTCATATTTCAATCTTGAAAATGCAAAAAAAAAATAATAATTCAAATTTTCCTAATTAATTTTCCGTGTTTTTCAATACAGAGATTTAAGTGGAAGTCGAGTGGAAAACATGGATTTTAATTCTTCCCCATTTCCATCTCTGCACACTTTGTAAGTTTTTTAAGCTTCATCTCATTGTTATAATTATTGTTTGTCACATTAAATTAATTACATCTTTTCTTGTCCAAAAACGTTTGCATAACGGACAAATTATGAATACGAACTATGTATAATCCGCTTGCTCTTGCTTTCTGTGGCTTATAATGTGACAAAAATAGTCACAGTTTGTGGTAACAATCGTATTTATGAGATTTCCAAGAAACTTTACACGCTGTCGAAACAAACAGAACACTGGCAACAAAGCCGTATCCGCAGTTTTGCTTGTATATAACTGCCTTGTGCAAAGACGAAGGCGGATAATGAAAGAAGTTTCCTTGTAAAATGGGCCGTAGTGAAGGAACTAATTAATAAAGTTGTACAATTTTCCGATTGAGTTGAAGATCCCGTAGTATTTCTAGTTCTTGTGGGAGCAGTGGCCGCGGAAGCCGCGGGGACATTTATACTGTAGGATTGGGGATTGTGCTTATATAACATGGGGAGATGATGGGGACATTGTCCTTCTGTCCCCACGCTTCCGCGGCCACTGTGTAGGAGTTCTACACAACTTGCCACCAGTTAAGGTCTGGGTCATCCTTTACTAAATACTTACTAACGAAGCAGTGTACTGTGTACAAACTTAGCCCTACATTCAAGTTTCCGTTACCCACAATTCAAATACATAACACAAAGACCAAGAACAAACCTTACTTATCCAAGGACAAATTTACCCAGAAACACCTTAAAGTTATCCTCTCACATGTTGTCTTAATTGCCAATGGACGCCACACATTGTCCAAATAATGCAGTCGTAGCAGTGCTCGTAACGATTTCATTTTCATTATTACACGATCCTTCTTATATGCATTCGTCCGGAAGTTGTTCAAGGTTTCAGACCATCCAGATCCAGAGTGCAGGCCACGTCGCCACCCAATTTACAGGTTGGTGGAAGGATGGACGGAAGGAGTAAAAGTAATAAAATGAAATGAAGCCAAGAGGACCGGAATCCTTAAGAGGAGGGACGAAATGAGATTACGTGGTCATCATGATGACGCTGGTGCGAGGATAAAGATTATCTTGATGTGACTTGACTTAACTGACCCGAGGATAAGATGCGATTTGGGATGGATAATGAGAAAGTGAATCATCACACTTTTCGTGATGTGGCAACTCTTTCGTAAAATGGGCGATTTTTTTGGTAGGATTTCGGTGTGACGGTAAAAGTCATTGTTGCCATTATTGGGTGACAGTGACTAAAAAGTTGATGTGGGTGGTAGTGGGTGGTGGGTAATCCTTGGTTTTGTGGTAAAGGGGACAAAAATACTGTTATAAGAAATTTTAAGTTGTGAATTATGACAATATTTGACCCAATTCTGTGCCCTAGAAGAAGTACAAATTGCAAAATTATTACCAATTTTATCTCCCCCTTGGTGGAAACCTTCCCCTTCCTGTAATAATTTCATTTCTTTATAAAGAACTTTTTAGGTTCTGGTAGGTTTTCAAAGAAAAAAAAACTATTTCATAAATTCCAAGACTTCATTTTTATGTTGAATTTCAATTCTATACACTTTTCCTGATATCATTTTTCCTGAAAAAAGAAACTCGTACATAAATAAGTACAAGGACCTAGTACCGGGTTGAGAGGAAGATCAATATTTTATAAGATTAGGAAATGCATGTAATGCTTCACTTGACAAAATCCTCTCCAAAAACTCAAACTCACTGTATCTTTGTAACAATGTTTGGTATCTACTTGTGGAAGAGAAAGTTGAACAAGGTGGTTGGTATTTGCAGAGTAAAGAGTTGAAAGTAAATAATACACCACATGCCGACCAATGTACGAGACGTGAGTAAAGAACAAAAGAATATTTATCAATTTTCTGTATTACACGTGTCAAAGGATGAGCGGAATAAATCTCCGGCTTCTTTTTTCCACCAAGGACGACGACATCGCGACCACGAGAATGAAATAAATAATAGCATAAACTTTTAGGCCACTGAGGATGAGTTAACAAAGTTTTTTGTTTGGTTCGGAGTGGGGTCGTCCTTTCTTATCTTAATAAATTACGAAATTATTCAGATATTAAATCTAAATGTTTTTGATAAATATTACATTTTTCGAAAAGTATATATGAAGCAAAAGTATTTTTATTTAGTGTAGTTTTTGACGGAACCGGCGAGGAGATTGATTTTGATTTCAGAAAGTTTTGTAAATTCTTTAAATTGTTGTTTCTTTTATTAATCGCATGATTTTGTTTCGAAAAAAGTGAAAGTCGGGTAAAAGTATTCTTAAATACAAAAGTTGGATTTGACCTATAAAAGTATAGCTTATTATGCGCTAAACAACTACAATTTCTCCTATAAAATCGCAACCACCAAATTATTGTACAAACAAATATAAAAAACATTGCAAAAAATTCATGAATATGATAAGCCCTTTACGCGAATCGAACCCTTATCACTCGTCCACATCTTCCATTCCCGTGGAATTTATCACTTGTCGAAATGGAATATTTGTAGAAAGTCAATTACATTTTATTTCTTGGAAACTACATCTTTAACGGACCAAATGGAATGCTTTTCCGTATAATAAAGTATTTTCGAGACCGATAAGACCACTGATAACTGACGAAACGACGATTCATTTCCACACCGTAAATGATCACCATTATTTTATTGGGGAAGAGAAAATAAAAAAGTGTGACGGTTCCGAAGCGGTGTCTGAATTAGTACCCGTTTTGCTTTATGTCGGATTGGATGAAAGTATTTAAAGGAGTGCTTATCATTATTGCTTATCCTGTCGTCTTTGTCATTCCATTACTTTCTTTCGGCTAAGAAGAAGTCGTCATAAAAGTTTTTTTCTGGTCAGTCAGTACCAGTCGTACCAGTCGTTGTCGTCGTAAAGTTGAAGTGTTGGATGGCAAAAAGAAGGAACTTGTTTAATTTAACGAGGCGATAAGAGGACGCAATGAACGTTTTAGTGACAATTTTTACAAATACTTACAAGATTTATTTATCGTGGTGTCACCACTCGAATGGTTAAGTTTGGCTTTTAGTTTTTGACGATTTGGGTGATTGTAACGCCGAAACTTGTTTTTAGCAGAATTTAGTTTAGTATAAAACAAATTCTAGATGACATATCAAGGTATTTGAGTTAATTTTCAGTCACCATATATGGTCACCTAAAGGTTTTTGAAGATTTTAAAAGAAATACTTGAGCAAATACTTTAGCAAATTGTCATTTCTTATCAAAAATCTCACTTTCCCCCCGCACGACATTTGTGTGTTGGTGAAAGTCGCGTTTCTCCTACCTCCTCGCCATGAGAAGTAAGAAGCTTAGTCGGAATACGTAGAAGTACATAGTTGGATCCGAAGAGTTGTGAAGGTTTTAATGCCCCTGCTGGTTTTTTATTGCCCCGTTACCATTTGGTTAATGCGTCCTTCCCCATTCATTTCTGCCAGGCTTGCTTTCACTGCTTTCACTCGGCTCACTTGAAGTTTGGCTGTCTCCAGATTTGTAGAGAAATGATGCTTCTTCTTCGTTCCTCGGGTGAAAATGTTGATGATTTTTGTCCTACGAGAAGAAATGTATGACTTTGCTAATGCATAATGCCCTCGTACTTATCAGATGTAGGTACATACTGAAATGTATTGCGATGGTATTTAGGTATACAGTTTCCTTGTCGTCGTGTACCTAACTTTTGAAAAAAAAGTTGGGGCTAAAAATTATTCAGCCAAATACGCGTGGGAATTCGTGTTGGAAGCATTGTATCAATATTTAATATGGTGCTGGCATGATTTTTGAATCTGTGTGGCTTAATTTTATGGATAAAATTTGTATAAAATCGTACTAAATTTTGATACATGTAAATTCTCCTGATTAAATGAAACTTGTTGCAGGATCTTGTCGGGTTGTTATGTGGAAGAAATTGTTCCAGGAGCTTTGGGAAAGTTGAGAAAGTTGAGGGTGCTGTAAGTATATTGGTTTTATTATGAATTGGACACGTTTTTATGGAGTATTGATTAGTAGGGGAAATAAGTTTTCGAGATTTCGTAGAAAAAAAATATATTTCTTGAAGATTTGTATTTTTTATTTAGCTAAAAATACTTATTTGTGGATTAGATTTTGTACGAAATTCCCATCTGTTAGCTTAATGTTAGGTATGCAATTTTTTCAAAATTTGTAATTCGTCTTTGGACCATTACAATTTTTGTTAGAAAAAAAGATATTTTTATTACGAAATTTTTCAATAGTGAAGCGTACAAAATCAGTTTATAAATTCACATAAATTTTAATCAGAAGTGATGATGATTCAAAGCAATAAACGAGCCTTGATCTAATCTAATCTTCACACTATTGCCAAAACGGGACCCACTTTGAGACTACAACTGCTATTAGAATTATAAATGAGATCAATAAATAGATAATAAAATACTGCATGATGTGAATTTCCAGATACTTGACAAACAACAGGCTCCGATACTTGGCAAAGGGTCTTTTCACACCCTCGGTGAAAGTGGATTTGGACGTGGGAGGAAATTCGGATAACGTCACTGGTGAAAACAGCAATATTCGAAGACTGTTTTTGGACTATAATCAAATCTCGGTGATACAAGAGGGCTCTTTCCGTGGGCTTGAGGGACTGGTGGAATTGTGAGATTTCATAAATTATTTTCTGATTTTTTTTATGTTTTCAGAATTTAGAAATTTCTAATTAAACCTGATTAAATTTCATGAGTGGGTTGGAATGCTTGTTTTTACGTTCAATACGTACTAATATTTTTGTAAGAGCTAGAAAAATTTTGAAATATTTAAATTAATTTGAAAATATCTGTCTCAAATTAATATGAAATTTATAAAATGACCATTATCCCACAAAACTTGTATTTGCAACAAACCAAATCTACGATAAGTTTATTTACATAAACAAAAAATTCATATAATTTATAACGAACTGCGAAATCTTACAATTTCCAAAAAATTTACGATTTTTGTAAATATAGAAAAAAATTCAATTTTTGTATGTACTTTAATTTTCTATCTTTTCCCCAGAAACTTACGCCACAACCTGATCACTGGGCGAGAAATGAATGTTTTTCAGCCATTGAAAAAATTAAAGATTTTGTAAGTTGTTGACTTTTATGGATACGGATTACGTGAAAATACGAGGTGTAAGGTGAAACTGCAACATAAATTGCATTTCTTTTCATTTCTGTCGTCCAGACACTTGAACCACAATCGAATTGAATCCATCCGAATCAATTTGTTGAATGGGCTGGATAATTTGGAGACACTTTCCCTTCACAGCAATTCCATTACTCACGTGGAAATCGGAGCTTTCGATCGTTTGCAGAATTTGAAACAACTGTAAGTTTTCAGCGTCGATTTTAGAATTTGTTAAATTACTGGAATTTAGTAAGATTTGAGATCGGGTTTTCTACAGCCCCTCAGTTTGATTTTTCCCCGTATTTGATCTTAAATTACCATATGTAGTTGATTTCCCCCCACGTAATTTTTTTGGCCCCCTATGAAACTCATAGTGTATAGTATAGTATGTTTGAAAATAGGTTTAAAATGATTGAAAAATACTGAAATTATTGCACAAATTCATATAATTTCAAAAGAAATTTAAACAGCATTTTTTGTTCCTTACTTTCAGCTACCTCAACTGGAACAAGTTACGCGTTTTGGAAAGTCATGTCTTTTGCAATCTCCAAAATCTTGGCACACTGTGAGTTTGGTCTGATTTTTTAAAAAATGTCGTGAAAATGGTATGTACATACATACACAGCTCTAAAAACAAAATGCTTGGAGCTTAAATCGTAAAGAACATGTCACAAAAAGATGGACGAAAGTAAAAAATGTGTGACCTCAGGACGACGAGGAGAAAGTCATGACAGTAAACCCAGTCTGGTCGTCATCCAGCCAAACTTACGAGATTGCACAACAAAGTGGCATCAACGAAATGATTATTATTATCCGCGGACATACATATCACGTCTCCGTCTCATGTTTTTCTTGTTGGTTTAACGAACGACAAACGCAAATATTTCATAATCTTCCCCGGAAAATACAGAGAAAATTTATAATTTGATTACACACATTTTGCATACTACTTATTCGCAATTTCGCATATTTTGTATGTAAATATGAAATATAATCCCTTCGTTTTAAAGGGTCGTGTCATACGCAGAACGAAAAGAGTTGTAAATTAAGTCGTAAATTTAATCAAAACGCTTTTCCTTTAAGAAAATAAGAGCGAGATGACGGAAACATGACCGCGGAGATGCGATCGAATTTGGGCTTGAGGAGTGTGGAGTTTCGTAATTTAGTAAGTTTGGCCTAGTCGAGGGGCATGAAGCTGATCTTATCGCGGAGAAAGTAAGGAGTAGTCGTCGAGAACGTGAAGATTTCCAGGATGACGACGACATGTTTGGGACTGGTGGGCTGCACCGTTTTTATTTATGGTTATGTTACGACGTGATATTGTCACAAGCACGGGGAACAAACCACAACTCAAATAATGCACACACAGTGGCCGCGGAAGGGTGTGGGGATAGGGGGACAATGTCCCCACGGTTATTCGATGTCCCCATTATCTACCCATGTTATGCAAACACCTGCCTCCCCCGACCATATAATGTCCCCAGACGTCCCCACAGCTTCCGCGGCCACTGTGCACACGGACAAAGGAACATATCGAATTTTGGGACAGATTATTTAGACCTGGGAAACTTTCGTAATAATCAAAAGTTTGGTTCAAATTGCAAATTGAAGGATTTTTTTGTAATTCTTGAGGGAATGTGATGATGATAACAATATTGCATAATCGACAAGGAAGAGATTTGCGGATAATGAAGATCTGTAAGAATAAAGTGGTCTAGATTTTGGGACGTCGTGGTTAATATTTTTGTTATTCGGGTTGTGACATATTTTATCGGAATGTTAGTGTTTGGGTTAAACGAGAGGAAAAATGTGTCTTGTTGTCTGCGACGTGTCAATGTTGAAGTATTTATTGCACTGTTTTTGTTATCCTTTTGTATTTCTGATAGTAATCTTAATCGGGTGATTTATGTATGTATTTATATTTGTGCAACCAGGGTGGTGTGATTTCATGCTACATTTTAGGAGAGATCTATTATATAAAAATATTATACAATGAAAAACTCGCTGGAAAGGTCCAGAGTTTTTCAAGTTCAATATTTGAACAAGCAAATTTTACTAATTAACATAGAATTTTAATTTTTATATAAATTTGGCCATCAAATCTTCATAAGAGTTGAAACTTTACGTAACGTCATCTAAAATGCTAATTAATTTTACTAATTAGCATAAAATTTTTAATCTTTATACAAATTATTAAATCTTCATATGAGTTAAAACTTTACAAAACTTATGTAACGTCGTCTAAACAATACTAATTACTTATCGGCTTAATTTTTTGTGTATTTATTTTCTCAGGAATCTGAGAGGAAACGAGATTGCAGTGATTGAAGGAGAAGCTTTCTCCTGTCTGCACAGCCTCACATCTTTGTAAGTAAAGATTTCCTGATTGTGAGAAATTAATTAGATATGATGTAAGAGAAAATTAGAAGTAAAAGAGAAAGAAAAATTAATATTTGTCTACGGTCGTTGAACTCATCGGGTCAAATTTTCCTCGTTATCTTTGAACAATTAAGGCATTATTTGTCTTGTAATTTAAAGTTTTGATCATATAATTGAAATGGCTTGTAATCCAATTATCTGTTATGACTAGTGGATTTAAAATCTGGTAGAATCTGGCATAAACTAGATTTCTAGGGAAGTTTTGGCACCTGTTTTTGTCATGTCTTGTTGAACTATTATGTAGTAAACGAAGTAGTAAGTTCATGATCAAATGGAAATTTATCTCAGACAAAATTCTATACATGTCGAAAACAGCGTTCTTTTAGTTTTCGGAGAGTCGTACATAAACTAATTTTTGATAAAAATCAAAGAATTTTTTTTGGACAAAAAGAATCTGAATGGTTTAAATTCTTTTGATGTGTTGTTTCTGTATATTTTTTTTTTTTTAGAAATCTGGGTGAAAATCACTTCCGAGAAATTGCTAATGCTGGAGAAATATTTCAAAATTTGACATCCTTGGAATACATGTAAGAAAGATTATAAAGTTTAATTTAGTGAAATTGATTCGCCACCTGTTCGCCAATCCTTGTGGATTTGTGGTTGTGAAAATCAGAATCTGACAATTGAATAACGCAATGGTTTTCTCCAATCAACTTAATAATAGCTAAAATGCAAATAATCCTCTATTCCTACGTGGGTTGTTGACTGAATTTCTACGAATCCAGACTGTGGTGAAAGTTGATAAGCAAATGTCAAGATTATCCAATCGTGTTAAATTAGTTCCCGTCGAGGTTTTGTTTACCAACGTCATCAAAACCAAAATCTGAGAGCCGTTACTAAAGTAAAGTATGTAATACAAGTTTAGTACTTGTTCATTTTGGGACTGAATCCGGAATAAGTAGTGATTGTGTGGCCAGTAGAAAATCTCACTTTCACCACCACCACCACCATTATTTCTATCAAAATACCTATTTGTGTTATGCAGCTCGGTAATAAAAGTTGGGATTATTACGTATTTATTACCTACCTGAAAATCCTTCATAGTAATAATCCCACTAAAGTTTCAAGTAGATAGTTACGAAAGTTTAATTTAATTCGTCAAATTGCAATTTCCGTCCCATTTTATCAAGACCCAGACCAGACTGGTTTCAACAAGAATAAAAAGTTCAGAAAAAGCCAGGACCAGATCAAAGGCATTACATTCCCTAGCATGAAATAAAACATTACCTCCGACTTCATTCCGGTGCGCTCAGGTGGATCGTATGCAGATCAGGTTTCGGTTGCATATGTGTCTCGTATCGTACAAGTGAATTATTGAAGTGCGTTACTCGGAAATTATTTGGTGGGTGAGTGTGTGGGCTGAAATGACAGTGAGCCTTTGATGATCAAGGGAATTTGCAAAATTTGAGGAAATGAGGAATAGAAAATAAATGATCCAATATTTGCTGATGATTACTCAATAATTTGCTAATGGTACGGTATCTACATACGCCCCCAGATATTTCGATCTCTACTGGATGTGCTCCTGGGCGAATCATGTTCGCAATTGTGAACCAAAATCTGACGGGATTTCATCCATTACAAACCTTCTGGATAATATGGTGCTGCGAGTTTGGTGGGTGGTTTTTTATTATGCAAAAAATATGCAAATTTTTGCAATGTTTGTTTTTGCCATGTAGCGTTTGGATAATGGGGATTCTTTCCATCGTGGGAAATATTTTCGTCATCTTTTGCCGAATGATGATCCGTGAGCCGAATCGCGTCCACTCCTTTTATATTCGCAATCTGGCAGTGGCGGACTTGCTGATGGGCGTCTTTCTCTTAAGCATTGCTGCACATGATGTCGCTTATCGGGGGCAGTTTCTCCGATATCAGTTTCAATGGAGGCATTCCGCCATGTGCCAAATTTCAGGTGGGTGTACATTTTGCAATTTTTAATTTTCAACATGTAAATATTTATTTATGTCAAACTTTGCAAAATATCTGCAAAAATGGTCTTAATATCGGTAAAATTTGGCCTTTTTTGTGCCACTTGGTTCCAACACTTTGTCATAATTGCATACCTGTGAAATTAATTAGTCAGTTTCAATGATAAGCTATTTATCTTCTTATGCTTATCACTCACACTTCCGAAGTGGCAAACGGTGGTTTCTCCAACCTCTCTCCGGCCACCAGCTTTGGGAAGAAATCACTCGTGACCAAACCCTCATAAGGGACGCATCCTACACTAAACAGTTCCCAGAGGATGACCCCATACGCCCACATGTCCGACTTTTCCGTGAATGCTAAATCGCTCGGGGGGTCCGTGTTCATGCATTCGATGGCCATCCACCTCCAAGGAAGTTGGATCTGAGGGAGGAAAAAATCATTAAAGATGACAAACAATAATATTGTGTGGATTTTCACTAAATTAGTGATACAAATGGCTAAAAAAAATCACTTGTTCGCATAAAAAACACTACAAAATAGAGATTTTCCCCCCCTATAAACGTGCCAACCGCACAGATTTTGTCCAGTCCACACCACTTCACCTTCTTTATTATGAAGGGCGCATCGCATACGTAGCTTTTACCATGAGCAAATATTTTGTCTCTTTTTACAAGGACAACTTGAGACGAGTGAAAGTAAGTGGTCTAGTCTGCAGAGAGGAGGAACACACAACTGTTTATGGGACTGGGCTGCTTTTTATCGCATTTCGTGGTTTTCTGATACATTTGAACGACCTTTGTTCACAAAAAGTTTGTCATTTTGTGTCTCACTTTACAAAAGTCGATGGGTTTCTGGGTCTGTTTGAAGTGGTAGAGTTGCGTCGCGAAGGTAAAGTTCCCGATTTTGATGCGGTTTTGGTCATCCACGATGCAGTTTTTAGCCATGAGATTTCCGTGAATGACCTGAAAATGAAATGTAAGACTGGGTGGTCAGAAAGAGTGGAATTTTTTATAGATTTTTAGTAACTTGCCCCATTCGCGTTAATGAATTCCATCCCGTTTGCAATTTGGAAGGACCAATTGACCAAAGTTTTTGAGTTGAAGACGAATAAGCCTCCCTCTTCCTGCTGAGTGGAGGGGGGTTGTTGTCCCGGTGAGATGATGGAGGCCATAATATTTTCGTAAATATTTCTAACCATAAATATTTATGAAGAAAAAATAGGAAATTTAATATCATGAAAAAATATGTCAAACTTACTCCTGAGATGAAGAATTGTTGAGATTCTCTACGATGGCTTTGTTTTTCAGGCAAAATTTATCGTTTACAATTAAATCTTGAAATTCGGAGTAATTTTCTTTCAGGAAATCTTCCAACGTTCCTCTTTCACAATATTCGAGGATGAGAGTCATTTTTCCTGGATTTTGAAATAGCTTTATGAATCTTTTTCCAAAATTGTGCATTTTTTGTATCGAAATAATTATAAACTTTCATTTCATCACCTTTGTGAACGTTTTCCGTACAAAATCCCAATAACTTGATGACATTGTTATGATTGATAAACATGGTGAGAATCTTGGTCTCGAGCAGCATCCTCCTTACCGCCTCGACGTCTACATTCTGCCGAAATATCTTAATTGCAACGGTGACCCTTTGTAACATGGCGTCTGGTGAAGTGTGGCGTGGCCGACCGAAGGAACCACTCTCACTGGAAGTCCACTCTTTTGTCAGAGTCCCCTTTTTTACGAAGAAATCGTGCTCCATTTTTAACAAAGTCTCGCCTATTTAAAAAAGAAACTTGAATTGTTTACTGTGATTTTTATAAAATTATGAGATTTTGTTCTCCTACCAATTTGAAACTGATCGGACGATACGTGGTTCTCTTGTGGGAATTCGATCTGGTGGAGGAGATCATCGACGCCTTGGACCCTTTCGTAAATTTCGGATTCTCGCCGCCCCCTCAAAGTTGTTCCATATCCGAACGGGACCAGGTTTGGGCTTGGAGAATGCATATAACGTGGAATCGTGGTCGTATTTAAATTACTTTGAGAGTGCTGAGTTTGTTGTGGCGTCATCATGAAGTTGGACGATTTTCCATTGTTGTAATGACGTGGTGCGGATCCGCGAAAGGAGCTGGTTAGGAAATTAAGAAATTTAGGGACAAAATTTTAGAAATTGCATGATTTTTTTGTCACAATTTCAATCTGGAAAAATCCTCTAAGCCTTCCCCAACTCAAAAGTTATTTTTCCTCAAGCCCCTAGAATTTGTTAATGTACCCGGAAATTTTTGAAAATTTTCGAGGAATTTTTGAAAGTTTCTGGAAACTTTCAAATGCCTTCCCCCAAAAGACACTTTCCTCCGGGCTTCTCCCAAACTTACAATTTAGTTCGGAAATTCCGAACGCTTTTGTCAGACTGCACAATTTTTCAATATTTTTCTCACCTTGTTCTTGACAGAACGCTGGAATTTTTCCTCCCCTGATGTTCCCTCCTCTGTCGAATAATGTCCATGATGAATTTGTATATGAAGAGGAGTGAGACTGGTTTGTAAAGGAGGAAAACAGGGTAGGCGACAATCTGGGCGAAAAAGAGGGACTTGAAGGGAGAAATTTTTGCCAAGTAGGTTGACAAGGGGAGATACTTGGCGAGAAAGATAATCTCTAGGATTAACAGGGCTAGCCACGCCAGGACCCAGGCGATCGTGTAGAGTTGACATTTTTGGAGATTTTTCTATAATTTGTAGAGAAAATTATCAATTTTAAAAAATTGGAATTTTACCTTATATTTTATCTACTTGTTTCGTCCCGAGTAAGAGAATTAGTGCAAGAATGAGATTAATTGGGCCGGCCATGGTTAAGAATGCGATCAAAAGTGCAGGCACTTCCCGACAATGGATAATTTCGATCGTGTGGATGGCGACGAAACCGGCAATGAATATCTGTATACAAATTTAAGTTTTATGAAAAACTTGAAATTATGTAATGTTTTTTTTAAGAAATACCAAATCTGCAATTCCCACAATGCAAGATGCCGTCCTGCTTGAAACGATCATTTTGATCTCGAGTCGGTTATTCCTTAAGAATTCCATTACACGGAATGTAACGTATTTAATCTATTGATTTATTTAACTTTGTGGATAAACCAGGTTCAATTTTATACAATAACGATACTTAAATTGAATAAGTTTCTTCATTCTTAAATGAATTGCTCCATTATAATTTTAAAATATATTTTTTATGACGCAACAACTCCAACTAGACGTATTTTTAATAAGGTGGAAATCCAGAAATAGCGAAATATTCAGGATTCCAGTTAAGGAAATTCTGTCAAAATTCACTCCCTAACTTATTACCAAGTATATAGTGGATTACTATACATAGTTTTCATATGCAAATTCAGTTAAATGCTCTCTTATATTGCGGTTAGTCATTATAATGATACAATAATAATGATACAATGATACAATAGTTAAAGCGACAATAATTAAATGCTCGTATCATTTAACACTCTGTCAACACCAAGTTAAATTACCAAGTTGACCTACCATCACCACCACCACTGCACGAGACTAATGTGTCAAACCAATAAATAAATATGTAAGACGAGCTATCGATTCACTCTCCGTTTTACATATGCCCCGTTACAGGAAGTCGTTTTGGTTTTGTCTTTTTCGTCTGCGTCAAAAAAATTTGGGCAAACTGCGTTTCGTTTCCGGACCTTTTACTACATTCTTGATAACATGCACGGCTCTTCTCTAATCACTCTCTAATCCTTCCCGATAACGAAATTGACAACTCTTATTTTCACGAGATAATATAGAAATGCATGATTTTTTTGTCTTTATGCGTACTTAGGCATGTTGTCCACCCTTTCATCCGAGGCTTCGGTTCTTATTCTGTTTCTCATCACGTTGGATCGCTATTTGTAAGTGCAGTAATTTGTATACGCGAATTATTACATTGGTCTTGGTTATTAGTGGAAGATATCTTTTGGTTTTTGTCAAAGGTCAATTGTTCGACCCTTTGCGGAGAAGAATAGCTCGATGAATGTCGCCTACAGTATTTGTGGAAGTCTTTGGTTATGCAGCTTTATCTTGGCTGCGACTCCGCTACTTGGTAAATATATAAATGTTTATAGATAGTTCTTGATAAGGTTTATGAAAAATAATCCTAAATTTTGTTCTCTTTAGGGCCATTTTCATCCTATTTTGATGGGTTTTATGCCTCGAATGGTCTCTGCCTACCGGTATTAATATTATTATTAATAATATTATTCTAATACCTATTACATTACCTAATAAATATATTTATATCTTAAATATCTTATGTCATTCCAATAAAGCTGCACATCCACAATCCGTACGATTCAGGTAGACAAAATTAATATTGTAAATAACATGCAATTGTTGAAGATGTAATCTAATTTTGTCTCATTTTTTCCAAAGGCTGGGAGTACTCCTTCTTTCTCTTTGTCCTAATCAATTCTTGTGAGTGATATATCGTGCATAATTATATGTAAATAAAATTATGCATAACTTGGTTTGCATTATAGGTGCGTTTATCTTTATGTGTTTTGCATACATCAAAATGTTTGAGGTAAGTTGAGATTGAATATTGCTCATAATATTATTGATCAGACAAGTAAATACAAATAGATGAAAAATAGATACGAATTCAGCAAATGATTTATTTGACTTATAATCACAAAAAATACGATACGAATTTATAATGAATTTTATTTTCTAGGTAATTCGGGACTCGACTTTGACGACGAGAAGTACTCAACAGAAACAGGATAGCATATTGGCTAAGCGTTTCGGTACTATTTTCCTGATCAATACCTTTAATTTGGTAGTTAATTAATCTAAATCCTAATTAGCTCTCGTCGTCGTGACTGATTTCCTTTGCTGGGCACCCATCGTCGTGGCGAAAGTAGTCGGAATGTCAGGTATGAAAGAATCGATTTCATTGATTTTGATTTCAAAGCAGACTTTGAAGGAAACTGATAACTTGAGACGACAACAAGATTCACATGTGGGGGGCGAGATGAGAATAATAAATGCTAGAAAAGATAAACGGCTTTGTAATAGAAATTGAGACTTGTTGTGAGAGAAAGATAAAAGGATGATGGAAAATATGGACAATTGTGTGCTATACGATTCCAAATCCAATTCTCTATTGAGACCAGTTTACATTCAATACGTCGCTCACCAGGGTATTCCGACCCAGGGTTTTATTGGGTTGGGTTTTTTGGGTTTTAATGGGTTTTAATGGGTTGTTAATGAATAAAACCCAACTAGTTTTACCATGTTAAATGGGTTTTATTTGGGTTTTAATGGGTTTTATTAGGGTTTTAATGGGTTTTAACTGTGTTTTAGCTTAAAACTATATTCTAAAAGCTGAAAACAGCTGTTATACATTAGACGAAGTTGTTTGATGAGAGCTAAGTAGTTTCTTTGATTAATACTGTACGTTTTGAAAACCAGGAATAAATCAGGGACATCCCTTACCATTACAGGTTTCAAGTGACAAAAAATACACAAAATTAATTTCGGAACGAGGTATGTTTAACTGATCATACATAATTTAATACATTCTGCCATCATAATTAATACTTTTTTTCCCGAATACTTCCTCTCATCTCAGCGAATAAATTAAACAAAATACTATAGTATGTTTTTAATTTGTAAAGTTTTTTAAAATGTTTCAAAGCGATCTTAATTATCACCTCTTGAAAAATCGAGTACTTATGGACAACGAAGTACTTTATTATGAGCAAAAGAGTATATCTGTAAAAAAAACACTTATTATATTCTCGATCGTAATACATACGTGCTTTGTGCTTTCGTTGTTCATAAGTACTCGATTTTTTCCAGAATTTATAATACACGTTAAGATCGCATTGAAACGTTAAATTTTAAAAACCTTTAAACAACTTGCATTTCATTATGATGAGAGGAAGTATTCGAGAAAAAGGTAATATATGTAATTATCATAGGGCGGATATGTATGTACTTATATTCCTCAAAATATGTATGTAATATGTACTTAAAAAACGCGAAAATATGCACGTAAAACATATTTTTCAACCGAAATTTTCTACTATATTTACATTTAATTTTCGAAAAGTTTCAAATTTGTAACACTCTTATTAATGAATTATTATGTATAGTATTTTAATATTCATGTAATGACCCATAAAACGACATTAGCCGTATTTAGAGATTTTCAGGGGTAATTTTATGACTTGAAAAATGGGGCAAAATGGATTTGCTAGTCGTTCACACGAATTAAACTCCGTTATCATGAAAGTACAATTTTTATCCAACTCTAACGTCTGAAAGAAGAAAAATATTTTTTCCTCAGGAAATCCTGAAATATGCATTAAAATATTGATATTTAGAAAAGGGCTCGAAATATGTACGAAAATATGTGTATTTACGAAATAACCTCAAAATATGTATGAAAATATGTATATGTACGAAAACTCTAAAATATGGAAAATATGGAAAACCATGTCTGAATTTTTGAAATCATGCTTCGATGGGATGTGAGTATACGAAGTTTTAGTAAGATCTGATTGGGAATGAAAAAGTTAGAAATACATACATATCCGCCCTCTGGTAATTATGGTCTCATAAAGTATTAAACTATGATCAGTTAAATAGGACCCTTTCGAAACGGATACAAATTCTAACATGGACAAGGAGGATTTGCATATTAACTGAAATTGGATTGCAATAGTTGTGAAAATTGTTGTTCAATGTATTACTTATGTAAAACCTAATAAAACCCAATAAAACCCATAAAACCCATTAAAACCCAAAAAACCCATTAAAACCCATTAAAACCCCTGGGTCGTTACTTTTTGAATAAAACCCTGGGTTTTTCCGAACCCTGTCGCTCACCATCCTTTGTAAAGTTTCCACATTTACGAACAATAGATACTTTGTTTAGCAAAATATATAAACAATTCGCAAAAGTTTAAAACAAAATTATGGTAGTTTGTTTTTGAGAAAATGCTCAAAAATAAAATAAATGGATTTTGTTTTCGTCTGTCGTGAGCATCCTAGTTTCGATAGCTCGTTTTGAACTGGGACTTGTTATCATTTCATATTTAATACGAACGACGATAAGATACAAAAGTATGCTTTATGTAATGAAGAAACAAATGATTTATCTTTAAACCGATTTGATAAGCCTGACTAGATTAAGTTGCCTACTCTTTTCAATTTTAGCATAGCAAATGCTTTATAATATTTATTTTGCTTATCTGCAAAATAGCCATGTAGGTCAATTTAGTTGCAAAAACCTTGAAAAAGGCTGAATGGTGATCTCAGACGCCTAGCAGAATCAAGTACAGGTTTTCGCAACTCGGGTTTTTTTCCTCTACTTCGGGTGTATTTAAATTTTATGAATGTGTGTTTGTTTAGGGATTTGATTATTTAGATGAAATGCAAAATATTGGAATAATTTTTTAAAAAATATATTTTTGGCGACAAAAAATGCAACCTATATGATTCGCAAAATATGTACGTGGGTGTTTTATTATTAATTTTCAAAAGGTATGTTCCGCACTGTTTCTGACCAAACTTTTGATGAAATAACAAACTTCAAATACTTTTAGGATGCTGTGATTTTTTTCAGTTCTGTAGGTTAACATTAACACTAGCAATAACTCATTAAAATTTACCTCGAAAATATGCCAAAATTTACGACTTGATTTCATTATCATCCGAAAACCGTTTTCCCCTGATGTTTTTCTTTAAGTTTCGAAACGAATAATAATCACTAAGGGACAAGTCTGGACTGCACGGGGCGTGGTTAGTGCAGGTAAAGCGATTTTCGTCTGCACTAACCCTCGCAAAAAGCCAGGTATTAGGTGGCGCGTTGTCGTCTAAAAAAAGGCCAACTCTTTATTTTGACCCCACGTTTCTTTTCAACCGGAGGACGCAGCTCCTTCGGGGTTCCTGCATACACGGCCCCATTTATTGCAGTATTACCAGCAATAAATTTTATAAGGAGGGGACCTTTGGTATCCTTGAAAATGGTCATCATCAATTTTTTTGTCAGATTTTTGCACTTTTCAATTCACGGGCGGTGGCAACCCCTCGTGCTTCCAATGAGGGAATTATTATTTGGTCACCGGGTCATAATAGTAAACCCAAGTACCATATGCAGCTAATAAAATATTGAGCAGGTTCCAGTTTTCATTTAATAGGTTAAAATTTGCATTGCAAAAGTCGACTCGATCCTGTTTGTGAGATGCCGAAAGCAATTTGGGTACCCAACGGACGGAAACCATTTTCATACCTAAGTCTTCAGTTAACATGGAACAAATTGCTGGTTTTGGAACACCCATCTCATCTGCTATATAGGACAGTTTCAATCGCGGATCTCTCATTATTGGTTCCTCTAGTTTCCGGAGCCTTTCTGTGGAAGAAGCGGATTTTGAGCGTCCTTGCGACTTTTTGCCCGAGACCTCGTTTCGCCATCATTAAAAATTATTGACCCAATTGAATTTGTGTTTTGTGTTGGGCAGTTTTCATTGTACATTTTAAGCATTCAACCATAAATCTGCGACACGTATTGCCCATCCAGCATTAAAAATTAAATCACACTACGATATTTAATTTGCAAATCTAGCATTTTTTCCGTCGAGGTAAAGTTTGCCGATTTATTGCTAGTGTTTATGTTAACCCACAGAGTTGAAAAAAATCACAGCCTCCTAAATGTATTTGAAGTTTGTTATTTCATCACAATTTTGGTCAGAAACAGTGCGGAACATACCTTTTGAAAATTAATAATAAAACACCTACGTATACATGCAAAACTTTTGTATCATTCAGGAGTCTCCATTCCATCCGAACTGAACGCCTGGCTCGCCGTATTTGCACTTCCTGTAAATTCATCCCTAAACCCGATAATTTACACGATAACGACAAAGCTATTTCAACAACAGGTATTTGTTTAATTCCAAATTTTGTAAAAAAATATTCATTCTATTTATAGAAAAGTTTGCCTTGGTAGAAATTAGTATTTAATTGTGTATCAATAATTGTAACAAGTTGAGGGTGCATCTTGTCACCTTGCGCAGATGGGAAAGTTGACCAGGAGCTTTCACTCCAGACTTATGCGGAGGTCACCAGATGCAGATCAGTCTTCATCAATTTTTCGATATCGGACGACACGGGTACATTTTTATATTTATTTTCTCGGAATTATTAAAAATTTCCAAAAATTTCCATATTTTCCAGTCTGGCACCGGAAACACGTCGTTGCACTCTATCCGTCAAAATATAACGGCCGGATCGCGACAAAATAAGAATAATTTTAACCCTAATTTACAAGCCATCCCGATGAAAAATATTGTCACACTGCCCGACCCGATTTTTAACCAGTGTGAAAATCGGACCCATTTTCACCCCAAAAAATCAAAGAGTAGAAATAACAAGTGTGATGATGAACATTCCCATTTTACGTCGGCATGTTCAACATCGTTTGGAAATCTGTGTGATTTAGGGGGGATTGAGGATCTGGGTGGAAATAATAAGTCTGTCGTGGTCGTTATAAGGAACGAGGGGGAGAGCGAGATTCTCTAATTTAATTGTGGTGGTGGTAATTAATTTAATTGTGTAAATTAACATGTAAATTAGTACAGCTATATAAATGTGTAAATTAAATGCTTATTGTGACCATATTATTGTGTAAAGTAAAAAATGAATGGCATGATTTTATTCGTCGGCTCTTCTTATCTTTTCGTTCATTTATAACGCCTTCATCCTAAAATTTCATAACTTGGCATCGAACTTAATGTATTTTTCAGCATAATTTTGAAATCATTCAAAATCATTTATAAAATATTTCAACCTTCATATATTTGCTTGTCAAAGGGTCGTGTCGTATAAAATCTCTAAGGAGATTGATGACTATAATTTCACGAATTTTCAAAATGACTAACAAAAATTTTATCATAATAATCTTTATAAAATTATTTATCCATTATAAAAATTATTTTAGCATATAAAATGAGCAACGTTCCCATATCTTTATATGGACTAAATTACATGTGATGATTAATCGGGACAAAATTATCCAAATTCCAACCGGAAATGCCAGGACGATGCGGACGTTGTGGAAAATACGTTGGAGCGGCTGAGGAGCGTCGCGCCCTTGGGAAAAGTTGGCATGTCGAGTGCTACACGTGCGGTGGGTGGAAACTTTCTTAAATTTTTGAGAAATTTACAAAAACAATTTACATAAATGTATAGCCATCTGTCACCGCGGCTTGGACAGCATGACGATCGCAGAACATGGCGAATTGAAGGACATATTTTGCAAGGCTTGTTACCGCTTGTACATCGGGCCAGACGGGTACGGTTATCCGCCCAACGGACCCGCCCTCATCGCGTACGACATGGAACGACAAGGCCCACCGCCGGGTTCGGGAGGAAAGTGGAAAACACCGCCGACCCGACTGGGGAAAACGTTTCTGCGGAAAAAGACCCTCCCGAATAAGGGGTCGGCAGTATCGGTTCGTTCTGCGGCTCATTCTGCGACAAGGTACATATCATTTTCTGTTTTCTCGACAACGGTTTTGAGACAAATTCCAAATTACTGAATTTGAAGTGATAATTTATATATTTTTTTAGTAAGACGAGCTCCCATTTTCCGATTAGGAGAGACTCTCCACGACCACCGATGGATATTACTTCCGGCAACAGTATGATCCCCTTACCACCCCCGCTTCCACCTCCTCCTCCTCCATTCATGGGAAAAAGCCGCAGTCAAAATTCTAATTTTTCAAAAATTTCTCAAAATTCTAATGTCTCAAAGAGTTCTGGAAAAACTTCTGGAAATCCGCCCCCACCACCACCTCCGCCACCACCACTCCCTCCATGGTCACCAAGTCCGTTCGTTAACAAATCTTCCCCCACTTCTTCACATCGTGGTGGCACTTCTTCCCCAAAAATACCAAAACCGCCCCCTCTTCCTCCACCCCCACCACCACCAAAAAGTGGGAAACTTTCCCAGGTAAAAATACCGTCAGAAGCACCATCTCTGAAAAAATCGCAAAGTGGTCATTACCAGAATTTGGTTGGGGAAAGTAGTACTAGTCGGAGGTCGAGATCGTCCTCGCCCCCCGTGAAATCGCAACAGTTCCAGTACCACCAACAGCCCGGCCGAGATCCGAACTGTCCTCCCCTATTTTTCTGTGGGGGCAAGTGCATCGGGACGCCGAGCGTGCCAAGATATCCGCCAAATCCCTCGATGGATAAGAGGATTCCACTCGGACCTAGTTTTGGAGCGGTGAGAGGTGTTCCGAAAGGAATTGGGGAGCGATGCAGGAGATGTGGTAAGTTTTTGCGAATTTGCGAATTTTTGTGCAAATTATATGTATCTATTGGGAATAGGTCGCCCCGTGTTCCAAGCCGAACTCCAACTCGGTTATCATGGCGCTTATCATACTGAATGTTTCAAGTGCTGTTCTTGCGGGAAGAAGTTGGACTCCACGACGGTAGCGGAGCATCAGGGGGAAATATTTTGTAAAGGTGTGTATTTATTTAAAAAATGTAACGATTTTGAGTTCAAATTCGCATAATTAACTTTATTTTTGAATAGGATGCTACCGAAGAAATTTTGCAACATCCGGTGTCGGATTTGGAATTGGAGCTGGGGCGTTGCAGACACCGTAGAAAAATTTGTGCAAATTGGTTAAAATTTTTAAAATTATTGGAATATTTTACAACCAGATAATGAAATATAGAAAATCGTGCTATATCAAAGTCGATTGCAAAAAATATGAAAATTCTTATTTATTCTTGCTTAAATATTAGATTAGAAAGATGAACCTCTTTTCAACTATTTACAAAAATTCGCAAAAATTTGCACAATTCCGCAATTTTTTTTTGTTACATGTATGCACGCACTGAAATTTACCTCAGTCAAAATTGCAACGTTATTCACTCAACCATAACAAACAATATCAGATAAGAAGCAAAAAAACGCATGTCTACAAGCGTCCTATAACGAGAAGTTTGAATCGAGTCGATCGCTTAACGCAGCATTCTTTCGAAAGTGTGCACAACAAGTTGCAAAGAAGCTTTGCCCCTCGTACAACAGCCGTGGTGGAAATAACGAAGAAAACCATTTTGTCCCATGTAAACCTTGCCACTTTTTTTGCACTGCTTTTTGCACGTCTATTCGCTACATGGTTGTGTCATGTTGTATATATGTAAGCTTTATAGCAAGTAGTGGGTGGTGGTGGTGGTAGTAATACAATGCAAATTGCAATTTGTAACACGTCTCATTTAATGAGTAGGATGTACGTGTACGCAAAACGGTATAAAAACGAGTTTCCGATGCTACATACATTTTTTGTTACAAAATGCATGCAAAGTTCTACCATTTTTCTACCCGTGATGATGACTGAACGTTCCAAAATGGCAGTCTAAGAGGTAAAATATGGCATGGAATCAGATAAGGTTTATGATGAGTGACCAGTCTCATGCATGTATTTAATTAGCCTGGGAAACAAATTTCAACAAGACAACACATCCGTAGTTGATTGGACATGGACAATTACCGAGCTGAGTAATTTTTTGCAAAATTACAACTAATCTGTGCATGCATTTCTACATAAACCAAATATGAATAATACAATAATAATACTTACACGTTCTGATAAAATGTGACTAAAATTTGCCAAATTTTGTACCCCACAACCTCACTGCTGATTTTTAATTGAAAACCAACCACATAAAATATAAAACATGCAGTGCCGACTTGATTTAGCCCGAGTCAGGGACAGATACTGCTCCTAAATTTGTGTCATGTGACCAAACTATGATTACCAATCCCACGTGTTGGCGAAGGTCGAATATATTTTAAATATTCTCCATTATTCCAGTTATTTGGCACCACTTGGTCGATTTTTCTCATTATCAAACTTAATTCCTCATCATATCTGCCAAATTTAAAGTCTGGGGAGATTTATCACGAAACTAACAGACGGAAGGACATGACGCTTGCATATGTAAGCCCTGACTCGGGCTAAAAATTTGGGAATTTTCTAACCACATGATAACACAAAACGTGCTTTTGCTCGTGACAGAATTTTGCTCTGGAGAATTTTCGATAATCGATTCAATCCAATTATTTCCAATTAAATCTGGCAGAGGAAAAAAATTTGAAATTTTTGGAATTTTCCTAAACGAAATGCACATGAAACTGGAAATAATTCCAGCAACTTTTTGTACCATATGTAACATGGAAGTAGTGAGTCTTGAAAATCATGAAAATTTGCATGTCATCCCAACTTTGTTTCTTCAGCGTTTACTGGAGAATTACAAAGCCTAGAATTCCCAGCATTTGATTGACTTTTGATACGAGTGATATTAAACTATTTCGCATTAGATGTTATTATTTACCTGTTAATTTAATACCTACCAAAGTCCATCGACTATGTCCATATGTGTGCCCAGTATTTAAGTAGTAGTATTTCATTTTTGTGGAAAAACCAGTTTTCCTTATGATATTGTTTGTGGTGTGGTTGGGTTCTTCATATTTGGAACTATTTAATAAGAATCCAATAAGAATGAGAGCTCTTTTCATATGACGGCTTTTATTAGATCAGATCAGGTGAAGTGAATCCTTGTGGTTTTTCAATTAAAAATTCAACAGTGAGGTTGTGGGGTACAAAATTAGGCAAATTTTGTACACATTTTACCAGAATTTGCATTATTTTTGCATATACAAATTTTCTGGTATGGGTAAGCCACTCATGCACTCACGCGCTTCTGTAACTGGAGCAGTACTTTTAACTGTAATTTGTCTCCAATTTGGTGGCTGTATAGGTAAGATTTTTTTATTAATTATGAGAAATTAATTATAATTTTTGTATATTAAAATTTGCATTTGCATTTTACTGGCCAGCTCAGCTCTGTAATTTGAACGATGTCCAATCCACTGCGGGGTCTTGCACGCCGATTAAATCTTGTCGATACGCGATCGGACAGGTAAGTAAATATGATAATTTATGTAGTTGGAAAATTAATTATTAAGAGTAATTATTTGTTTTAGTAACAATTTAATTAATTAATAAACAGCTTTACGCTGGTGCAACGGTTAAGCGATGTCCTTCCGGAGGTGATCTAATCTGCTGTCCGACAGAGTTGACCCTGTCGCAGAAAAGTAAACAGAAAATTAATAAATGAGTGATTACAGAAGTTGATAACCACTTATCTTTCTTTCTTGTAGAATGTGATGAATACAAGGAAATCTTAAAAAGTCCCAAAACCTTTGGCCAGTCGAGGTTCGAACAAGCCCACTGCGCGTTTCAGGGGTCCCCCGCATTCATCGTGGGGGGCAGAGATGCACACGAGTTTGAGTTTCCACATGCTGTAAATAATTATGAAATCAGATTTTTTTGAAATTTTGTCCATTTTTCAATTTTTGAAATTATTTCATTTCAGGTCGGTCTTGGGTATGGAAGTAGTAGCGAAAACTTGCAATTCTTATGCGGAGCTACGCTAATAAGTGACTCGTACCTCTTAACTGCGGCGCATTGTCTCAACAATCAGAAACAGTATACGAATATATTATAATTAGTTAATTACAATTAACTAATTCCACGAAATTAATTATAGTGGATCCCCCCGTTGGGCAGTTATCGGCGACGTGACGCTGAAACAATCGACTTCCGTTTATCGGAAGAAAGTTCGTATTACGGATTGGGTTTTACATCCAAATTACGCACCACCAAAAATTTATGACGATATCGCGGTGAGTTTCTTGTAGGATAGGGGCTTATCAAGAGGATAACTTTTAATATAAAGGAAAAATTATACAGTTGTTAAAACTTGGCGAGAAAGTGGAACTTAGTCGTTACCTTCTCCCAGCATGTCTAGGCGATCCTATAATTACGCCAAAAAATGATGGAAATGTGCAAGCCATTGGGTGGGGTCAGACCGGAGTGGGGGGTAAGGTTATCAAAAAATTCTGTTGATAAGTACGTTACAGTACCTTAATGATAATATTAAATTTCTGTTGAATTAGAGAGTCAAGCTGAAAATTTACAAGCTGTCAATCTCTCCGTGATTGCTACAAAGAGATGTAACCAAGATTTTGCGGAGGATTCTAATAAGCCCTTCAGGTAAAAAGTACGATAAGATAAGTTTTTATGAAAACAAATATCTTATTTTTTTGGTTCACAGATATCCCGAAGGTTTCAGAAAGTCTCAATTTTGTGCTGGTGATACGTCCCAGCCTGACGGGACAGTGGGGAAGGATACATGTAATTAATTAATTACTGCTCATCATTACCTTATCATGAATGATAATGACAAATTTATCCTCAGGCAATGGAGACAGTGGGGGCGGGGTGGTTGTAAACCCTGAAGTTCACTGTCTCTTTCATGTCGTGGGGATAACCTCGCTGGGGTCAAAATATTGTGGTTATGGAGAGCCTGCCGTGTATACAAAGGTCGCCGCGTATGTGGACTGGATTGAGCGAACGATTTGGTGATAGTAGTGTGCAAAAAAATTGTTCCAAATTTTCTAATGCAAAAATTGTAAAAGATGTGAAATGAAAAGAGAGATGATGCAAAAAATGTATAAACTGGTAGATCAAAACTCCAAAGATTTTTGTTATTAAAATCATCGTACTACATTATAATAGATGTAAAATGCAATACAATTTATGTATTAGTTAATAACAAAAGTTACGTAATTTTATAAAATTTAATTTTAAACTGAAAATTTATGAAAACTAATAAAAAAGAGACTGAATAACTAACTAACTGTGAATAAAGGGAATTTTTAACTTAAAAAATTATCAAGAATTAAAAACTGGTATATTTAGACTTGATTGTGCAGGTGGCTTTGGCTTATCAGGTGGCTTATCAAGTCAAGGGACGCGTCAGTAAGAAAAGAGAAAAAAACTGTCAAGGCTTGGCGTCGATTTGAGTGATCGAGTCAAAAGTGCCGACTGGACTTTGTCGGGTAGTTGCACTTGTGTTGGTTTTGCTTTTGCCGTCTTCAGTTGGTGGTTGGCTTCGCATCGGGACATTGCTCCAGCAAACAAGCAAGAAGAAAAATAGTTACTTTGAACTTTGTCAAAACTGGACGCACAGCCGACCGGAGAAATTAATTAATTGTCAGCCAAGTGGTAAAATATAATACAAAATTTGGTTTTTTCGAATTTCTTGAATTTTTATTTGAAAGTTTGGAAAATATAATTTGTTTTTTTTTATCAGGTCAAGTTTCGTACAAGTCGGCAAGATGAGGATGAAACCAGTTTTGCCTCCTCCCATGAAACCAAAAGTTTCACCCCCTCGTCTTCCAGTGAAACTAGAACGTCCTTCTCCCCCAGTGGAAGCAGAATGTCCTTCTCTGGTGGAAGTGGAACGTTCTTCCGAGAAATCAGAATCAGAACGTCTTCTCTCGGAGTCTAGTTGTTCTCCTGTGGACTTGGAAGGTCAACGCTCAAATTCGTCTCCCATGGAATCTGAACATTCTCCTCTTTCGGAGACGGAATTTTCTCCTACGGAATCAGGACGTCCGCTTTTCTCACAGCCAGACCGTTCCCCCGTAGTGTCCGAGTTACGATCTCTTCTCTCGAAGATAGAAGGTTTTTCTGTGAAACGTTCTCCTCCCCCTCTGGAACCAGAACGCTCTCCTCCTGTTGTGGAACGTTCTCCTACTGCTGTAGAACGTTCTCCATCCCCTTTGGAACGTTCTCCGCCTGCTGTCGAACGTTCTCCACCAGCCTTCGAACATTCTCCTCCTGCTGTCGAACGTTCTCCTCCAGCCTTCGAACGTTCTCCTCCTGCTGTCGAACGTTCTCCTCCTGCTGTCGAACGTTCTCCTCCTACTTTCGAACGTTCTCCGCCTGCTGTCGAACGTTCTTCTCCTACTTTCGAACGATCTCCCCCTGCTGTCGAACGTTCTCCTCCCCCTGTGGAACCAGAAGACCCCTCTGTGAACTCTGAATTAGAACTTCTTCTCTCGGAGCCAGCAGGTTCTCCAATGGAATCAGAGGATTCTTCCGTAAATTCTCCTCTACCGATGGCAGAAAGTTCTCCCAAGGAACCAGAACTGCCCCTTCTCTTGAATTCAGAACCAACTGTTGAACAGCCAGAAATTTATTCCGAGGAACCAAAACTGCCCCCTGTCTCAGACTCAGAACCACCCCCATCACCCCCACCAGCAAAACTCCGTCCAATAGCACACCAGGAAGATTGTGAATATGACGAAGAGGCATTCTTGAATAAAATGGAAGAATCATTTTTAACGCCATTCATACTAGAAGCTGAACTCGCCAGGGATATTGAACGACACGAGGAAGATTGGAAGCGTACCCATAAGAAAAAGGCGAGAAAACCTCCTGCCCTCTACAAACGTCCCATCAAGGATATAGCAAACGATCCTGTAATTCTCAACTATTTGAAGGAGCAGAAGGAACTAATTACCAAATACCGGTACGTACAAGTATTGTGATAAGGTGTTACTTGTAAGGCAAAATGTCACTAAGCTTATGCACAATTTTTGTTTTATAGAGAGGATTACTATCGGAGGTGTGCATGTGAAGCGGAGGAGGACGAGGAATGGAAACAGTCTATCGAAAAGGATGAAGGAAGAAAGAATCTCACTTCAGACGAAGAAGACCTATTTGTCGAAAAGCCCATGGATGAAGACCAGAACAAAAAACACATCCTGGTCAAGACTGACGCTGAAATTACTAAGATGGACGTTTGCTTGGCTGGCATGGTTATCGCTCCGTATCAACGATTGGGTAATACATTGAGATCTCAATAATTCACAACTAAGCTTACTATAAATTCAGTTACTTATTTGCATACATAATTTGTTACAGATATTTTCCCAATTATGATCCCTCACGGAATTCCAAGTGACGCAGTTCCCAGTACCAGTGCTGCCGCTACCCGACCCCCTGTAGATAAGAAAGGAGATGATGACATCCCTCCATCAAAGATGAACCAAGCATCCACCGCCCTGGACAATATTAACGTGCAACTTTCCCCCGAAAGTGAAGCGGATGACAAGGACATGGATATTGAAATGACCACGTCACAAGAAGTCATCACCTCGAATATGGCTGGTAACCCCATCGTTCCTCCCATTGCAGACACGACCCCCCAAGATAAGCCAAAAAATATGGAAGCAATCAATCTGGATCTTTTTGGGGATATTTCCATTTCTGATGCGTCAGATACTGATCTCTAATAATGCATGTTTGCTGAATGAATTGAACGTGCATTACATACAGAAAAAAATTATTAATTTTAATTTGGAATCCAAATTTTGGATTGTTCAGAATGATCGTGTGCATTTTTTCATTGTTATTATTTATTATAGGTGATTTTGTATTATTTTTTATAATAAATATGTTGTCGCTGCGAGTTGATTGAAAAACAAATCGTGTAGATTTACATTCCTTTGTTTGGTGGCGGTTACACAAAGGAGATAAATATATCTCTTCATTTGCATATTTTTCACTCAACGTTTACTGCGTCTCATTCCAAACAAACCAACGTTGCGTTGGCAGCTCGTAGTTCGAGTCTCTTTGTTCCTCAGTCGGCAGTCGGTCGTCATTGCAGTTGGAGGTATTTTTTACTTTTGCTCTTGTGTGCCTAGTTTTTGGGCCAAATTTGGAAATATAAAATTTCGAAATTATAAACAAAGTGACTACTTCAAGCTTTTACTAAACTGCTCGTTTTATCAAAGAAAGTAGACGCATTAGCAGGTAAGAAGTTAAATTACAAAAAAATATAGATATTAGTTAGAGAGGCATGGCAGAAGATTTATGATTGGTTTCATTCATTCTTTATTATTTCATAACGAACAAAAACCTTGTACTTGTACTGTCCATTATTAATTAATTAATTGTTATTCGTGCTAATCATTCGTAGTGAGATGGACTCTACCGTTGAAAAAGGAGTAAGCTCAACTGAGGAAGTTGAAGAAGGGGTGGCCTCAACTGGGGAAGGTGACCAAGAGGTCTTTCAGGTGGAGGCGATCAGGGGACAGCGAAAAGTGAGGGGGAAACTGGAGTATTTGCTGAAATGGCAAGGCTATCCGGAGTGAGTGAAATAATATATTAATTTAAAATAGCTACAAGCCGCCTTATCCTGAATTAATTAATGTATTTTCTTCTAGGTCCGATAACACTTGGGAACCGGCAGGATCCATCATGTGCTGGGATCTCATAGATGAGTTTAAGAAGACAATTGAGTCGGAAAAGACAAAGTCTGAAGACGCGAAAAACGCACAGAAGAAAAAGAAAAAGAAGGCAGCCAAACCCAAAGAAGTGGAAGAAGCTGAGATAAAAGATGACAAAGCAGCTGGATCAAGTCCTTCCGAAGAAGAAAACCCGGACAAAAACGCTGAGAAGGGGGCAACGGGAAAGGGTAAAAAGAAGAAAGCTCGTTCAACTATTGTACATTTGCCTCCACCAAATCTAGAGGTAAAAAAATCGTCATTCATTTCAATTAAAACTGTAATATCAGAAGAACAACATTGATTGATTGATTTACCTTAATTGTTGAAGGAATTCGAAATTTGCGATACTACCGGCGAAGGCAACGGATTTGAGCGTGGATTGCAGATTGAAAAGATCACAGGAGCGACCTGCCGTGAGGGCGACGAGATTTATTTCCTTGTGATGTTTCAAGGCGAGAATTTTGCCGAGCTCATTTCTAGAGAGGAATGCAATAAGTGGGCCCCCGTGAAGGTGATCGAGTTCTACGAGGGACGACTGCATTGGTACCAGCCACCAAAGGAGTGAAAGATTTCTGTCAATTTAACTAAAATCGCTACGACATTTGGTTATTCTTGGTGTTTATTTTTTTTAATGAATTAATAGTTACATTTGTTATATTGTAAAATTAATTGACTTTACACTACTAAATGTTAATGTAGTTGTGATGAATTTCTCAACGAGGACAGAAATTGCTGAAAGAATAGTTTTAAAAGGGCAAAATTCGGTCGGTCTAATGGATCCGGTCTCCAACAAGCCAACATAATTTCATATCTATAAAAAATAGTTAATGCTTTCACTTTTGTTAAAACTTGTAGAAAAAATTAGAAATGAATAAATGCAAAATTATATGTAAGTACAATTGTTGAGAAGAATTTTTCGGTTTTTCTAGCCGCACTCCATTTAGTAGTCCGCGCACAATGTCGCTCTCCCAGGCCCCGTAAGGAACATTTCCAAGGGCGAAAATCTCCCAAATAAGGACGGAAAACGCCCAAACGTCGCTCCGCGTGCTGAACCGGATGGGATCGGAGGCAGGCGTTGTGAGGCATTCGAGCGCACTCCAACGCCAAGGAAAGCGATTCTATGAGTTTAAAAGGACATTATAAACATTCATAGTTGATAAGGTGGCATGATGGTAAGTCATTCATTTGATACTGGCAAATCTTCCCGTTTAACCGTGTAATTCGAGCTTTTTAGCTTTCTCGCAAAGCCAAAATCCCATATTTTAATGGTATTGGAACTAATTATGATGATTGATTTGGCTTGAAGACATCCATGAATTATCTGCGAATTGAATAGAATTAGGAATAGAATTTGAAGATTTTGAAGGAAAGTTATGTTTATGTCGAACCCTTTTTTGATGAAGAAACTCCATCCCGTTACATATCTGATAAGCCCACTCGAGTATGTTTAGTGTGTCGAAGTTGGGCAGCTCGGGTTGTTTCCTGGAAAAATTTATAACAAGGAATTGCTAATATTATGTTAAGGCATAATTAAGGAAAAAATTAATGATTAAAGCATAATTAAGTCAGGCAATAATTAATTAATTACCGAGTGGAAGAGACCATAATTCTGTCCTGTCCGATGTCCAACAAATTCGTAAATGTCTTTCCGTCATACGTGTTGACACAATCTTTTAAAAATGCGTCCAATCTTCCCTTCGGGTAATATTCTGAGACGAGGAAAACTTTTTCTGAAATTTGGACAATTCAATATTTTGGTTTAATGATTGCATAATAATAATTAAATATCAAATACATCATCATCATCATTATTATCTAATTATACATTTAAAATGTAGTTAAACTCTTCACCTTTTAAACTCGACTTGCAACATACACCAAGAAATTTCAGGATGCTGTCATGCTCTCCGATGAAGGCGAGCAAATTCGCCTCTTTTAACAACCTCCCGGAATGAGGGATCGTCGGTGTCGTCACTTTCAACGTTTTCAAAGTTACGGCAATTTCGCCAAATTCGCCATCGCCGGAGGTGGAGGCAAGGAAGCCACGAATTATGGCGTGGTCGTCATCAAATCCGAGGCAGGTTTGATGGTCTGGATTTATTAGAAAATTTTTTTAAGAATTTTTGATAAATTTCTTAAACTGCGTGGATAAGCAGTTACCAAGTTTTAACTTATCCTCCATAATATCAAACTTTCTCGGAAGTAGTGGCACCTCGTCGTCATCGTCGATTTGTTGGTTATCACTCCACGTCCCTTTATTGATAAGACTGGTCGTCCTTGTTGGGGAATCGCCACCTCCACCTCCTCCGAGCTGGTAATATTCATCTCTTCTTTTCCGTTTTCGCCCCGTGTCGCGAATCTGTTGTAAATATTTGGACACGATGAAGAGTGACGCTGCTTTCCATGCCCAATAAGCGGGATACATCGTGGGGGCGTAGTAGAAGGGGGACAGTCCCAGGACAAAGATGTGGTAAAGGACGGAAGCATATGCGAGCCCGATAAGTAGCGGGGTTATCACGAGGTAGGAAATGCACTTTAGGATATTCTCCTAATAATTAAGATAAGATGACAATGAAGTTTGACCCCGTTTTATCATGATTAAATTTGCATACCTGGGTCACTGCTTGGAAAAGGACGCAAGCCATCAATATGTTGACTAGGTGGAGCCCCATATAAGCCCAACAGAGAATTGATCTCGCTGTAAGATGAAATTGGACATGATTTTTTAGGCGAATTTTTTTTAACATGATTTTTTTGCAATTTTGCAATTTTTTTGCAAAATCTTGCCATGTAGTTTGACCTCCTCCGACATTTCTGAAGGCAATATCAACTTCTCTGAAGGAAATTGCGCCGTAACGTTGGGAGGATCGGGGTGGACCCATTCTGCGAAGGGGTTTGGCGTCGTGGAGACGTTGACATGGTCATATTTGAAGATAACGTTCTCATCCGATCCTGAAATGGGCGAGGTAGTCGAAGACTTGAATGAAGATAGAAATACGGATTCGGCCGTATGCACGAGCAGTGATCCAGTCGAGAATAGCTGAGAATTACATAATGCATGCAAATTATTGCAAAAAATCTTCATGCGTGATCTTCAAGCAGTGCAATTATTGGCCAAAATTATTGGGATACTTCCAACTTGGTTATTATTTTTATTAAATGTTAAATAATGACAATCTTATTTTTCATATTACGTATTACTTTTATCTCCCTTAATTTAGATGAAGTTGTACTTATTAAAATTCCAGTTAAATTTAACTACATATTTATTGCACGTCAGCAGATTAAATTAAATTAAGTAAATAGACTCCTCGTACATTTTCTTTCGTACTTTGTGCATATACTTATTTATGAGCTCATGAGCAATGTTACAAATTGCAACATAAAAACTTTATATCATCAATTACATTAAATTGGGATTTAATGTCAGGAACGAAATTATGACCGTGTAAGGAAATAAACACTGAAAATTTTGGGGCCATTATTCCACGAGCAGAAAATTGTGCGGAATATCTACAATTGTTGTACAATTTGTATTTGTACAATTCTCACATGTACCTACATACTTATTTGCCATTTTTATGAATGCGTATGTGCACAATTTTATACAAAGTTGGATTAAATACTTACAATGTCTGCTACAGCGATGGATAAGACTGCCTCTGAAATTGAGTATCTTCCGCAAAAATACATTCTAGATTTTTGTTTTTTGTAAATATGAAATTATTTCAAAAAGCGATGCCCAAATTAATTAATGCATCGACTATTATGATGTACACATATTGTGTCAAATGCAAATTGTGGGATAATAATATTTATTAATTACTCGAATTTAAGACCACTATCGATTTTATTTGCGGTTTTACAACTTTAATTTACTTGCCTTTACAAGCTATGCGTTTTCATTTCCGGTTCATTAACCAGAAACCTATAAATTGAACAAAATTTGTATTTAATTGCATTTGCATACAAGTTATTTTATTACGTATGGCATGGCTAATCATCATTTCGGTCTAAAAAGTGACGACTCCGTTCGCAAAACTTCTTCCTCTTTTGGTGCAAATTCGATTAGTCATGTTCCACAAAGGTGTGAAGATACAAAAATAAGTTAATTGATGATTAAAGCACTAAACAATAAGGAAAATGGTTTAAAAAATGTGTAACATGTGCAATGCATGTGCAAAGCATGTGCCTTTCTTATTAATTAAGTACGCCAACAATAAATCGGAATAGAATTGTGAGAACTACGATCTTAAATAGTCCTATAATTCATCGAAAAAGCCAAATCCAGACTCATTACATTAAATTACTGTATTGTATTACAAATGTACATGTTTTGCACCCAAATTTTTTCACACGAAGCGATGCTACAATTGTCAATTGTTGAACGAAATGCTACACAGCCAAATAAAACAAAACCCTTTTTGAAGCTGACTTTGAAGTTGACTTTGAAGATTAGAATGCGATTTTTTCCTACGACGTAAACCAACACACCTGGAAAACCCATGAATGAGTAATAATTGAATTAACACAATTAAAATCACGTAATCAAGAATGTCGGAGGCTCGACATAAATTCCATGTTAAAATGTTATCTGCTGGAAATTCACACAATTTATTTTTAATTTTCATCTTAAAGTGGTTTGTGGATCTGTACTTAAGTGGGTAAATTATTTTAATTGTTTTTTTGAGAGAGAGAAATCCCCATCCTGTCGAATGACACTCTCGAGAGGAGACCAAAACATTACATCACGCGTGCTTTGCTTATCTTATGGTTTTATTATTTCAGGCATAATTGGCATGGTCGGTTTTGGAAGTGGTGTGGTTTGTCAAATGTATGGGTTATGGTGTAGATTTAAGTATTTTATTGTATTGACGAATTCAAGTGGTGTTGCAAAAAAAATCCGTACATTTGATCTGACCAGGTTGATTAGGAATCCTGATTATTTTGTACGTACACATTTGGTAACAATAAAATCAAAGTTCAGAGTTTTTTAATATCGGTCGGGTCGGGGTTTATAAATCCAAAATCCAATCTAAAACTAAATCTAATCCGGTACATACACGTCCAATTGAACTATGATCTCGATTTTGATGCACAAAAATAAATATACGTATGTACAATTTGCTCATTGCAAATTGTTTCTGATTAGTTGAATCACCTTCCTCAGTGTCATCCGCATAAGAGGAGGCGGACGTTGCATCTTGCCACGACTTATCATAGATAATCATCATCATCATGTCACCTCATTACAATATTACCCACCAATGCCATCCAAGCTCTGGATCGAATATGCATACAACCTGCCACGAACTAGGAGAATGTTTGTGGTCAAAGCATTAACCAGTCACGTGTAGATGTGGATGTATGCAAATTTATATACACTTTGCAACTTAATGGACGGATTTAAAATGTCGATCACCCAAAAAATACGTACATCTCGAGAAGCCGGTTAAATTCGGTTGGTCATTTTATTTATCCCAGTACTTTTAATCAAAAGGTAGCGATGACGCTACAAGTTTTAAATGGCATTGCATATGAAAAGGTTCTCAGGGTGCAAAATTTTGTGCATGATGCTTCTGCGTGTAAGAAATCATCAAAATCAAAACCCAGGTCGGTGTACGTCACTAGTTTGCAAAATATTAAGTTATTGCTATATGTAGACTACTGCAATAATCAAATAACTTAATTGGACCTGATTACCCTGAGAGAGACGATACAAGTTGTATGGAAATCATTACCCACGGCCCACGGCAAAACCAATTTTCCTCTCCTCTAACACGATTGTCTAGGTGCATATTGAGGATAATAAAAACCGATGGCCTGCTCATCACGCAGAATTGTCGTGATCCAGAAGTTTGAGTGTCACTGTTTGTTGGCAAACTATGAAATTAAATAGGCGAGTAATAATCAGTGGCGGCGGAAGTTGGGGGGACATTAGCATTGTGGAATAGGAACTCAAAATACGATTTTGCTGAAATTCTGGGGGGGGAGGCAATGTCCCCCTGGTTCCGCCGCAAATGGCGAGTATCACCACTATGTACCGTACAATTGAAAATCCTATCCGAACAACAAACAGTTGTGTGAAACTGATATTCAAAATGGGTATAAAACGATGACAATGTTATCAAAGCGTCATGCATCGGATCATACTTTGCAATAATGCAAAGAGTTTCACAAACTTAATCATGCAAGATTTGGATGGACAGCAGGATGACGAGTGGTCGATCATCCGATCCGTTTAACTATTAACTTCCTCGCCAACTGTCTACATATTCATGCAACTAACTGGACCATATGCATCCTAATATGTGCTTATTATGTGCATGCATCTATTTAATGTACATAATTCCAGATTGGCCATTAATCTACTGTAAAACTTGGTAAGTTACAGTTATATGCAAAAATTATTAGCTTAATGGCTTGCTCTATGAATATCTAATAATCACTCTCAAAAATCATGCAAAAATTGCATGCGTTCTCTTACTGATTTGTTCTCTATGTTGTAATTAACTTGGATTAATATGAGGATGCGAAAAATGGCATGGTAAAGTTCGACAAAAGGTGACAGATTTGAGGTTGACTGTACATACGAGTAATAACCAGAAGAGATTTTTATGCAGGACCAGAACATCAGCAATTTTATGATTGCATGAAAAAAAAAACTTGGGAAAAATGAAGTAACATCAAGATTAAATTAGGTACGAATTGACTAAGCATTTATTATTTTTGGTCCTTATTTTCCCCATAAAAATCATCATCTCACTTTATTGTTTCGCTTTTTATGGCACACAATCATGCTCAGGTTGCACTTTGTGTCACTTTTGTATCACGAACAGTCCGATTTTATGTGACGTGGACTTGCCTTTTATGTAACAACGATCCTTCACTTCCCCTTTTTCCCATGAAAATGATACGTCCACGTAACGATAGCATTTCATATGGTGTGATGTAAACGAACCGATATATTTCCCAACTTTCTTCTTGGAAGGGACCGGTTGTTATATAATATTGACGTTTGTTTGCAGTCCGTAATTGTATAATGAGCAGGACATGAAAATAAATGCCAGGAATTTTGGACTTTATTTAATTTTTTTAAAACAGCATTATTTTATTAGGTATTTCGACCTTCTTATTCACTTAAAATTAATAATAATCATGTAATTACTAATTTGGCCTTTATTATAAACATTGGATTTATAACGTTAAATCTGAAGTAAATAAATATATAAGACATGCCATCAAATGACCAGGGCACAGGTGCAATTCTACGGATTTATTTATACTAATAAGTACGACTACCTGGAATTATTTACCTTTGCTTTGCACAATTGACCCCCGACTTAAAAAAAATCGGCTTAATTATCAACATCAACACCCACCCAGTCATATTAAACTTAACACTTATGCAATTCTACATAGTCGGTAAGTACGTAAACAAATATGCACAAATTATTTTTAATAAAGTTACAAAGTACCTGCATGGTGGTGGTGGGGTGGAAAACCTTTCGCATTGAAATCGGACCATACGAATAAAGTGTGACACATATTGACCAGAAAAATGACATGACCACCAAGACGAATCACGCAATCAGAAGTTAAGAAGATTAATGGTTTCTTGCTGCTTGGCGTGAGGATGATCTCGTGTTGTCATTAGTCATGACCGTTCATCTCACCCGATCTGGTAATTTTAGCATCATCCATCCATCTCACTACTTTGGGATAAAGTCCAGCACAAGAAGAGTCAGACTTTTAGCAAGTTGTGGTTTATTAATGACGACGATAAACAATCCAGTAGACGCGATTATATGGGATATACTAGCGTTTTTTGGAGGAAATCTGCAATTTGATCGAGTATAGTGTATTCTTATTAAATTGAACTTTTTATTAAACTCTGAAGACCATGATATATTGTTATTGTTTTCGGGCATGAATATTTACACCAGGAGTGAAAAGAATGATGTAGAATAAATAAATGAGGGACCATTATGCCGGGTCGTGTACGCTTCATGCAAATATTGGCAACTTTCTTAAGCTGCATGATAATGATATTATTTATTACGTGTTATTACGTGTATTTATACTTTTTTAAGAAAAAACTTTACATAAAACCCACCACGTGATTAATAAGTAGTAGATTTTATAACCTTGCTTCCTGGGAATAAAATTGGAGCGATTTTTTACAATCTTTTAAAATTTCGTAAGGAAATAAAAGTAAAATTTCAAGACGAAATATGTCTGCATTTGAAATTTGTCGTATAGCTTTTTCATAAATACTGAATTATCTCCTGCATCCATGTACAATTAGGAGTGTTGTTTCTCAACCTAAAACCCCATCTTCTTAGTGGATGATAAAATTTAATAAAACTTTATCTGATTGCATTCATTAAATGATATTTTTAAGTTAAAAATAAATACGTACGCAAATTTAAGTGAGTAATGTCGTAATGGGCACAATTTAATTACGTATTTAGCCATAGTCACTATACATACATACAAATATTTCCCAATATCCATCCCTACTTTGAAAATGTTGGCCTCTGGGTAATACCGAAAATTAGTAAGAATACATACGCTTCGTTAAAAAAGGTAGAAAATCATGATATAAAGTAAGTAAAACGGATGAACAGTCATGGTCCATGGTCCTATCACTCTCTAAATCTAACATCATGGTACGGAAAAGTAGCGTTGGCTTGATAACTACATACAAATACACGTCTCTCCACTCTCTCCCTCGTAATAACACGCAGCTCTTGGGATTTGCACTGCGAATATGATTTGCCAATATGAACTACGTAATGTACGTATACTGGAAATGTGTTGAGCTCGTGGCGTGGAAGAGTTGGGTATAAAACGGAGGCACAGAATCTCACTCTACCTCTTTCACTCTGAAACCACCATTCCGAAGAGTTCGGTTTAGCTAGCTTACTTTACTACAGGCTTTTAGGTACATCTACTTTTGGGTGTTGTTAGTATTCGACGGGTATAGAAAGACCAACTTTTTCGGGGTTTTCGGATCTTTCGGATTTCTCTCTCTTCTCTCGTTTCTCTCTCCAGTGACACTTTGACCTTGATCCTGTTCCAGGTTCCAGTAACAACATCGAAGTTTACTTTCTTCTTCACTTCAGAAGAGAAATCCGACAAGTAGTGTGCATCGGAATAATAGAGCGTTAACAGGACCGGGTTGGATTTGTTGACAAGGTAAGAAGATTTTTCGGAAATTTACAGATTTTTTAGGGAGGTGTTGAAGTGTTGAATGTATTCTTTTTTTCTGGAGAAATTGTTTCTCGTCTATTATTTAAAAAAAATTTCCCATTGTTCTTTTATCCGGAAAATTGATTTCCTACTTGGTATCCTACTCTTTTTTTACCCAATTTTGATAAAGGAAATGAAAAGAAAAGAAAGGAGGAAATATTTGCAGGTTATTGCCAATTCTGATAAGACTTTTGCACACATGGCATATTTATTTATTTATGTGAGAGACATATTTATGTGTTATTATTAGATTAGCCAAGTTTATATGAGACGTTCTGACATACATAAGTCGTATAAAAGTGTAAGTATAAAAGTACGAGTGTCATTAAACGATAAGAAATGGATCACGAATCCACATTGATTATTGGCTCAGGAAAAATTTAGTGAGGCAGGTCACTCGTAAATGACCATCATCATCATCGTCATTTCATTATGTGGCCACTGTATAACTTTGGTAGGCACAATTTAACGTGTATTAAGACCAGACCGGTTACTTACAGTGACAGTTCGTAGAAATTCATTGATCGCACTTACCAGCAAAAATATTTAATTTTGCCCACATGGATATTTCCCACAAGTTTTTTGGAGTATGTCAAGTAGTAGTAAAATTATTGGGTTGGGATAACCCACGCAAAACATTTGTCATTAACTTGTTAACAAGTTTGATAAGGTGGGTCGATTTCGCATTTATTCACCGACCACGATCACACTTGCTTTTTGATGGTGCAAATATTGAGATAACCTCTCGATCTCATCGGCCCACTCGCAAATTGATTAAATGTCAAGAGTAAAGTCGTACGATATTATTTATGACACGATTTTCATCCATCCAGACGACGACGAGTCGATGACATCAGGTGTTTCCCACCCATTATTGGCCATAAGTAATAAGTAGTTAAGAAAGGACATAATTTACTTGGTCAACTTTTCTGCACGATAAAATGGCAAGTACAAAAAAAACAGTGTATTTTTAGCAAACAAAGCCCACATAACATTGCCCTGACATTGAATTAAATTGACAAAAGGGAAACCCACACGTGCAAAAAAGCTGGACAAGTTGATGATGAGTGCATCAATAAAACAACCATCCATCCATCATAACACAGATAATCGCTTAATTAATTTCGATAGCAAATGACTGTTTTTTTATGGTGGGATAGCATTCCTGTTTGCTCCCAGGCTTTAGCAGTATTTTTTGTGTTACATTTGTCCAAATCAGGCGATGGTTCCGTTCGCCTTCGCCGTCTTTGTAAAAAAAGGGAAATAAGATTCGCACACATTTTAGCACATACTGTAGCATACATACACACGTCCTACATGACTTTGTCACGTGGAACGGAACGATACTAATCATGATACGGTCTCGCTTAGCTTAATACTTCGTTTGGTTAGTAACAACTCGCTGGTACGTACATGTGTGCGAAAAATGTGCAAATCTCTCCAGGCAGCTGCATCACTTTACTCGTACATACATAATAATATTCCCCATCTATGTGCATTCACATACATAAGTATTAAATGTATGTAGGTATGTCCCCTCTCTCTCTCTGACCACATCAGATCATCACACCACAACATCGTACGACGAGTCAGGCCTGCATCTCGTCTTCGTCATTGGCCCATTGAATTTTGCATTGCACTACTCTCTGGGCATATATGTACCGTTGAATCAATTTTTTTGCCCAGACTTGCCTTGCTTGAGTCGAGTTCAAAGCTATTATATAATCAAGAATTAAGAACTTTTAAGTGAATCTGGTGGTGGTGGGGTGATGATAACGCTTTAATTATGAGGTATGCATGGATGGAGAGATTCGTCATACTTGAGATTCATTAGGCTTGATAATGAACTTGATTTTATTGTTGTTGGCTCAAATTCAAGAGTTGAGTACAAATTACATTTTTGGGTAGGATCTCCCCTTTAAAATTGGTTAAAAATAATGAAACGATTTACTTATTACGACTAATTAAGAATGGTGAATTATATTTTCATCGTTTCAATTTTTCAATTGCATGGGCATGCAATCTGAACCTGATGTTACACTGATAAGGATGTAAACCTTTGTGTAACAAAATGATTAACTTTTTAACGGCTGAATATGATTTTGTAAGAAGAAAAATATTATTCAGATGGATTAAGGTTCATTTTTTGTGGGTATGAATTTTAGCAATTTTTTTTACTTACACGTGTCTGGAATTTGCATAAAAATGAAGATATCATCGATAAAAATCGCGAAGTTGACTTATGCAAATTAGATATTCCACTGTTTGCCATCCGTTAGCGTTATGGAAAAATATGCATTGTAAGGTTTTAGACAAACAGATTTCATCCCATTAAAATTCCTCTCGGCTCGGTTAAATAAATATTAGGAAAAAGTGGGCCTCTGGAAGACGCAATTTCAATATTTTGATAGTATTTAGCTACGTGAAAATTTGGTTTAATTTTCACAAGTTTACCATCATTCCCATAATTCTGTCATAACTTTGCATCATTACAAACCTATTAAATTGCACTTTTCTAAGCAATAATAACTGCACTTGACTCGAGTGTTTATCACCTGTCTGGGAGGAAAGGAAGCCATAATTATATCAATAAACCAATCTCGACCAGGTGTCGTATTTGGCTTCTCCACTTGATCTTGGCCAAGGTCATGATAGCATCACACGTTCACCAGGTATGCACATATCATGCTACATATCCGGCTATAAATATAAAACTAGTTTACAACACCCCAATCTTCTCACCTGTCCATTTTCAATAACAAGACCATTCATTTCATCGCAATTTATGAACATGCAAGAAAAATGAGTGTATCGAATCAGGTTTCTTATCTAGTGACAGACACGAGACGAGAGGCAAAAATCTGGCTGGAGACATTTTTCGACCTTCCTCTTACACCAAATCAATAATACATTTTCCCGTGTGAAGCACAAAACTACGTCATTTTTCTCCGTCGTCCAATATTTCTTATGACGCTCGTACATTTTCCTTTATGTCGAATAATAAAATAAAATATATTTCCGATGTGGACACAGCAGAGATCCGACTACTGATGGCCTGTTGAGAACATAATAATGCAACGCAAAAAAATGGCAGTAAAATGTTAATCCACGCATCACTGAGGAGGAGAGCGTCACCACCTGCCCTTCACAGATCTCGATGCCCTTTGGATATGTGGTAGGGTCCTATGAGTGTACTAAAACCCTGAAGTGGTTTGACTCCATGGCCACATTTGCGCCCGCCACACCCACTCAAAGGGATGAAAACCACAAAAGTTACCAACTTCAAAAATCCACCAAAAATCCAATTTTACGTGGATTTTGATAAAATTTGCATTTTTGTGATCCCAGATACTTGCCTTATAATATTCAATAGCAATCTCAACTTTTTTGAAATTTTCGAAATTTTCGAGCTGATGAACTATTCGAAAAAATTCAAAATTTCAAAAAATTTGGGATATCTACTAGATATGATCACACAAGTATCTGGGATCACAAAAATGTAAATTTTATCAAAATCCGAGCAAAATTGGATTTTTGGTGACATTTAAAGTACATGAAAACAGGGTTTTTTCGTGTTTTTGGCACCTTTGAGTGGGTGTGGCGGGCGCCAATGTGGCCATGGAGTCAAACCACTTCAGGGTTTTAGTACACTCATGGGACCCTACCACATATCCAGAGGGCATCGAGATCTGTGAAGGGCAGGTGGTGAAGCTCCCCTCCTGAGTTTTCCCTCATGTACGATCTAAGCATTCATTTATGGTAATTGAGACTAATACACAAGGCGTACTATTTAGGATGGAATATTGACCACTTAACTTTTAGTACGAACATACAATGCACATACATATGTAACAAAACAAGGCTTCGTTTCTGCTCAGATTTACGTAACACTCGACTTAATTGATCGTTTGGGTGTAATAACATAACAACGGCTGAAAAAAATTAAGACATTCAGTCAGTTGGAAGTCGAGGTGGAAGAAAGTGTGGAAGGATTTTGGGAAAAAATTCAGATTTTGTAAGGGGTTAGAATCGTTTATGAAAATTTTGTTTTTGAGAATTTATAAAAATTTCCATATTAACAATTCCCTTTTTACAAATTTTTAGCTACAAGTGACCCCCACACTGCTGCACCATGCCTCCAAATACATCCTCCCCTTCGGCGACGACGATGCCCTCCGAGGAGCCGACGCTCCGTCGCCCAACTTCGAACGATAAGAAGAACAAGGCCGAGCATGAAGATGATCCACGACTTCACGACATCCACTCGACGTACTTTCCTCCCCTCGAGATCGTGTGGCGTAACGTGGGTCTTTTCGCCTACCTCCACATCGCCGCCGCGGCTGGACTTTATTTCCTCCTCAGTGGTCAGGTCGGGTGGAGAACGTTAGTTTGGAGTGAGTAGAAATTTTTGATGATTTTCAGAAATTTTGTATTAAAAAAAATTTAACTATGAATTTTTTCTGTAGCGTTTATCTGGCATCTCTTTGGCGCTTTTGGCATCACTGCGGGCGCACATAGACTTTGGGCGCATAAAAGTTACAAGGCGAAGGCACCACTTCGTGCACTTCTTGCTTTTATGCAAACCGTGTCCTTCCAGGTGAAATTACGATAAAAATAATTTGTTACAATTTTATTACCACAAAATTGGTAACAATTATGACATTTTTGACCCACAGAACAGCATCCACGAGTGGGCGCGAGATCACAGAGTTCACCACAAGTACTCGGAGACCCACGCGGACCCCCATAACGCCAAGAGAGGCTTCTTCTTCGCCCACATGGGTTGGCTCATGGCCAGAAAACATGTCATGGTCAAGGAAAAAGGAAAGGCGATCGATATGTCCGACTTGGAAGCGGATCCCATCATCATGTTCCAGAAGAAGTAAGATTTTCATTTTTTTAAGAAATTTTTAATGGGAACTAAAAATTCTAAAAATTGGAAACTAATTGGCAATTTTACTCTCCAGATACTACACTCCTCTCGTCCTTCTCATCAGCTTTGTCATCCCAGCCGTCGTTCCGTGGTACTTCTGGGGAGAAAATTTCATCGTTTCTTGGTGTTTTGCTGCCCAGTTCCGGTACTGCGTGAATCTCCACTCCACGTGGTTGGTCAACAGTGCAGCTCATATGATTGGAAACAGGCCGTACGATGTGTAAGTGTCACTAACTTAATAAATTAAGTGGCAATCGGTCAGTGGTCTATTTTTACTAATTTACTCCTTAACTTACAGCAACATTTCGCCCTCTGAGGTCAAATCTGTGGCGTTTTTCGCTTTTGGCGAAGGATGGGTAAGAAGCCGTTCTTAAGAATAAACTGATCAAAATTTAGCCAATTTAATGACTCTTATCATTCTGATAACCGCGTAGCATAACTATCACCATACTTATCCGTTCGATTACAAGACCGCTGAAATGGGAAACTATGATCTTAATTTTACGCTAGCCTTCATTGATTTCTTCGCCTGGATCGGATGGGCATACGATTTGGTAAGTGGTACAAATTCATACTCATTTACACAGGTAAATCTGTGGTATGAAATTTTTTCATAATTTCTCGTCCTTTTTTTAGAAAACCGTGTCCCACAAAGTTATCGAGGAGAGGATTAAGCGTACCGGGGATGGAAGTCACCCTCTCAGTCATGGACACCACCACCACCATCACAACCACAACGATGGGGAAGATCACCACGTCGAAGGATCCGGAGATGGCGTGGGCCCGTGGGGCTGGGGAGATAAGGTATTATCATTAAACTTAATGATCATTTAAATAAATTAATCATAATAATTAATCATAATAAAATCATTAAAAGTATTAAGTTAATTTAATTGTTCTCCTAAATTTTTAGGACATCCCCATCGAGGACATTGAAGTCACAGAAACTCTCCATCCGCTCAAGGATGAATAGAATAATTAATTAATCTAAATAGACTAACTTCTCATAAGTAAAATGTTCTCAATAATTTTAAATATTTAGACGATTCGCAAAAAATTTGACTCTCGCACTGAAAAAATGTACTGCACTTTTCCATTAAATTATACATAGAAACTTGCTGAATACTGATTATGTATCTACTAAAATATGTAATACCAGATAAGTCTGATAAGAAGAGAGTGAGACGACGTGTGTGGTTGGTAAAAAGGAGGATGCGATATTCAATCACGGCGGAAAAAATTAGTAATATCGACATGAAATTTTTCCAAAAATGACAAATTATTTATTTAATGATCAAAAAAATACTTAGAATGTCTGATAAACAACTATTTTTTACGTGTGATTGATGAATTATGTATTCGAGAAAGTTGGGAACATTTACAGATTAAAAATATATGTCAAAAATTCCTCAGGATTTTACGATTCCAAAAAACAAAGTGAAATTAAACATAATAATATTTCCGTGTTTATTTACTAGCTTATTTATTAGAAATAGATACAGATTTGTAAATATTTATACAAATTATTATGAGATGCATGTTTCTTGGACTGAGTTAAATATTTAAATAATAGTTAATTTGTTGCTGTGTTTTGACCTTGTTTTTGTAAAAGGGGGAAAGAAATAGGCTGCTAATTGTTGTTACCGGTGGAGACGAATAAGGGTTATCTTACTTTCCTTATCAGCTTTACTTATGCATTCTATATAAAAAATTATCTTGAAAACTATACCGGTTCTTAAAAATAGTAATTATCGTGCTAATTACTTATCGTAAAATAATTAACCTCGTTTATTAAACCTCTGTAAACCATTTACTGCCGTGATGTTGATAACAATGTGATATCTTCATTACGAGATGCAACACTTAATTAATTTCGTTGCTCCTCCTCCGCTTAAAAAAAGCTGCTACTTGATGTACCGAAAAGTGAGAAAGTTAACGAGAGAGAGAGAAAAATAAGATAAGATGAGATTCAAGATATTACTAAAATTTGGACAAATATAAGTGAAGATAACTAATAATATAATTGTTACCTTATCTGTAAGGATTATTTGTTCACTAAATGAAATGAAATTATGAAAAAACTACAAAACCCGTAAAATAAAAGAAATGATGATGATAAAGTCTTCATTTTTTAAAAAAGAAACAGTATTCCTGAAATTATTTGGGCGTCATCATCGATTAAATATGATGAGTGCTTTGTTGTTTGGGGGGCAAATGTAATTATGTAAAATGGTTCGTTCTGCTGTCCTGTCCTGTCGTGTTCTGTCCTTTTCATAATGGATTTGAAGTGCTACTTATGTACAGTACAGCTCTTGGTTTTTGGATAATGGAATTTGCCAGCATTTTGGTGACGCGGAATACATAAAGGTGAATACGTAGCATTGGGATCGCTCGATATTTGTGGGATACATATACTTATGTACAGATCTGAAAGTGTGTATAGTTTGTGACCCGGATGGCTTTTCTTCGAAACGCATTTAAAACGGGGAACGACGGGAGGAAAGAGAAAGCAGAGAAAGCTGAACACGACCCGGGGTGACACTTGTCAATTAAAAAGCCAACAACACGACACGGCTTTTCTAATGACGTGATGAAATTGATTTTTTTGCCTAATTTTTTGAAAGATACATGTCTAATTTTTGTAGAGATGCGCATTTTAATATTTAGTTTACTAAAATATTTTTATGATTTCCTTAAATTTTTAGTATTGAAATTGATTTGTTTTCAATTTTTTATAATTTTTATACAGATGCGCATTTTAGTTGCTCTTAATATTTAGTTTACAAAAAAACATTTTTATGATTTCCTTAATCTTCATTTTTACTGTGTAATGATCCTGTAAAGCAAATTGAATTCGCTGCATGACGGCGTTTACTGCTTATAAACTGCCCGAATTTTTTAGCACTCATAAAATTCCTGGTTTTATTTTTATCGTTACGAAAAGTTATGTATTTCGGATCAATTAAATTGATTTTTATTACGCAATCCATGCTCCCGTAAAGAAAAAAAATCGAAGAAAACAAAATTATTGAGAATATTTACACTTTACTTCGTCACTTTATACCAGAATCAGTCAGTCACGACGACTTCGCCTTATTATTAGAGCGAAAGTGTAATTACATACGAAAGCTTTTGATAAACACGGCGGTGACGGTGGGTTGGCATTTGTAACGCAATTCCTGCCGCACCACTTTCTCCACTTTGATCACGGAGGGGAGAAAGTCGAATGGGAAATGGCGTGTTGGAAATGAAGAGAAAGATTAATTGGGCTAATTGAATTTGATATCGTGTCAATTTGTGTATACGGAATGCTGTATCTCATCAGTTTTTGTGTTACACCACGTTTTTCAGAATTGAGCACAAATTGTGTACAACTAGTGGAATTTGAGAGAAAGTCAAATCGAATTTGTGACGACCCGTGTTTACTTATCATAAACTATAATTTTAATTAAATTATGAGATAGGAAATCAAAATTTAATTAAACTTAATTACATGTCCGGTTAATGAAATCAAGCTTTTCAAATGGATAAAATACGCAAATTCTTTAAAGCATTCAAACTTTGTCCTAAAACTTATACGGATTCTGCAAAAACTAAAAAAATCTGCGCTATTTCACAAAATTTTTAATTATATGAACAACTTTGAAATGCATATCCAGTTGATGAAATCAAGCTTCTCAAATTAATGAAATACACAAATTCATTAAAACATTTAAACTTTGCCCTAACACTTACGGATTCCACAAAAACTTAAATTATGCATTTTTCACCTAACTTTAATAAACTTATGAAACAAAAATTAAATCAAAATTACACGACAAATTTTGAAAATATGAACTGACAAAAACTTAAATTATGCATTTTTCACCTAACTTTTACAAAATTAAAAACAAAAATTAAATCAAAATTAAACAACAATTTTTAAAATATGACCTGAAATTTTACTTTTGTTCCATATTCTTTGTCACTTTCTCCACTTTCTCCAACTTTCTATGTATCTTATCATCATCATCACCCATCCATCCATCCCTACCTCTCCTAAAACAGTGGAAACACCACTGACTACAATAAATTTTCAGTCCGACCAAACCACTCTCCTATCGTTCCTTCTTTCTCCGTAATAATAATGCCACTCCAACCAAAATACCACCAAAACCACTGCCCCATTTCTCCATCAAGCACTACGCTGACTGACTCTTATGCCACCATAATTACGCTAACGTAAAGTGGTCACCCATCACGGAATTTAATCAAGAAACAAAAAGCATTAACCATTTACGTGTGGTTTTACTCGGTCGTGACAAACCAAAACCTTGAAGCCTTCGCTTCGCAAAATGTTACCAGCTATTTACCAATTTCCTATAAATAAATGATTTTTCCCTACTTCCACTTCCTTCCATCTACTTATCTATTTCTATATATAAATTTATTATCACTCTTCCACCTCATGAACAACAAGTGAGCGAGAGACCCACTTATTAAGCAGGCATCCTTTTCTCTCTCCGCCGGGAGAAAGTTGGAGAGAGAGAAAGTGTCACATCCACCACCACTGTGCAGCCAGGCATCAATTAAAAATGTACCCGTGGCAGTATTATTCTCAACCCACGAACCATCAGTGGCCGCGGAAGCTGGGGGGGCATCTGGGGACATTAACATTGCAGGATAGGGGAGGGCGGGGTTTATATAACATGGGCAGATGATGATATCCCTCTGTCCCCACGCTTCCGCGGCCACTGCCTACGACGACTACTGTCTCTGCTATCTTGTCATGTTAACAAAACACTGAGGATGAGACGCCTGGAAAAGAGAGAGAAGAGAAAGCTCCCCGGATTTCATCCTGGGACGAGAACGATGTCCACGACCAGTAATATTTACCATCTCTAGTGCGAATAATATATACCCTGAAGCAGCACCCACGGCATACATAACATCACCTTGTCCATCATCTGTAAGCAAACAGGTAACATAACATAAAATCATAAATGCTATAAACCATACCCGGAGAGAGAAAGTTGCTACCATTTCCACCACCACCACTCATACATACTTTTTGTGACCCAACTTTCCCCCGAAAGATCTGATTCAGTTTCGAACTAGGAAAAATCTCATGGCATGAGTGAAACTTCTCGAATAAAGCTTTTAACCGAATTTATTTTCCCCTTTCTTTCTTTTTTTATCCGCTTATGTATCCCGGAGAAGAAGAGAGAAAGTCCACCCCAGAAAAAAAAGACCAATCCCCACAAATGGAGATTCTTGTTCTTCTTCGACTTGTTCTTATTTGCTGTTATTATTGGGACAAGACCAGCCACCCAGACCAGCTACGTGTGTAGCAACTCCATCCATCTCGATCTATCCATCCAGATTCTATTTTCGATTATTCTTCCTTCCTACGTACGTACGGAAGTAGAGAAAGAAGAAGATCCAGACTTTTGCCATAATACATATATGCGAATGTTATTGGTTGGTTTTGCCCGTGGTGGTGGTCGTCCGTTTCCCTTTGGTTGGTCGTTCGGTAGCTATCTTTCCCCAGTTTGCATTGATTTGCTTGTATAACGAGAAGCAGGAGAGAACTTTCTCCTCACACCAACTTTCTCCTCAGAGAAGAGTCAGTCTCACTCGCTAACTTTCTCTCTCCTGGAAAACACTTTCCAATAATTCCTCAGGCAAGAAATACAAAACATGGCATCCAAAACGTCAACAAGTTCTTCCTCCACATCCACGGCGGACCTGATCCCGGACAATTTTGCGCTTTTGGTGGAAGGCGCCTGGAAGGAGTTGACCTTCAAGCGCGTCGAGGCCCAAGATTATCCCAGAGTGGTGCGTCACATACAAGAATATTTCATGAAGGATGAACCCACTTGTTCCTTGCTGGGGTACACGAACGACTTTGGGGATGAGATGGAAGCAATGGTGAGGAAAATGCTGGCTGAAAATTTGTCATTTTTGGTCGAACATGCTGAAACTTCGGAGGTATGTAAAGTTATTTACGAATTTTAATGTGTTTTTGGATTTTGAAATTTATTTTTAAAAAAGGTGGCCGGTGTCCGAATCATGTTTCGAGCCACCCCCACCAACTATTTTGAATACATCAACGTGGAAAGCTACGCTGGGAAGGTGTTTCTCCGTTTGGTCGATATTATGAAGAAAATGTCGAATCTTTTCGACACTTATGGCGTGAATGAAGTCGCAGAGTTGTTTATTGCTTCGTGCGCCCCGGATTTTAGACAGCAAGGGTTAGCCACGGAGATGTACAGGTGGGTAACATAATTAATTAATTGATTGATTAATTGACTAATTGTTAATTAATTATTTAGGCGAAGTCTCGAATTTCTGAGGGCTGAAGGGTTCAAAGTGGCCGAGGCCATGTTCACCTCGCCGTACACGCGTCGTACCGCGGAAAAGCTTGGATTCGTCGAAATTTGTCGGTTGGACTACAAAGAATTTATTGACGACATTGGTCACTTTGTTTTCAACAGGGATGAGCTTACCGATGAAAACTTTGCGGCCGTTATGGTCAAAGTGTTGTAAAAAGGAGGAAAGAACGAGATATTTTGATGTTTGATGTATCTAAATGTGTGTATATTTAATGTATTAATTAACAAAAGAGTTTAAATCAAAAATATTTACAAGTTCAAATCTGAGCTAAAAAAATTTACCCGAACCAAACAAAGCCAAAACTTACCTGACAAAGAAAAAAAACATTTGAAAATCAGAGCTAAAAAAATTACCTGAATTTAAAAAAAAACAATTAAATCTGACGAGCTAAAAAATCTATGTACATATTTCTAAATCTATGAAAAAAATCTCTACTCACTCGGACCAATTGGACTTCTTTCATACTCATATTATTATAAAATATAGGACGAATTATTGCTTTCAAATCATGTCTAATTTTATATGTGCCGTAGCAAAGTCTTACATTTAGCAAGATAATTAATTATATAATAATGAATGTAATTAACTCTAATTAAATCTTTACGAGTCATGCACGTACCTAAAAAAACACATCCTAACTTTAACTTAGAAAAGTGAAAGCACTAGCACATGTGAATTTTACTCATTTCTTTGTTAAATTAGTGAGCAATTAGTGATCAATTAGTGAGAATTATATGTCACCTTAGATTAAATGTTACCATATTATTAATAGTTTAGCTACTTACACGTACCTAAAAACACAACCCAGCTTTAAAGTAAAAGTGAAAGCACATACCAACAATTTTACTCAGTTTTTGTCAAATACATACTTAATTAGTGATCAATTAGTGATTAATTAATACCAATTATAGATTAAATACCTTACTTATTTATTACATACTTTTTCCTAGCCCTAGCTGAACAATCTCTCCGTATAAATAAACTAAACCTGAATGTCGTCTCGCATGGCTGTACTTTTACCGTTGTCTTTGTGGAATAAAAGCTTATGCCAAAAAATAACTTGAGAAAATCTTCTTATGCATCATTAGCCTCGGTAAACAAATGGGCCTCTTTTCTGCGGTGGAGAGATGAGATTACTTACTTTTGTGCCTGGAGGAGCATCAGCAAGCAACAAACAACAAAATCCAATCCAGCCGAAAGTAACATGAGCCATAAAGGAAAAAGGATGCTAATGACAGGTCTGACATTTTGACTGCTGATTGATCCATCCATTCGCCAGGTTGTTGCTGTTGCCGTTTTATTATCTCTTGTTCTCCTTAATGATGTATTGACTCAATTTGTGAGGCTAACTAAATAAGTAAGTAAGTAAAGTTGCTCAAGTAAGTATATAAAGTTAATGATGACAGTCATCATATCATCAGTGGCCGCGGAAGGGTAGGAACAATGTCCCCACGGATGTTCGATGTCGGCATCATCTCCCCATCTTATATAAACCCTTCTCTCCCCGATCCTACACAATTTTAACGTCCCCACATGTCCCCACGGCTTCCGCGGCCACTGAAGAGATATTACATTTGTTAAGAAATATAGTGGCCGCGGAAGCGTCGGGACAGAGGGACAATGTCCCCACGGTTGTTTGATATCCGCATCATCTTATATAAACCCCTCTCTCCCCTATTCTACAATGTTAACGTCCCCACATGTCCCCACACCTTCCGCGGCAACTGATCATCATCATCATCTGGGTGGGCTGGTCTGATTTGAAGTTTTCCTCCATCAAACAAATCTGGATATTGGTGTCGGATTCGCCCACTAATAATCGTGCACATCCATAAATAAATAAATAAGCAAGTAACCAATAAAAACATGGCATCGACATGGAGCAGCAGCGATTTATTCGCCTTGGTGGAAGGACCTTGGAAAGAAGACTATCTCATTAAGCGAATCCTCCCCGAAGACCTGTCCCGAGTGTTGGAGCACGTTCGAACCCACTTTCTCCAGGATGAGCCCACCTGTAACCTCCTGCTCACCCAACGACGACGACGTCGACGGGAGAAAGAAGGATGCAGCAACAACACGGATCAATTATTATTTGAAGAAGAGATCCAATCCCTGGTTCGAATCGTGGTGCGTGACGAGCTCAGCTTTTTAGTCGAGGATGTCAATACGGGCGAAGTAAGTGGAATGAGAGATTTATTTTGGATGGATGGATGGATGGATGGATGGATGGACTGCTCAGTTTTGTAGGATGGAAGTTTTTCAGGGATTGGAAATATGAAGGATTTGTATAAGTTGGGGAATTATGTGGTATTTTTGATGGGATTATGGAAAATTAGAATTAAATCAGGCTTAATAAGAAGTTTTATATGTAATTGTTTCAAGGACAGGAAATATAAAGTATTGTACAATTTCGAGATTATGAAATCAGTTTCATGCGAAATTTTGACCTCTTTATTCATATTTTTGACATGCGGAAATCAGAATCAAATCAGCCTTAAAGAAATTTTATACGTATGTGATTTTCATAAATCCAGAAAATCCGAAATATTGCACAATTTCATGAAATTTTTATGAAATCAATTTTATCAGAAATTTTGACCCCCCTAAATTACCTCATTTTCATTCTTATCTAACTTGATTATCTGCTCTCAGAATTAAATCAACGCAATACAATCTAACCAATAATAATCAAGATTAAGATTATATCCCCACTTTTTTCCTCTCCTTACTAATACTTATTATGTACATACAGCTTGCCGCTATCCGGATAACGTATCGATCCACGAAGGCAACAGATTTCCCAATATTTTCCTCTCCCTGTATGAAAGAATTATTCCGTCTGACCAACTTGTTGGAGAAAGAGGCAAATCTCTTTGAGAAGTTTGGTGTTGGTGAAATTGCCAGATTTTTCATCGCCTCGTGCACCCCGAAGTATCGGAGGAGAGGGATTACCACGGAATTATACAGGTAGCGAAAAACTTCAATTTCATTATTATTAAGCATTATTCGTGCCGAGGATACATAATAATTTGATCCAATTTATTTATTTTTTGCAAACAAATTTTATTTTCAGGAGAAGTTTGATCTTTCTGAAAGCGAGTGGATTTCGATTGGCTGAATCCATGTTCACAAATCCGTTCACGAGGTGTTGCGCTGTCAAGTTTGGGTTCCAAGAAGTGGTTCGGATTGAATATAAAGATTACAGAAATGAGAACGATGATGGGTTCGTGTTTCGAGGAGAAAGTTCCCAACATCATTTTGCTGCCATCATGGTGAAAGTTTTGTAATGCAGGGAATTATCTGCAGATTGCGAAACGGAGTGGATGTATCCTATTGGTTTGCGAGATCTTGGAATTCGTAAAAAGTTAGTTCGTTGGTTAAGGTTTGTCCTGTTAGTAAAAGGGTAATTTTGAAGATGTAGTGCGGTTCTCAGAAGTAATTAAAATAAAGTTTTTTAGGGTATATATATATTTCACAATATGGGAACAATTAAGTTTAAAATATTTAACTGGTTTTAGTGAAATGCTTAGAAAATAAGGCATATTGAGAACGAGATGTTTGCAAAAGGTTTGGTGCAATAATGCAAAAATACCGATTTTTTCATAGAATAAAATCCCGAACCGTGGTTTTATGCACGTTTTTATGAACATTTATGTTTTTATGTTACAAAGGTATGAAAAATCCAGAAAAGTAATAATATTCCTGGAAATTCATCAATGCAAAATTTGAGTTTCCGAACAAAATGCTCTTAAAAAGCAAGCAGTAATTCAGAGTGCTAAAAAATGTCCTCGTGGAATAACAGAGTAAAAGAAGTTATTTATTTGAAGTTTTATTGAGGGTATTCATTATTTCTTCGTATCCGTAGTATCGTAAAATAGTTTACGAAGAAAAAACAAGGGGTCAGGTTTAGTAAAAATCGTAAGCGTAGTAACGTGATTTTCGATGAGAAAATCTTACGACGCTTACAAAATCTCGTAAGCGTCGTAAGTTATTTTACGATACAAAGAATACTAAGGATACGAAGAAATAATGAATACCCTCATTATTACAACTAATTATTATTTTTCCATATTTTGGGTAAATTTAGTATAGTTAAGAAGCCTGAATAAATTAAATTCTTAGTTGCTGATTTTACTAATAGGATAACTCTTAGATAGTTATCGTGCCAATGATAACATTACAAAAAAAGTTGTCATAATTGGCCCCACTTTTTTCCAAATCATGCTTTCACTTGCTCGACTCCTTCCATCATCTCCTTCACATTTGTACCCTCGGGAACAGATACATTTGCAATCGTCTTTCGCCACGCATTTACGATTCGGTTTTAACGTGCTGTTTTCAGAAAAGATGGAATGACTGATTTTTTACGTAAACATTTTCATAATTAGAAAAATAAATAAATAAAATAGCCTTCTTTCACACCTTTCACACGCCGCGTCCTGTTCACATTGCAAATCTGGAAGGACTTTGAGCCTCGATAAAGAAGGACCATTTACTTTGCAACCAACGTAGAGATGGTATGGCGAGTGTTCTCCTGGTTTGAGATAGGGGGACGTATTAGCCATTTCGATCATGTCCTTGAAATTAAAGGTGCATGGATTTCCTGCCACTGGAATTGAATTCCGTGTTTGTTTAGGATTTGTATTTAGCATGTTGGGAACAAAATGGGGATGCTCACGTCAATACAAAATTACAAAACAATACGCAACCCACGAAAATTTTGCAATTTGTTAACAAGTTGCAAAATTTGAGAGAAAAATTGCTAAATTTTTTTAGGTTACAAAACGACACAATTTATCTGACGATAAAGTGGGAAATTGGCGTGCGAAAAATTTGCGGTCGCGATATTATTTCTAACAAAATCTAAATATTTCGTAATTTTTTTTGCAAATTTCGTACATCTATTCAAAAAATTGGCGTGAGTATGCCCACCTAACATGTATATTATATATATACTTTTTAGTTGTTACATACATTGTGTGCACTGATGACCTTGCAGAAGCTGGGTAAAGTTCCAGGTGTACTAAATATTCGTGGGAAAGACATTGTATCGCAAATATTGTTCGCAAATTCATAAATACATAATCCGCAATCGGATTAATATTTGTTTGTTCTGTTGTTTGCCTGCCTACCGTCACATCCTTGCTCCGCCTAATTGTCCAGCTTCTCTGCATGCACACGCATCTATAGTCCGTCCCACCGATGGGATCGCTCTGGTTAACGTTTTTGCACTCGAGGATCTGTCTGGAACCGAGGCAGAGGCGGTAGAGCATCTTGTCGAGGTAATACGCTTCTTCGAGCAGCTTATCAAATTCAGTTTCCATGTATGCGCGGTCGTATGGACAGAGAATGTAGCGCTCCAGGAGGGCCGGGATGTCTAAAAAAATTAATGAAATCTGGCGTTGAAAAGGACCCACATTCTCCTTCTGCATAGGCAGTGGCTGCGGAAGCGTGGGGACAGAGGGACAATGTCCCCACGGTTATTCGATGTGTTTTATAAACCCCTCCATCCCCCCCTATCCTATAGCGTTAATGTCCCCACGGCTTCCGCGGCCACTTTAGAGATGTTCCATTTGCTAAGAAATACAAGGGCTGCGGAAGCGTGGGGACAGAGGGACAATGTTCCCACGGTTATTCGATGTCCCCACGTTTTATAAACCTCTCCATCCTATAGTGTTAATGTCCCCAGATGTCCCCACGGCTTCCGCGGCCCCTGGTATTATTTATAATTTACTCCTCTCCGTGTAGGCTTTATAGTCACAAGGTTGCCCCACGAGGACTTTGTCATGTCCCCAAGACTCTGGCTCGTAGAGCTTTTTTCCAAAGAACTTGACACTCCCGACGACTTTCTTCTCCTTCGTGGAGCGACACCGGCCTTGGACCATTTCCGTGCTGTTTGGGATCAGGCTGCTGGCAATGGCTGGCAGGGCGGCGCACACTACTTCGTCGGTAGTCTGGTTTTTGAAGCGCTCTATTGTTCGGTTGCATTCGCTGGAAAGAGTTTCGTTAGGTTTGCAGTATTCGATTTCGATTTTGCTGATTCCGTTGGGACCGAGGATCCCCTGCAAGTATATTATTACCTTATATTTCAAATTAGTGAGGTTACCATACCTGTTCACTTTCACTCATTCTACGGACTATGATAATGACTGAGTGTGAATGAAAATGAAATTCCTCTCATTTGAATGAAAATGACTGAAGGATTCCGTGACATGACACATTACAGCCACATTACGCCTGTTCACTTTCATTCATTTGATTTCACTGATGATAGTGAATAAAAATGAAACTACTATCATTTCAATGAAAATGACTGAAGGATTCAGTCATTTCAGATGAGTGACTGTGAATGAAAGGATTTTGCACTCATTAACTTTTCACCCTATGCTTAATACATGGCCGAAGTAAGAAATGAAGGAGGATGAAGTGAAGTGAAGTGAAATGAAATGAACTTGAAGTGACTCAATGTGAGTGAAAATCTTCACTCAGAAATTGGGATGACTGACTTTTGAATGAAAACTAAATTTTTGAACAGGTATTTATAGAGGTTACACAGGAGTTGGAATAAATTCCTTGTGAATTTTGTCGAAATTTTGACCTTTGACCCCTAACCAACAAAAGTTGCGTACCTCATACAAATCCCAATCCTGCTTCGGAGTTTGAGTAGTCCCCGAAACGGTAAAGCAACAATGGAATCTTTCAAATGTTTCATTTCTGCAATCGTAGAAATGTTTTTCATTCGGCGTGCAAGAAATCTTGTTCACTTTGCCTACACCGACTTGCGCCAAGGTTTTAGGAATGAAAGAGAAAATAATGATGAAAAGTAGGACGAGGAAGAAGAAATGGGACGAAATATTAGCGTTGGTCGGCATTTTTTCGTGTTATATAAGTTGTAAAATATTTACACGTTTTATTTTATTTTATTCGTCACTTTGTTTCAGGTTGAAATAGATAATTCACTTATTTCTAATGGCGATAAGCATAAACTTGTTGCACGGTTAAATTAATTAATGAATCACCACTCTGAGGGTCGCAGACATCTTAAAGTACTGCTTTTTACGGCCTTGACGGCGTTCGTGTTAAGTTGGCAGGGCGTAAAGGTGTCGCGAGATCCGCAACATTGATGGTTAAGGACGCACTGCCACGGGGCCCCACAATCGCATTCTTCCCCCTCCTCCACGATGCCTGGAAATATTTGGGGAATTTTGGCTTTCTTAATTTCTTCATGTCATAATTGCAACCTTTTTTCAAGCTATACTGGGATTGTCTGGCGAGTTATGTCAAAAAATCAAGCCAAAAATTAGGAATCATGTGGCACTTATCTTTCCGTTGAATGGCACCTTTTAAAGAAAAATATTGGGTGTCAAAGTTTAGACGGCATTCGCTTTTTCCTCCACTGGGCGAAAATCAGGGTGGAGTGTGAACTTTGACCCCTAATATTTTTCTTCAACGGAAAGAAAGGTGTCACGTGATTCATAATTTTTGGCTTGATTTTTCAACAATTTTTCAACTCGCTAAACAATCCCAAAAAGGTCCCATTGTTAATTACCATTTCCGCAAAATGGCTCGTCTCTCCGTGATGTTAAGCACGTTAGTAAATTCGACGATAGGAAGACTGCCATTTGCGACTTGGAACAGTACGAAAATCGCATGGAGTTGGGTCTCGGTCCGACGTTGAGTTTGTGCTCGGGCTCCATGACGAAAGGGTTCAGAAACTGGGAGACTTTTTTATCGAAACAGTCCTCGTCGAAGGGTGGGTCATGATTTGCTCCGAAGAGGTGGCCCAGCGAGTGGAAGGTGGCTCGGAACAGGTCGTACAGGGTCACCTTGCCCCCAGCGTGGTAGCCCGATATGATCGCGACATTGTGCGGTGAGCAGACTCCTCCTGCCAGATGTCAGATTGTTTATGTAGAGGTCATAAAGGTTATATGTAAATTTGTAGCATTGTTGTATTACGTAAACTTGTGACGGAGAGGACTTTCGGAATATCGTGATAAACAAAGGAAAGCGTGGCGCAGCATTTGTTATTTTTCCCTTTGGAAAATTTCTGGGGAAGTTGTGACTCCAAAAATGGAAGGGTCGTGGTCGGATTAATGGAGGCAATTTTAGTCGAATATTTTAACTTATGCCCTGCACCACCACTTCCACTAAGTTCGATAAGTGTCGTCTTCGTGGCGTCTCCACTACTAGCGTTTGTGAGGGGCAAATTGGGCAAATCTTGGACCAGGACTTGTCCCAAGATGAGGGCTATCGAGTCTGGAACCGTGTCCATGTTGATGTCAAGGGCTCGGAAAACCCAGCTCAGGAGTTCGACGAGCTGGATCGTCTCCGATATTCCGGCCGATAAGGAGCCAAACCCAAAGTGGACGGCGAAGTTGGGCTGGACCCAGAGACACAAGGTGCAAAACAGGGTTTCCTGTCTGATTAAGGAGTAGATAGTTATTTTATTTGTGGCGTTTTTTACGTCAATAACTTGATTACCGACGCATATCGAAAATATCAGAGTCGTCCATCGTCCCACCGGAACTGTAATCAACGTAGGAGACGATGTCGTGTGACGTGTCGTCAAAATCTGGCGCTGTCCCCGTCGTCGCACGTTTTGTCCTAAATTTGCTGCGATGATTTTGCTGTAGGACTGGAACGTTGTTCTTCATAATCATATTTCCTTTAATCGTGACCACTGGGGTCGACCGGTGGGGACGACTTTGCACGAAATTGTTACCACGTGGCCACAACAGAACGAGTAGAACGGTGAGAATTATGAGCTTACGAGTGAGAGTTGGAATTTTCGGGGAATGGAATTGTTGCATTGTTAGTGAAAGTTTGCATCATGTTGTTCTCCGAGTTTTGTAAGAGTGGGAAAAATGAGACGATGTGAAAAAGTGAAGGAGATGTAATGTGAACTTGGATAAGTGAAATGTAGACATTTCGTAAATCAACGTCCGTTTATATTTGTTGTATCTCTATGGGTAATTTTGTCGAAATTCGGTTGTCTACAAGCTTGATTTGCTGGACACAATTCAAAATTAATGAATGGAATATATAAAAGTTTGAATGATCACTTAGTAAATATACTACAAAAAGAGATATTTTTATTAAATAGTTTGGCCTATTTTTCCTACCTTTTTTCTTCTAATGAGTCCATAAAACGTACAATTTTTTGGGATATTAGAGAAATTATTTTATTTTAAATCTACATAATCCACTTCTGTGGAAAGTTGTTTAATGCAAAACTAATGAAAATATTTAGGTTGCATATGTATTAAAAAATAAATTCAAAAGTGTATTGATGTTGATTTCCAATTACTGATAAAAAAAATTTACATTGCAAAAAATTGTAAATTGTTTTTAATTTAGATTTTATTTAAATCAAAGTAAAATTTAAGGCAAATCTGGTCCTACGACTCCCTCAAAAGTCATGTTCACTTTAAGAATCTTGCCATCTTGGTCGAATTCCATCCTATCGACACAAACAACTCTTGCATTCGCATCCGTCTCGTTAAGTGGGCGTCGATGATACGCGATAAAGTATTCAGATTCATCTGGTAACTAAACGTGTTCAAAAAATTAAGATTAATTATAATTTGTTAATATTTTAAAGTTCTATTAAAAAAATAAGTAGCTTACACATATAACATTTTGTATATAAGAAATACCTGAAAAACTGAATGATGTCCAGCCCCCGTTGCAACATTAATGTCCTAAAATTTAAAATAAACACAATTCCGATGAAATTTTAGAAATTTGAAATACTTTTACCTGTTCTAAAATGACCCCCTGCTTAACAAATGGTCCCAGTGGGTTATTCCCCATTGCATAAGCGACCCTATAATCCGGCCCGCCCCACCCACCTTCACTCCACATAAAGTAATAATTTCCATTTCGGACGAGCATAAATGGGCCCTCGACATAACCCTCGGGAGTAATTTCCTTATAATACGTTCCATCAATGAATGGTAATAATCCCGTAAAATTCGAATTTAATCGAACCACGTTGCAATGACCCCACCCACCGTAATACAAATAATGCGCTGATGTAATAGGATCCTGAAATTTTATTAAAAAATAAAAATTGTCAAAAATTTCGATAACAAAATCAAAAAAATTTCATAGAGGCAATCAAAAAAGATTCCATAGAAACAATCACAAAATTTCCATAGAAACTAAAAAAAATTCCATAGAAACAATCAACAAAGTTCCATAGAAACAATTAAAAAATTTCCACAGAAACCCACCCTAAAAACGAAACCATCGATAGGTTGCGCCCCATTGATAATCTCGCCAATTAACGGCCGGCCCAAAAGATCGCTAAATGGCCCCACCGGTGAATCCCCCACTGCCACCCCAATCCCCCCAATTTCACCCTCGTGGACATCATTGGCAGAAAAGAAGAAGTAATATTTGTCCCCATTTTTAATCACGGAGGGCGCCCACATGGCCCTCGTTGCCCAAGAAACGTTCCCAATTGTCAAAATTTTTTCGTGTTTCGTCCACGTGACGAGATCAGAGGAGGTGAAGGCGTCAAAAAACGTTTGCTGGTCGTAGGGCGCCGAGTAAGTGGGATGAATGTGGTAGAGAGAGTTGAAAATTGAGGCTTCCGGGTCGGCGTAAAATGTGGAGGTTATCGGATTAATGGGGGTCGTGGAGAGGGGGAATAAAAATAAGGATAGGAATATATGAAAAGTTTCCATGGTTACTAAGGATAAGTTCTTGTCTCTATGGTGATGTGTGTGGGGTGTGTGTGTGAAAAATAAATTGTTGAGTGTGCTTATCTGTAATATATTTATGTTCAGATAAGGTGTGACATGTATTGATTAGGTTTAAAACATATGACCTTATCGATCACTGGAACGAGATTTTGCCGAGATACCGTAAAGACTATTTATAGCCGGGTCTTGAGCCCAACTTTGAAAAATTTAACAAGCTTGTCCCGAATTATGACATTCCTTTAATGTCCGTTTTTAGATGCTTCAAGTTATGCATAACCCAAAAATAATTTACCCGGGTCTCTAATTATACCCGGTTTGAAATTGTAGTCGGATTTGTGTCGTCTATAGACCCGTCTATAAATAGAGTCTTTACAGTATGCACTTTAAGACTAATTTGGTTAAGTAGTTGTTCGTTAGCGTGTCTCATGGACAAGCGGACTTTCGTAAATTATTTAAATATTTGAATTTTTCCTTGATTTTTAAAATAAATATTTTATTTGTAACATGCTAAAAATCAAGCAATCGTGTCATTAAAATTGATACTGCTATTCTAATAAAAATGCCAAGTTTCTCCTCGTGACAAAGATTAATGCATCTTCTCTCGGCCGAAGATGACACTGTTCCCTTACATTTATGCCCCGTGGCACAAATGCATTTACAATCGTCCTGCATTCCGCACACTTTGCGAGGTTTGATTTTACTGCGATAAGTACATAAGAAATCAAAATTAGCACTTTTAAAAATGATGCAAATATTTATTATTCCTACTTTTCACACGCCGCATCTCTCTCGCATCGCAATGCATCTAGAACCTTCATCCCAGTCACATTGGCCCCCTTGACTTGGCACGTGTCATAAAATCCGTGCTTCCCACTGCCAAATCCGGCCGGGCTGTCGTGATAAATATCGATTACGTCAAAAGTACACGGATTTCCGACCGCTTGCCCGCACGTTTTTCCTTCCGCAATTTGACTAAAGTTCCACGTGTACTGGAAAAATAATGATGATCGATAAGGACCAATCAACCTGTAGTTCGATATTGAACATGGGCAGTGGCCGCGAAAGCTGTGGGGACATTAACATTGCAGGATAGGGGAGGGAGGGGTTTATATAACACGGGGAAATGATGGGGACATCGAATAACCCTGGGGACATTGTCCCTCTCTCCGCGGCCACTGGACATGGGGTCAAATTACCACCGGGTAATTTACCAGTTGATTCTGTCGTCGTATGACGTACTCTCTCTTGACGCAGCGACACCTTCCCTTCCTGCCGTATTTGAGGGATAAAATATCTTTCATACCGTAGTTTTCCGTAGTATTTTTTGCGGAGGCGATGGTGATAGGGTCACCTTGGTCTTGTTGGTAGTTTGTAACGTTAGTCGGCTCGCCTGCGTGGGTTGGTTGCGTTGGGGTTCGTGAAGGATGAACTGGGAGAGAAAAGTGGCATTGTTATCTGGAAAAATTTTCGTATCTGGTTAAATTATGTATAAAAATTCACCGTCCGGAAGATGAGGTGTCAATTTACTCTCATCGTCGTCTTCCACACATTCCTCCATGTTGGGACTGGATAAGCACAAGTCGTCGAGCAGTTTAGGACTGAACAAGGCTTCTTCTAACGTTTTGGAAAGCTCGTCATCCAAAAAGTCATGGTCGAAGGGGCATTTTAACAAGTGGTCCCAAAGTTGCTGAATTTCTGTACAATTAAACTATTAAAATTAATTATCCAATTAAAATATTTTCTAGAATTAATTTTTTTATGTACTTTTTCTCTTGTACAACTCCAAGTTACACGGCTTGCCGAGCCTAGAGTGGAACCGAGCGGACCACGGTTTTCGGTCATAAATTGAGAGGTGCTGGTGCGCTTTTCGGCCAGTGTCGATTCGGCGACAACGCCCAATTATTGGCGACATGGCGTGGACGGGGGCACACATTGTCCTCTCGAGACCGTAGTGCGTCAGGGTTTGGTTGCAGTTTGATTCGCCGAGAGGAAGTGAAGGATTGCAGAATTCTGCTGGGTGGAACTCGTCCTTGATGGGATGCGTTCTCCAGTCCTAGAATACATATTAAAGGATGAAATTATGAAAATACGGATTTTTTAGAATTTTCTGTACGTCATAAATTTCCCAATTTTTTGGACAACACCCAAATCTCAGAAAGGTCAAGTCTGAACATTCGACTTGTTCATGGTCATCACAGGATCGGGATAGGACAAAGTTTTCAGGTGGTGGTGGTGGTGGAGTTGTTGGGGGTATAAATATGGTGACAATGATCGGCGGTGGGGGTCCTATTTCTTGATGGTCTTGCAAAGTTTGGCGAATCATCGAGAAGATGAATATTAAAGTGATGTATAAAAATTGTGGTGAAAGCATAGTAAGTCATTTGCATAAAATTCGTATTTCATAAAGAAATAGTTTACAAGTTGTAATTTGAAAATAAATATGTGTCTACATTAATTTTATTATTATGTTCTTTTGATTCTCCATAAAAACATAAGCAAAAGCAATGAAAAGTGCATGTGAATTACATTTTTTTGATGGACGGATAAATATACCCAAAAAAATTGCGTAGAAATTATAGAATAAAATTATACGACTTTAAGTGAGGAGCAGTCATATTTTATACCAAATATTTAAATATGGATATTAAATGATGGACTAATGTCCAAATACGTTTGACGTCAATATGCACTCCCGAGCTGAGGACGAGTCTAATAAAATCATAAATTCATTCTTTTCAAGCTACCGAACTGCATAATAGTTCTGCCATTACTTACAAGGACAATAGCGATGTAACTGTTATACAGACATGATAATTGAAAACCCGAATAACACGAGGAAAAAATTATGCATACTTTTACAAACTGCCCGATGTGGTGGAGTCATTAAGACACTGATGATAATGACAAATCGTCCCAATTCTACCAATAGTACGTGCGCATCGCTAATTTATTATGGACAAAGGTTACATATAGTGGAGGCACTAATGGAGCTACTAAATGGACACAATTTTCAAGCATATATGTAGAACTGGTATAAAATCCTACACACCATCCGACGGAGGAGCAGTGCTATGCAGAATTGTCAAGAATTTCTTTTTTACAGAAATTTGCTCGTTGCAAAATCACTCGTTTTTTAAACAAAAACCACATCAAGAAATCTCGTCGTCGAGTACTCATCCGTTTATGGAGTCTTCACGTTTCCTTGTATTGCAACAACCCAACAACTTTCTCCAGCATTTCATACCCAATAATAAGGGTCGAGAGCATTTAAAACCGCCCATAATATGGCAAACGTCAAGGCTAAGATAAACCAAATCATGGCGGCGTCCATTGGTGAGTTGATGAGTAGTTATCTATTTTCTTGATAATAATGATGTCATAATTAAATTCAGTGACTTTGGGCGTGTTCGGAATGGGGACGGTTCTCGGTTGGAGCTCTCCCGCACTTCCCAACATGACCGCGGAGGGGGCGGGGGGTCACTTTGTCAATGTATCGAAAGATGAGCAGGCTTGGATCGGGTCTTCTGCTACGGTATGTAAATAGCTATATTTACATAAGACTCATTTGCATATTGAAAAATTGTAAGAATTTTGACCCAATTTTACACAGTTGGGTGCATTCGTGGCGTGTCCCTTTGGTGGATTTGGTATTGACAAGTTTGGACGAAAACGGACCCTCCTCTTGGCCACGGTTCCCTTCGCGGCTGCTTGGATTTTAATTGGTTGTTCGAAAACCGTGTTTCTTATGTGCCTCGGTCGGTTTACGTCAGGTAAATAAATGCAAAAAACTACAGATAAAAAATTTGAGACATGTTTTCAGGAAATTTTATGTATTATTCTGACAGGTTTTTGTGCAAGCATTTTCACCCTAACGGCCCCCACCTACATTGGAGAATGTGCCGAACCACATATTCGTGGCATGTTGATGAACGCTTTTCAAGTCATGCTGGTCAGCGGGATATTGTTCGTGTATGTAAATTACCTGACACTAATTAAACATACTGACAAAATCTGGGCTAAAATGTGACCCCTCTTTGTATTCAGTTATCTCCTCGGTACAATTCTATCCTGGCAAGTACTATCCTTCATTTGCGCCACAATTCCAGCGTCCTTCCTCCTCCTGTCGCTTCTCATACCGGAAACGCCTCGTTATCTCTTGTCTCGCGGAGATATCGCGTCTGCCAAAAAGTCACTCCTCTGGTTTCGCGGAAGGTCAATTTCCACCCCAGATATTCAAGCAGAATTTGAATCCGTGCAAAATTCTGTGCACAATTCTGTGGCAAATAAAACCGCAAATTTCTCCGATCTGGTCAAACCCAACGTTTTAAAACCGCTCGCCATCAGTTTGTCTCTCATGTTACTGGAACAACTCAGTGCCTTCAATGTGGTCATATTTTACTGCGTCGACATCTTCACGGGGGCCGGGGTTCAGTTAGATTCTTACTGGTCGAGCAACATCGTGGCTGGAATTCAGGTGGTGGTGACGATATTTGCCACCCCGCTGGTCGACATGGCTGGGAGGAGGATTCTTCTCCTCATTTCGGAGGCATTCATGGGCCTGGCGTTTGTCGCGTTGGGAGCGTTTTTCTATTTAAAAGAGCACAACTATGGAGGGATTGATGCGTTAGGATGGCTTCCACTGGTCAGTGTGACCGTCTTTATTGTGGCGTTTGCTTTGGGAATTGGACCTCTAAGTTGGACAATTATGGGAGAAATTTTACACCCGGATGTGAGAGGTTAGTTGTCATTTGTACTTGATTTTTTTGAAAAAAGCAGGAAATTTTAATGATTTTTTGTGTATTTAGGTTTGTGTTCCGCGATAGCGGTGTCGGTCGTGTGGTTTTCTGCCTTCATTGTGACCCGTCTGTACCAAGTTCTCGTGGACGGGGTTGGGGTGGCGTGGGCATTCTGGATATTTTCACTCGTCTCGATTTCAGGCGTTTTTATTGTGTATTTCTTCGTTCCGGAGACGAAAGGGATGAGTTTGGATGAAATTCAAGCGTTGTATGGGGATAAGAAGGGACGCAAAAATACGAAGGAGGGAGAAAGTGATAATGTTGAGTAATGTTATCATGAGTCAAAAAATAGTTAATTTGTAGTAGCAAAAATAAAATTAAACTCGGAGAAAGTGGGAGAAAGTAAAATGATTTGATTACACAGTTCACAAAACCTGTTTATTTATTAGCACGATTTATTGATGATTTTGCATCGAAACTTTTTTTTAGTTTTTTTAAAGTTCTTATCGTTGGTTTAACAATCTTTTCACACCACGACGTTTCTGTTGACTATTAGAATTTCCACTTGGTCCCGGCTGAGGGGCAGACGATGTGCTTTCTCCAGGAGGACCACTACCATCTCGGGGACACTAAATACACATTTAACCAGCAATTAGTTTAATGACCAATTCACAAATTAAACAATATTATTACGTGATCCACAAAAGTAATCCTTTGATGCACAGGGTCCCTAAATTTGACCGACGGCATACAATAATCGTGATAAAGTTGAACATTCTTTTGATGCCAGCGACAATTTGCGGGCGGTTTTTTAGCCAGGATTGACGCAATCGTCTCCCTTATCGGACAGGAAGGCGGCATCACGCTGAAAATGGGCTTCTGACCCCGGACAGTGATCAGTCTCGGAGATTTGCACGGTTTAAGGGGAAAGCACGGCCCTTTGTTGACGGAACAGGGGTCCTCACAATCTGGGGGACGTTCAGGGATCTGTTTCTCGTCATAGTAAAACTGCCCGTCCGTGAAACCGGACTGTTTCGGACTGAGCGGTTGTGGGGGGTAGGTCCCCTCTTCGTAGTCGTTGTGGGGATGATGGCCCTTTTGACCCTTGGAGTCGGGGGAGAAGAAGGAGGACGAGTCATCCATGTCGTAGGGGGATGATTTGTAGTGGTGGTCATTCCTGGAGAAATTTGCAAAAATTTATTAAAATTCAGGAATTTTTGAACTTTTTTGCAATATTTTTCCACTTACGACATCCTCTCATATCCGACAAACTCTTCGACCGGCGTTTTAATAACTTTGACATCCTTGGACTGATCGGGATGCTCAATAATTTGCAACTTTGTCTGCGTCACTGTCCTATAAATTGGGACTAATCCGTGATTCACGTCCTCCCCTCCCAGACTGGATGGGAAGGGGTGTCCCGGTCCAGGGGGTTGTGGTGGGTGGTGGAAGAGCGACGAGTGGGAGCGGACCGCCCACGGTGATTCGGGCGGAGGTGTATGGATATATTCTGGATGTTGGTTAGAACCCCCACCTAACGCGACGACGTCGAGGTCAACGTGACCCCCGAGGTGCGTGTGCGTATGGAGTGGCTGCTGTTCCAGCGTGTTGACGACAAAGTGGGGATGAATATCTTGAAAACTTTGTGGTGGAGGGGGCACATCGCTGCTGTGGTGCGGGTCACTTTTTCGGGGGGAGGAATAATTTGCATAATCCATTCTGCCGGGAGGATGTTGCATCAGGATTGATTTTCTATGGTCGAAATTCGTCGTGCTGCCCCCGGTGCCGGTGTCGATCAAAGTTTTTCGTACGTTTTCCGTGCCGTATTGAAGATGGGGGTCCGTGGCGATGGAAACTTTCCGCGGGGGAGGAGGAGCGTATTGTTGCTCTTGACATGATGGTGGTGGGGGTGGTGGTGGAAGGAAAGGTTGAGGAAAAGGGTACCCTTGTTGTGGTGCGTAACTGGTCGATGGTCCATAAAAGTTGCATCCTCCTCCAGCACCCTGTGCAGCGAAGGGGCATGGAACTCGTGGTGGGAGGGGTGGTAGGACTCGGGGGATCACTCCGATCTGGGTGGATGCACAGTTTTGTTGCTGCTGATTTCCATGATACTGATTTGACGACCCTGCTGGTGGGCAGTAGGAATGTCGCGGTGGTGGTGGAGGGAGTGGTGGCTGATACGAAGGTATGATTTCCTGATAGGTTGGAATATTTTCCACAATTTCTACCCCAGAGTCAACTCGAATCGCTTGGGTGGTTCCTGGATCATTATTTGGGGACCTTACATTCTTCCCGGCATTATTGGTAACGACCGTGAGATAATTCGCCACGACGAAGTCACGTTGCGGAATTATTTTGAGCCCTTTACCCACTCGCACATGCTGCTTTCCTCCATCAATTTCCGGTTTCAAGGTGGTGGTCACGCTCCTACTCCGCGTGGGCGGAAGGTATCCTCCTCCCCCATATTTTGAGAGGAGTTCAGCCGGAAGACGCAACTCTGGCACGGAGACGACTCGAGTCACGAAATTGTTGTGACCCTTGTTGTGACCTTTACTGTGGTCATGTGGTTGCTGAGAATACGAGTCACGTGGATTCATGCCGGTATCGGAATCGCCAGAATTCCACTGTCGGGCGTGGACAATCTCGACAATTTCGGTGTTATGAGCCGAGCTGGGTCCTGAAGGGATGATGGCGCTGGTTCCCGGACGGATGATTGTTTGTGAGTGGGAGTGGTGCGGCGGAAAGACGGATTGACGCCCGGTTTGCGGGGTGGGGAAGTGCGGTGGGCGTGCGGGGGAAGGTGGTTTCTGGACGGATACTTCTGGCGCGTGGTGATCCGCGGTGGGGGTGAAGTTAATTGGGTGCACGATTGTCTTCCGTTTCGTCCCGGGAAGTTGGACGGATGGGGTGTGACGGACCACGGAGGGGATGAAACGGAGGGGAATTTCGTGCAGGGTAGCACGATTGGGATTTGGAGCATTGTGTTGATCAGCGTTTCCGTGAAGGGTAACGGAAACGGTGGGATGTTGCGGCTGCGAACTGGAGGACCCTGGAAAATAAATAATCTATTTAGTAAATACTACTTTCTCTGGAGACTAGCTTTCTGTAAGGTGGAGAGCTCAAGGTTGCAATCCCCCGGGGAGACATAACTTTATATTTCTACTAAAATTTCTACACAATTTCTGAAAAAAACATGCATATTTTTTCATCTACTAGTCTCCCCGGAAGACGGTTGAACTATCCCCTTTTTTATATCGTCTGCCTACCCTTTTTCTTTTTCGACTTATGCTTATCCTTAAAAGTTATGTCCTCCCCGGCAGGATTTACAAGTAGCGGTGGGGGTGCCGAGACCAACGGAAAGTACGCTTTATCAGGTTGCAACGCTACAAGCACAACGGAATGGGCACCCCCCGAGCTAGACCCACTACTAGACGAACTATTCTTCTTTGGTCTTTCATGTTTTTTCAATGTTGTCCTCTTCGTCCGTTTGGCGATGACCTCTTCTCCCGAGGAGGAGGAGGATGAACCTGAACCAGAACCGGAGCCAGGTCCTTTGGCGCCTGGACCACCGCCATGTTTCACCGTAATTTTTACAACTTGGTCAGAAGAACTTTTACCCGAGGAAGAAGATCCCGATCCAGAACCGGATGACGAGGACGAACTGGACGCGACTTTTGCATGGGGATGAGCGGGATGGTTGTGATCCCCAGCGGGATGACCATGTCCATGGTCTGCGTGGTGGTGGTGGTGTCGAACCACTCTAGTGCTGGAGGAGGAGGAAGATGACGATCCAGACCCGTAGGATGTTGAAGAGGGTGAGACTGCTTTGTGGTTGTCGTGCAGGTGGGTTTGGGACACGGCGACTTGGTGGCCATTCACGTTGACGGAGAGATGGGAGGGCGTGTGATGAGCGTGCGAAGGGGTTGGGTGCAGGTCGTGGCGAGAGTAGTTGTTATGCATGTCTTGACGGGAGGGAGTTTTCCCGTGTCCTGCAACGTGTAAGGATGACGGGGTGTGACCTGCGTGATGCCCGTGACCATGTAAATCTTGGCGGGACACATTGACGTGCAGGGCGGAAGGAGTGTGACCATGAGTGTCGTGGTGACCGTGTCCATTATGCAAATCTTGGCGGGACACATCAATATGCAGAGCGGAAGGAGTGTGACCTGCGTGATGATCATGGTGACCATGTCCATGCAAGTCTTGCCTCGAAACATCGATGTGCAGAGCGGAAGGAGTGTGACCATGAGTGTCGTGGTGGTGACCGTGTCCATTATGCAAATCTTGGCGAGAAACGTCGATATGCAAGGCTGACGGTGTGTGACCAGCGTGATGGTCATGATGCCCTTTTCCATGCAAATCTTGATGAGACACGTCGATGTGGAGAGCGGAAGGAGTGTGACCGTGATGATCATGATGCCCGTGTCCCACATCGACATGTAAAGTTGACGGGGTGTGATGGGAATGACCGTGAGTGTCGTGGTGACCATGTCCGTGTCCACCATGCAAATCCTGCGTGGAAACGTCGATATGCAAGGCTGACGGAGTATGGCCGGCGTGGTGGGAGTGGCCGTGGTCATGATGACTGTGGTCGTGTAGGTTTTGACTAGAAACCTGGATATGCACGGCAGAAGGGGTGTGATCAGCGTGATAAGAATGTCCGTGTCCCCCGTGAGGATCCAGATGCGTGTGTGAATGCCCGTGCCCATGCAAATCATGACGAGAATGGCCATGCCCGTGACCATGATGGCTCGGACTCTGTCGAAATAAATATATTGAACATCACATAATTTGCATAATAGAAATTCAGTAATTGGCCTTTGACCTCACCCTCAGTCTGCTATCGATACAGAACTTTGAAGAGATCTGTACACTAATTTTACATAAATTCTCACCTCCGTAACTTGAAACCCGGTCGTCGACGCGCCCGGAGACCCGGTCGTGATACTGATTGAAATCTCGGGAGCTTCATCATGGTGAGAGTGGTGACCGTGGTCATGATGGGAATGGTGCGAATGGTGAGAATGATGTGACTCAGCCGGATTTATGTCGATCTATACGCACCCCATGAAAATATAATGAAAAAGTTATCTCACATGACCTCTGACCTTACCCTAATCATGTCAGCGTCATGATTTTCCTCATGGCGACTAGCTTCCGGCGCACTTTTCGGGTAGTTACCACCTCCACCTCCACCTCCACTTCCACGTCCATCATTCCGATTACTAGCTCCTCCTCCTCTTCCTCCTCCTCCTGGTGGGGCAGAGTTCCTATTTCGACCACCTCCCTCTGTACGGTCAAAGGTCAAATCTTAACCCCAAATTCACTTCATTCTAATTGATTTTTCTCACCATCCCCATAAATAAATCCGGCCCCTCTCCCCTTCGCCGAGGGTGGCGTGGGCATCGGCAAGCCGCAATGTTCGTC